GGCATTTGTAGTTAATACTAGCCTCATCAGAGTGACCAATGCACACGTCCGCACTTTGGTCACTGGTCGAGCCATCCTCCTTAGTATTCCCTGGCAAAATGACTGCACACTACATCTTTTGAATGTCTATGCCCCGAACGACCCCACTGAGAACCAACGTTTCTGGTCGCAACTCCTTGAGCACTGGACAACCAACCACTCGCCGCCTCCAAAAGCAGACATCATGCTTGGTGACTTCAACCTGGTCGAGGACAAGCTTGACCGCCTTCCACTGCACGCTGACCACGCCGGAGCTGTCGCGGAGCTTAATGCACTGAAAACATGCCTGGGACTCTACAATGGCTGGCACACCACATACCGCAACAAACGAGAATTCTCATTTCTACAAGGTAGTACGGGCAGCCAGTCATGCATCGATCACATTTACGCTTCATATACCCTACTTCAAATAGCCTCCCAGTGGAACATCATATGCACTGGCCTATTGACGGACCACAGCATGGTTTCAACGCACCTTGTAAACAGAACAACCCCATTTATTGGCTCTGGACGCTGGACCATGCCACTCCTCTTAATGCACGATGAAGAGATTGCCCCCTACATCTAACAACGGGGGAAAGACCTTCTCCTCCAGATTGAAAATGCCTCCACACAACGAACTGCTGACAACAACCCACAAACCCGATGGGCCTCCTTCAAAACAGACATCATAACCAAAGTACGAAATTGAGCACGCACCGCAATCCCCAAGATGGAAGCAAAAATCAAACTGCTACGAGCTGAACGTACTGCAATCTTGGCCCAACCTGACATTGACACCAACCCAAGGTCCCAACGTGACGCTGGACTCTTACTCGAACGCATCACAAATCTTGAACACCAACGATTTGACAGCAACTGCAAATCATCTGCGGCTCAATATCGCATACTTGGTGGAACAGTCAGCCACTACTGGTCCTCAGTAACACGAACCCACAAACCACGTGACATTGTCTACTCCCTCGGACGACTGGACAATCCAAACCGTGAGTCACGCTCAGACCGTATGGCAGAACTAGCCCACAACTACCATGACAAGTTCAGACTGACCCAGATGACTCCAGCCTCGCTGCGCTTACGGCAGCCACACGCACCTCCCTACAAGCAATCGACCGTCACCTAACAGCCGACGCGGCCAAATTTCTATCTGACAATCTCTCCTACAATGATGTAGCAGCCACCCTAGACAGCGCTGCTCCAGGAAAAGCACCAGGCCTAGACGGTATTCCCTATGAGCTCTGGAAGCACCTCGCACGAGAACACAACCAGGCCCTGAAACAGGGCAAGACCACCTCCTTCGACATCGTCCTGGCGCTACAACTAGTGTTTAATGACATCGAACTCCATGGGGTCGACCGATCCACTACCTTCATGGAGGGCTGGCTATGTCCCATATATAAGAAAAATGATCGTGACTTGATAAGCAACTACCGCCCGATCACAGTACTCAATGCTGACTACAAACTCTTCACTAAGTCCCTGGCAAACAAGCTACTCACAGTCGCATCCGACATTATACACGAAAACCAAGCGGGCTTCATGCCCAACCGCCAGATATTTGACCAAGTTCGCCTCGCACAGGCCATGATCGACTATGCAGAAGCCACGGATTCCAACAGTGCGATCATAGCCCTCGACTAGGAGAAAGCTTACGACCGCATCCAACACTCCTACCTCTGGCGTGTCCTAGAACGCTTCAACCTGCCGCTGCAATTTATTCATACGGTACGCTCACTCTATCAACACACCTACACCTCAGTCATAATAAACGGAGAGCGTAGCTCCCCCTTCCAAGTCACACGAGGAGTACGACAAGGTGACCCCCTATCATGTCTACTATTCAACCTGGCTATTGAACCCCTGGCCTCCATGCTTCGACAGAGCAAACTATCTGGCTTCCACATCCCGTCAGCCCCAGATTGGCTAATCGTCACACTATTTGCTGACGACACAACGGTGTACCTATCAGAATACGACCACTTCTCTGACCTATCGGCCATACTAGACACATGGTGCGTGGCCTCCGGGGCCCGTTTCAATGTAAGCAAAACCGAAATCATCCCAATTGGTACTACTCGCTACCGATCGGCTGTAATAACCTCACGCTGACTCCAGCCCGGTTAACCAGCCCTCCTAATGGCAAATATCCCTGATAATGTCCACATTGCAGCTGATGGTAATGCTGTCCGCCTTCTCGGCGCATACATAGGCAACCGGACCACCTCCTTCATAGTATGGGGGCCCCGCATTGACAAAATACGCGACGGCCTACATTGATGGGGCCGATGCAAACCTTCCCTGGACGGCAAACGCCTCATAATCAACATGATAGTAGGCGGCATGAGCCAGTACCACACCCGAGTCATGGGTATGCCAGCCCACGTCAAGAGAACTCTAACACGCATCATTCGCGACTTCATCTGGGATGGCGCTACTGTCCCGCCCATCTCCTACGACACTCTATGCCAACCAATAAACAAAGGAGGAATTAAACTCCTCAACCTACACCTCCGAAACCAAGCCATTGACCTTCAATGGCTCCGATCCTACCTCGACTTCTCGCAGTCGTTGTGTCGTGGAATATTAAGCCAGAAGGATCCGATGCGGAGGGAGTTGTGGAGGCCCCGGTGGTTTGCGGTCGATGTCGCGGTGACGCGGGTGGAGTCCTGTCCAGATAGAGGCCATGGTTGGAAGGGTTCCGGTACGGTCCTCAACCACTAGCTGAATATCAGAGAGTTGTGCTAGGGTGGCTGGGCGAGGTTTGTGGCCGTGGAGTTCTCGGAGGCCGTGGTAGGCAAGGGACTGAGTGAGAAAGCGCAGTTTTGCGCCTGAGATGTCGAAGACTGGATCTATCGTCAGGAGTGTGCTGTCAGCGTCGTCACGGAGTGTGCCGCGTGATGCTTCCGCGTCTGCGCCTTCGTTTCCGGCATTGCCGGCGTGACCTTTGACCCAGGCAAAGGTAGTGGGGGCGGATCGTGTTCGGAGGCGGTAAAGTGTGGGGCGGATGAGGTGGGCATTGGCCACTCCTATCCATCCTATGTCTTCCCAGTGGCGGCTGTGTCTCGTGAGGGCGTTGATGGTGTACATGGAGTCGGACACAATGTGCAGTGGTGCGGTTGCGTCGATGAGAGAGCATGCGACTAGTACTGCGAAGAGTTCACCTGCTTGATTCGATTGGATAGGGCCTGGGACACGCATTCCACGGTTGCGGGCATCATTGGGGCCGAAGTAGACTCCGCTCCCTGCTCGAGCGAAGGCGGTGCCATTGTGTAGGCAAGAGCCATCAGTGTATGCGGTAATGGGGGTGACGTCAGCATGTGGAGGTACAAGAGGCCGGTATGCCAGAGCATCTGGGTCAGTATTGGAGCGGCAGAACGTGCGTATGGTGGACGAAAGGTCATCGGCAATGGTCAGTGATGGGTCGAAGAGTATGCGGTGCTGCTCGCCTCCTAGGGTGACTGAGCCATTGTGGCTGTGCCGGTGGCCGGTAAGGGATAGGTTATCCGGAGGCGGGAGGTGGCTCGGGTGCCATCGTGGACGGAGATTTGCTATTAGTTCATTGGCGAGCGTGCAGCATTGGTGCGGGTGGCTGCAGCCTGCTTCGCGATCCTGGCGGCAGGGGGGGCACGCGCAGTTCTTGCGGGCTAGGTGTCGCCTTGGGTGTTGCATAGCAAGTCGCGTGGTCACTCGTAGGGCATCGGCTACAGTGTGGACTCTGTGTGAGGTGCATAGGCATGAGGCCGGTGTTGAGGCCTGGAGGCGTGAGAGGGGCAGTGTGCTTCCTAGGTGGTACCAGAGAGGCATGCGGCCTTTGGTGGTGCGGTCCAGCTTCGCGGCTGATAGTCGAGTGGAGGAGAGGTCGGCTACTCTTATCATGGCCAGTAGGTAGTCGGGGAGTGCGCGAGTGGTATCTGGGATGGCGTCGTCGGGAGATGCATCTGGCTGTGCAGTAAGTCTGTTGGCTATGCGGAGGGATGGCCTCGGCGCACGTTGGCTGACTCTCCAGATTTGGAGGAAGTGGTTGACTCGTGCTGTGGGAGCTACATGTGCGCAATTACGGAGGATTCTTTCGCCATAGAGAAAGGCGGCTACGTGGGCGGCGTGGTGCCACCTGTTCCATATGCCGCCAAACCGAAGACCTTGGCCACATCCTAACTAAGTGGGATGCCCCAGGCCAAGCCTATGTCTGGGGCCTGACACGCAACCTCTGGCTCTCTGCCTACCCCGATTGGTACGCTGTAACCACTCGTCTTATCCTAGGATGCGGCGCCACTGTACTACCCTCAGCTAACAATAAACCAGACTCTGGAGCATCACGCCTCTATCGCATCCTCCTCTCCGAGACGGCCTACCTAATTTGGAAGCTGCGCTGCGAACGACGCATCGAACACGACGACCAGAAAGCCTTCACCGAAAATGAGCTCCGCAAACGCTGGAGCTCCATGCTCCAACGACGCCACGACATGGATTGTGCAATGACTAACGACCGCTTCGGTAGAAAAGCCCTCGACAACACAGCTGCCACCAACACTTGGGAGCGCATCACACGAGGACGCGCCGACCGAGCCGATAAATGGCTCATGGACAGCGGGGTTTTAGTGGGTAGCAGGCCACCCGACTGTCCTCCTCCCCGCGTGGGAGTAGGCAGTCAGGTCGGAGACCCTTAGGCATGTATATGGCCGCTAGGTCCTGAGTCCCACACTACGTGCGTAAGTGCATTTTCTCACGGCAGACGCTGGGTGAAGACACCCAAACATCATGCTGGTGACGCAGGGCCTGAGAATAACTCGGTTGCTGCCCGCCAAATAGCTCTTCCAAAAATAAATAAATAAATAAAAAAAACGCTTCAGTACTTATAACTCAATATAATCGATCCCATTCGCTCTCACAAAAAGCGTGAAACCTGGGAGCTGCCCAAGTAGATCAATTTCTTATATCCTCAAAAAATTCGCCGACCTCTGCAGTACGGCCTAGCGGCGCATGCGTCAACGAGAGGCTAGCTCGCTACCGACGATCTTACCCAAGAGTAATGTTTTCATAAATGCTATATAGATACGTGAAGGGGCTGCTGGATCGATCCAGGACCCTTTTCATCTGTCGTATCTGCTCACACGCTGTAAACGCACCATGGCCGGGGGCGGCCAACGTTCGGTATAATGTCCATTCTAAACCCTAATATCGCTGCTTCATTTACGCCAAACCGCATAAAAGACGGCATAGATGTCCCCCGGCGTCGCAGTTGACCGCTTCATTGAACCTGTGCTGTGAGTCTTGAATAATTCGTCCCCTGGCTTGGATTAAGCTGATCTTGTACCATACCAGACTCGCCATGCATAATCTGAACACTTCCGCAGAGAACACGAAGCAACCTGCGGAGCACACCGTCAATCCCACCGAACCCATCCCGTGGCTCGACTGCGGCAAGTTTTCAACCAACGACGTCCGCCTCTGGTCCGAGCCGGAGCCCCTCACTGTTGGCGAGGTGCGATTCAAGGTCCCGAGCTGCTACCCGCGAGCAGTCCTCCTGGGCCTGAGCAACATCTGTATGAATAACGTGCGTATCAGGGCCGAAGTCCGCAGCATCGCAGACGACCGCGCGATCGTCAACATGGTCGCGTGGGGAGACACCACGCACTGGGAGACGGCATGCTCCTGGCTGAGTATCCCTCTCGACGACCCTGACATCCAATATGGCACCTACAGCAATAAGGAGGACCGCAGCGACGCCCAGTCCCAGCAGCTGACCTCGCGTCAGATCGCTTTCGCGCGCCCCTACGCGTCACCGCCAAAGGTCGTCGCTTGGCTCAATGCCGTCGACTGCGGAGCTGGGCGGAACGCGCAGGTTTCTGTCTACGCGGACGCCGTCGCGTCCGATGGGTTCACGATCCATACTTGGTCCGACTCGCTCCCGTTCTCCGCAGGCGCGTCGTGGATTGCGTACTCGGCCGGCCGCACGGACGTGCGCAGCGGAACATTCGAGATCAAGGACGTGCGCCCGCCCGATATGCCTCGCCATAAGAATCGTGGGCGCGTATCGTGGGGCGCACCGCGGATGGCGAAGCCGCCGCGGGTGTTCACGGCACTCAGGATGTTCCATTTCGACGGCGGGAAGATCGTGCGTCTTGCCTCGAGTCAGAGCGAGATCACGACTACCGGTATGACCTGGAATATGGATAGCTGGGATGAGACAATATTTTATCAGGCCGGACAGGTGTTTGTCGCCTTCGATGACGAGTGCGCAGACTCTGAGTCCTAAACTTTGAGCTTCAGCAGAAAGGGAATTGCTGACGAGAGACTCGAGTACAAATATATCATACGCGAGTAGTGTACAATGTTGCGACCAACATGTATAGGCTTTATCTGCGCTCGCTCGAGGGTGGTCAGACGACCTCATGGAAGATGTTGCTCAAGGAGGTCGTGAGCAGGTCTATCGGGTCCAGCATCGGGAAGCGATGTGGCGGTGCTGCATTGTATTCTTGGACTGGCGCCTTTAGTTATGGGGGCAGGCGTAAGGCTGAGGAGGCTGGTACAACACGTTTGTGCAAGCTGAAAGGACGAAGATGATGCCATCGATGCCAAATGGTCGCGGTATTGCGTGCAATGCAGGTGCTCTCGAGGTACAGTTGTTGGAAAACTGACCAGGCAAAACTGGAGGGATCGAACATGTGGTGATGACGGGGATGTACGTAGTGGAAACTGCGAGGAAAGTGGGGACCTCATTGAGGGGCGCTGTAACACACGAAATGTCGAGCAGGATCAGAATGGGGAAAGGAGGAGTCACAGCTCACATTACTCCACGTTCGGTGCTTCCGCAGTCACGAGCAAAGCCTCCGTGGCCTCCGCCAAGGACCGAGATCTTAGTCAGACCAGGGTAACTCGCGACTGGAGGACGGGCGATTACCGGGCTTCCGGCTGTGAAACCTATCGCGTTCTACTATCTCATTGCGGCTTGGAAGAGAGGAAGTCCCGATGAAGAGTGGCAGAGCGGCCTAATGACGTGGAGGATCTTGCGGCCTTAGAAGCCATGGCTTCGCCCGCCCGCTACGACGACATGTCGTGCACCCATCCTTCTAAGTAACACAGAGACAAGAGGGAAGTGTCGCTTTCTTGCCGTGAGACAATACGGTTGAACAGAGGAATAGGTTTGGTCGGACTGTGGAGGACCGAGGACAAAAGTGATTCGGTTCGGAATTCTGTGTCTTAAATAGTAGCGCCCGATCAGATCCGGCTTTGCAAGTCTGCTTATCTCGGTTAAGACCAGTAAGTAGGCACCTTATTACCACTTAACCGTCCGCTTACTGAGCTGACTGTGCAAGTCTTATAAAAGTCTTACCAATACCGGTAGTGAGTTTGAATTGATCACTGTAGTAAGTACGATGTACCTCTGGCCACGCCTGGTTCCCTCGAATCCCACTATGACTCCTTAGCGCTATTTAAGCAGCATCAAGAGCCTAATCACTTGTTTGTCAGTCGCTACGATATTCGTGCTCGTTCTCCTCCTTGACGTCTGCATTACACATTTTTCATTTTCACGTACTTACCGCAGTAATAGTCCCAAAAGCGTTGTCGCTGCCATGCCTGCGGCCAGGGAAAGTCTCTGAGTGTGCGAGAGGTTGAACTCTCGCTTGCGAGTCGCAACGGCGGCTGGCTATGTCGACGGAGTCCAGGAAAGGAAACGAAATGACGAAAGCAGTCGAAGGTCCACGCGCTCACTCGGTGAGCGCGACCGTGAAACGTCCAGTAACATCGACAGCTTGTCTTGTAACAGCCTCAAGCTGGAAAGACACTGATTAGTCCACGTTTCGCCGTCCCGACGTGACGCGATGGCCGCCAGCCTGCCGCTTCCTGAAGTCGATCGTTGCGACAGGGTTCACTAGGCGCGAGTGCCGCGCCCGGCATCCGGGCGAAATGACACCCTCTACTTCTGGTCGAACGTCGTGGGTGAGCAGGACATGCGCCATCATGATTATGATTTCACTTACCGCGAAGAAGCGGCGTCCAGGGCTGTTCGCGTCGTCCGCGTTCGTGTAGATCTCCTCGTCGTCGTGCATCGGCTGCGAAGTCACCATAATGGGCGTGCCCGCCGGGACGCGCGCGCCGTCCGAGAAGGTGTAATCTTGCATCGCGAAGTGCGTCATCACTGGTGTCCCCAGTTAGCGTGTGAACGTGCAGGAAACAGAGGACGTACAAGCGGCGAGGCTGTGAAACCGCTGGCACTCCTTCGTGAAGCTGTCGAGCTTCCGCATGCGCTGCACCGCGCCCTTCGTCCAGCCGTGTTCACGCATGATTTCCTCGATTTATTGGCGAAGAGACGTGACACATTCGAGGTGGGCAGTGGCAAGTAGACGCAGCGCGTCTGTGAAGGTCTGCAGTTCACCAGGCGGTGAAAAACTCACGCCAGTGGTACCACGGTGAAATATGTGAGGCGCTCCATGAACGAGAAGTGGATGGCTGCAAGATAGACGAGTAGAATACGCAGGACAATGCCGTCAACTGTGCGCTCGCTTTCATTGGCCTCCTCAATGAGCTACTGGATCACGTCGCTCTACCGTAAATGGTCAGCTATTATGTTTGAATAGCGTTAAGCACGCGTACGGGTTTGTTCGGCTAACCGTCGCCACGCTCCTTCAGTTGCTTCAGCCGATTCTCAATGACCTTGCCGATCTTCGCCTTTGCCTTTTCGACATATTTCGGGACAGGGAAAATCAGGCGACCTACGAAGCTAATCAGATATGGCACACGCTCGGCAGACTATTCAATGAACACCTCGGGGCGGGACAACACATGGTCTGATAAAAGATGGAGCTAATTGCAGCGCGAGTGCCTTTGATGCTATTTCCGCTGAAGGTTTCTCATACCTTTTTCACCAAAAGCGTTAGCCCGCATCTTGATTTGTCTCGTGATGGCAAGTGACGAAGGGGGATTGGGCTAAGTCTACCCATACTGTCGCATGGAATGGAGACTGAAAGGAAGGCACTAAAGGCTCCAACGAACGGAGCGCGAGAGGTAGGACGACACAATGACCAAAAGAAACATACAAAGGAAAAAGCAATTACATAAGACCGGAGATGATAAAGGCGTGCTGACAACGGGAGAACAGTACGCTTAGACTGTGCCGCCTCGCGCTGCACGTTGTAAAGGCTCCAGTGATGTGTACAGCGAGCCGAGTAGAACGTGCCACAGATACCGAGTTGAAGATTGATATTGCGGCTAGACTGTCTGAGAGTCCGCCAAGAAGGAACTCGCAGATGCGCTTATCGTTGAGCTGGTACTGTGTTACCAAACGAGTCTTCGTGAGCACCGCCGGAGACACGCTTGTTCTTGGACGCAGTCGCTATCCAAGCCATCTCCTGGAATGCGTCTAATGACTCTCTTATGAACGCCAATGTCGCGAAAATGCCAGACTCCTCACCGGGATCCGTGGGCAGTGAGGCTGCTGGATCTCGCCGGATGATGGCTGGACGAGTACGTACCTTGCATGAGTCATATAGATTGTGTAAACATGTAGGACGAACGAGCGATAGATTAAGCTGGCTACGCCACATCACGTAACTCTGGTAAGCCAACCTCGTCAGCCCGATAACAACCGGCGAACGGAGCACGACGGGAGAAGGTTCAAACTGAGCCGCCGGGGCGAAGACTAGTGCCCGCTTCAGCTGGGCGCCTGACGCCCTTGACGTCAACCTGACGCGTCAGGTCAGAACTTCTCACTGACAGGTGTCAGTCCGACCCTGACAGCGCCGATCCAAGACGCGTTCTCCCTCCACCGCTCACATTTGGGATGTACATCTGATGGTATTCAACAAACCTTGTAGACATTCGCGGAAATTCGCATCGTAAGTGCGCGTGGTTATCGAGGCAAGATGCCGTTGTTTACCAATGTTTTGTGCCAGCTGTCTGTGGATGCTAATAGTCCTAGGCAATTCTCAGTTTATTTCGCCAGGTTATTCTTAGGTGCATAGCACAATGGGGTGTGGGAGATAAGTGATATTTCGTGTGGATTCTCAAGACTATCTCCCAAGTCGGAAGGCTTTCACGCAACTTCGAGTGCGCTGTCTGAACGTCCAACATGCACGGCTGCATGCAGCTGCATGACCTGCAGGGGCCAGCACTCCTCCTCCTGCGTGCAACGATGCTGCCGTTGGTTCAATGAAATGCATCTCGAGCCCGTATTCGCCGTAGCTAGTCCTCAACGTTCAACGTCAACGTTCAGTTCAACATCCGTGGACGTAGTGGCGCAGAGTCTGGGTCTCTGTGTGCAAACTGCGCCACGAAGTGTTCGGTCGTGGGACCCGGCGATCAAAACAATCAAATTTGGAGATCTCGGCTTTAATCCCCTAATTTTAGCGCCGGAAGACCTGTTCGCGTTCCTCTCGGACGGCCTTGCTTCAGAACCTCAAACTACTCTCGTCGACGTGTCGAGGAACGAACAAGGCTTAAATATGGAGACTGAAGCGCAGCGGCTGAAAGAAAAGACTACGAGGAGAGCGGCCATCCTCGAGACGAAGAGGAAACGCGCAGAAGAGCTAAAAGACGAGGTGCGTGTCGTACGTCGCGAATTATTGTGCTACTTCAGCTCTTGTTCTAGGGAAAAAAGCATTTCCGGCAACAGCGCTTTGTCGAAGCCGCTACGTCCTACGAGCAGGCCATCATGACATATGGCCCGCGTGTGGTGTACATGAACAACCTCGCTGCGGCATACCTGAAGCTCGAAAGGTGCGTTTACTCATCCTGACACGTACATAAACGCCAGCTCAAGGTTTGGAAGATATGACGATGCGGAAACATGCGCAGAACAAGCTCTGACGCGTGACCATACGCTGCACAAAGCGCGTTACCGTCGTGCCCTGGCGAGGAAAGGCCTCGGCAAGCTGCGCTCAGCTGCAGCAGGTGCGATTTGTGGCCTCTGCCTCTCCATTTTTCTTACCTCGTCATGAGAAACAGACCTCGCCATCGTCATGGCCCAAGACCCGGCCTGCGCTGAAGCGGGGCGCGAACTCAACGCCGTGAGCGACATGCTTGATAACATTGGAGACGAAGCCTACGACGCGGACGACGCGAGGGAGACAATGGATGAGCTGAGTATGCCATTACCGGACGACCCCTATTTGGACGGCGCAGAGGACACGCCGTGGCTGTCCGAGACGAGCGACTTTGAGCACGCAGGCAACGCCGTGTCGTCCCGCTTTTACAACCACGACGGCTGCAAGAAAGGACGCAACTGTCCGTTCAGCCACGCACCCGACAACCAGAGCGTGCGCGACAATCTGTGCGTGTATCCTTTCGTCTATACGAATACGCTGCTCATGCGATGACGAACAGCGGCCGGAACGTCTGCCTGTTCCACATGCTCGGGCTCTGCAAGTTCCCCGCGGCCGATTGCGTCTACACACACGACACGCACGAGCTCCCGCACGGGCCGTGGGCCGAGCCGACGTGGGGCGCACGGAACCGCAGGATGCTCGAGCCGAGCGGCGTGGAACACAGCGCGCAGGTGCTCGAGCAGCTCGCGCCGCTGCTGAAGCCGACGCAGCCGGTGACGCGAGAGAGCCTGCTGCCGACGACCAGGCTGCGCGAGCTCAAGGAGGCGGGGACGGCGTACATGACGAGCTTCATGAAGAACGTGCCCGCGGCGATGGTGCCTGGCCTCGCCGAGATCTATCGTGGTGCGCCGGGCAGGGTCAGGCGGGGAGAGGTGCCTGGGACGAGTCGGAGGGGCAAGGCCAAGGCTGAAGGTAAAGGAAGCGGACGAGGGAAGGACAAAGGCACAGGCAAGGGCAAAGGCAAGAGCCAGAGAGCGGGGAGCTCGAAGGATTATTCAGATCATTGGGGCGAGTCAGAGATCGATGAGGAGATGGAAGAAAGGGCGGCGAACATGGGGTTCACAAATGATGAGGTCCATGAGCTGCTCTCTCAGGGTGTTAAGCCTTGGGACGATGATGCTTGGGTGAGTACCTGCGGTCTGCGTTCCAGCTCGTTCGGCTGACTCCCGGTATGTAGGATGTCATGGATGTTCTGCGATCCTCCTGACTACGGTGATATTGTGTACTCAACGGACTTGCAACTATACTTATCATATCGTTCGGCTTGAGCGCGATGTCCTGGGAGCATGCCACGCTGCTGGAGTCTAACAAGATCGCGTCCGTGGACGTCGACGCCAGCACAGACGCTAGGAAGTCTGCTGAGAAAGTCCTTGTTATCTGACATGCACTTTCGTCGCCGCATCTCAAGGGCCCTGCCAGGCACGGCCAAGTTGCACTCGTGGTCATCAAGGACGTTGCTGAGGGCAAATAGTAGTCCTTTCCGATGCGGTCCACCCGCCGTTGCTCTATATCTTTTCGTGTACGAGTGATCTGTCTGCAAGCTGTGGTAGTAGCGTGCTTTCCAGATGGCTCCCAGGGCCATCTGGCGTAACATTGTTACCAGCGAGTGAACATCAATTCTTTGAGGCTAGCCAAACGAAAAAAGTGCCTTATCGACATCACCCGTTGGCGTCAGCCATACAAAGAGCAATGCTCATGCTTTAATGGGTCATTATCGTAGGCTCCGTTATCGAGAGGAACAAACACGGGTGCGTTGGCGGTCCGTTCGGCGGGTGTGGTCTACACTAAGAGTGTTTTAGATACAAACATTAGGGGCAAACGACGTCCGCACGAGGTGCCGATGAACACGAGTATCTGGTAAGGAAAGTCAAAGAGAGCTGCGGAATGGAACGTGCATCAGGAAATAGTACCCATTCTACCCGATGCTATCAGATGCTTCGGAGCACTATCAACCTCAGGCTCTAGAATGGTCATTCGTTCCTGACGGACTCAGGCTATACTGACTTGAGATGGGGCGGTCATGCCCAGGGCCCAGGGGCCGGACCGCCGTATCCGACGAGAACTCTTTCCGGCAGTCAGGAAAAAAAAGTAGAGAGAGGAGACTTACATCTTCCAGAGCTTCGCTCGCGAAGGACTGCCTCTACAAAGCCATGTGCGTTAGCCCTATCCATGACATTCCGACAGTCTGGTAGGGTTTCTGTCTGCTAGGGCGAGACAAACTTGCGCCTAACCAAACATGCGAAACCGCACTTCGTTTGAAACGAGTGTTCTAACCTACTACTTCTCCGATCTGCCAGCCCGTCCAATGCATTATGGTCATAGCATGTGATCACTTGCGGGTGGAGCAAACTCTGACCGGCAGATTCGGAAACACGGACCTCTTCGAGAGCCGGCATACGCAAGAGTTTAGTGCGTTCTTTCAGACAGGCCGCTTGTTGGCGTTTCGGAAGTGTGGTCTCAAATTTGTAACTGAAATTATAGTCCCGAGCAATTTTGAACTGTCGCCTCGAGGCAGGCCGCATTTCAACGATGGTGCCTTGATGTCTTTGCTGGAGCCTGCAAGTTAGGAGCCCAGCGCGAGTGCGCTGTTCAGCAGTTATTAACACATTTGGTACCTGAAGAAGGACCATAGCATCTATAGCCTAGATATCAATGTTTTCATTGTCATTCAAGGACAAGAGAAGTAGGTGTATATCTGAAGCATGCGGAGCTATCACTAGAAACACGTGGTGATAACAATCTACGTGAATAACACTAGTGTCACTCGAGATCACTGAAACGCGAGATTCTCCCTAGTCTCGGTTCCAGTAGCGGGAGGCAAATGGCCAAGGGTCCAGCGGGAACAATTCATTTTTAGCGATTCATTAGCGGACGGTCACCGCTGCCCATGATCCGCAGAATATTGCATCGTCCGTAGACCTGGACCTAGGGAGACCACATATCAAGCTGTAGCTGGGAATTTCGGCGAAAGAAAGGAATATGACGACAGAGAGCAACCCAGCCCTCAGCAGCTCTACGTACCTTGGCTCGCACACAGTCGGCCGTTAATGACGTCGCCTACGTCGCTGGCGCAGACCGACGCATGTTCGTGCGGTTGCTCCCATCCATACCCGCTGATTTAGGGTGGACGTTCGTGCACTACTGTACTCCATTTTGGAAAATCTGCCTAGGACTGTGTTTGGGGACCGAGGCCTGCAATTCAATGCTAAATGATGCAAGGATAAAGGGCACCCAAGTTCGGCATACTTGTGTTCGGCCAGCATGAGTATTTGTGTGACAAAACCCACCTTTGGTGCATATTCAGCTTCGGTCTCATGACACTGTGACTGAACGAGCACGGTTGCTGCATGCCGCAAAGTGCCACTGGGTCTCGAGCGTGTGCTACGTGGCGGCGCGGCTAGACGCTGTTTGGTAAGGCGCTATGTCTACTTTTTCAATATATTCTAACCCTACCTGCGGTGTTTGAAACCCAACGGTCGACGAGCACGTGCGCCACCATCGGATCAAGGCACCATCGCCGGTGAAGACGCGCCGATAGTTTTTCCTCCCGTCTTAACGATGTCTGCGAGGGAAGTCTAGAATTGATTGCAACTAAACCTGCTTGGGGCTAGTTCAAGTCATCGCTTCAATCTCAGACTCGCCATCAAACCGAGCTCAAAACGCAGCTGACACAAGAGGTTTTTCCCGGTACCGCTAGCCATTTCTTGTGCTGGGGTATATATGCTGCGGCGTGCGTCGTGTAGGAGCCCCATACCGGGTCGACTTTCCAATGCCGCTGCTGTCCACTGTCTCGACACTCGCGCACCATGCACGCACCATTGTCTTGTTCACCGAGGCGGACCTGAAGACATCTTACCTTCCGATAGTACGCTCGTCATTGAACTCCATAGGACTTATGTGCTGATAGAATCCATTGCCTTTTCAGCTTTGTTTCTCCCTGGCCCTTGCACCGGTGCACTCCGTCTCGTGCGCGCTCCGTGCGGCATGCTGGCTCTGGATTCACCTCTTACAATTCTCTGTCGCAAATCAAGTGCACGCTGTCCACGAGGATACGATCAACAAAGCCTACAGGCCGTTGCCAGCGAAACGGATCACCGTCCAAAACGCCGCCATACTCCGCTGGGCCTTAGTTCCGATATGCTTTGGCTTCTCGTTGCTACATAGCGCAGAGGCGCTGTACGCCAGCGCCACCTTCGTAGCTCTGACGTTCATATACAACGAGCTACACGTCGCCTCTGGATTCTGGGTGTTTCGGAACATCCTGAATGGCATGGGGTTCGCGGCCTTCGAATGGGGCACGACGCTTATGGCCGGTGCGTATGCCAGTTGTCGTAGGGAATCTTGTGCGCTAAAACGGAGCCGGCAGGGGCCGACGGCCAGCATTTAAACTCGGCTGCACAGTTTGCAATATTCAGTAGCGCCGCGATCATCACCACGACGATACAGGTGCAAGACTTCAGGGACGTCGTGGGCGACGCACTTGTTGGCCGTGCCACCTTCCCACTCGTATCGGAGCGCTGGGCGCGCATGAGCGTTGTCGCGACAGTGATTCCGTGGTCGCTCGCGCTTTCAAAGGCGCAGGAGCTCGACGGCTCCGTCGCAGCACTCTTCGTTTTCTTAGGCGCCTTCGTCGGCCTGCGGTTCCTGATGTACAGGTCCGCTCGCAGCGACGAGACGTCGTACGTCATCTACAACGTCAGTCGGGGTTGTCCTGCCGTCTCCGCCGCAAAACGATGCTGATGAGTTCGCTGTGACAGATATGGTTGTCATGCGCGCATGTCCTGGCCGCCACAGGCACCTCGCCTACGTCATCATCGTAGTCCCTTTGCCGTTGACGGCGGTCCCGCAGCGCTTTACGCGGGAAAAAAGCGCCCTCTCGCGCGAACTGTTAGCACCAGGTACCCGGCGCGCCGCAGCAACTGCGCCACGAAGCCTGCGCCACTGGCCTGCGCCCCCTGGCAACCCGCCTGCCTGTCGCATCAAAATGCACCACTAGTCCCTTTGCACACGAACCCGACCACGCATTCATCCATTTCCGTGTTTTCCCTCGATTCTCTTGCACCATTTCGCTTAGCTGTTACATAGCACCCTTGCTACGACTCACCCACGACGCGTCACGCATCTACACGTCATTAATTTCTATCATACGAGTTAACATGTAAAGCATGCGATATAATACACACGGGAGACGGCCATCTCAAAACAAAACAGCGGAAAGCTTGTTCACGACTATATACATATGCAGCTAGAGCTTGGTGGCGCTTTCATGCGCCACGACGTCTCATCTGGCCTAGCTTGAAGCCGCGATTCCGGTATCCGGTGGCAGGATAGGGGGTCTTTCAGGAGGCAGGTTGGATAGGGGTTGCAAGTTTGGGCACGACATGTTTCAAGACTCAGTACATGGACTATAATATGGCGCCGGTTCATGTCGCAGTTCTCGTACAGCTACCGTCAATGCGGATAAATGACATCACGATGCATATCGTCCACAGTAAGTGTAACTGTCTTTAATTCTTCACAACATACTGTTTCTGAATCGCACCTCGGGGGAGCGCGGAGCTCGCCATCACCGAGTGCGTCTGTGTCCAGCGCGGGCGCCTGAGATCACGTGTATTTTTGATCCGCCCCGACCCGTTGCTCCGACTCGAACTGGCCAGTGTTTTTTTACACACTTCCGCTCGCTCACACCTGGCACACCGTTCTCAAGATATGTCAACAATCGCCATACAAAATGTATGCTACACTGGACGCAAAAAAGCACTGGCATTCGTCTCATCGGGGTCATGTCTTTGAACGAGCCATCGTATCCTTCTCTGTCTCTCGGGCCTCCATACATGCGCCCACAGCCTACGCCTGGAACCTGAATGTCTAGTGCAACCGGCGTCAGTATTGTCTCATGCTACAAAGCTGCAAAGAGCAACAGGAACTCACCGCCTCAGACACCGGCCCAAACGCATTCTCGAAGGCAGCGACATCGCCGACGAGGACAAAAACGCCTTCGTCAGGGACATAGACAAGTCTGTTGGTGGGAGTGGCTGCACAAGGTACCGTCAGCACTCTTCGTGAATCTCCAGCCCCGGCACAGACGACGACGGGAGAAGGGGCATGAAGCCATGGAGCCACTCACATCCGTCGCTGTTCACCCACTGCGCTCGGAGGCCGTCTCCGCCATTGCGGAAGCTCCAGATCGCGCTCTCGGCAGCCTCCTGGATCTCAGTCGCAGCGGTGAAGGAGTTGTCGATGTTCTGTGGGGTGGCGAGCGGGTCGGCTGAAGCACGCGCGAGTAGCTATGATCAGCTCGGTGAGCACCACAAACGCGCTTTTTACGCTTACTCTCAGTGACACCGCCGATGTAAACGTAGTTGGAGCTCCCATCACGGAGATCGGGGCTGTCGTTCGCGTAGCCGGAAATGCCGCCGATGTAGGAGTACGCCTGGTAGCCATTCTGGTTTCAACGTGTCAGCCGCCTGCATCCCGCGTCCAACCAGAGTTGCCCACGTACAGAAGAGACAATGCCAAACGGCGAACCCGTGCAGTTGTTGATGGTGACCGTGAGCGCGTCATCACGCGTCGTAGTGTAGCCGTACTCGCCAAACTCGTTGCCGTTCCTGCTGAGGTAGCCGTCGAGCGCGGGGCGGTCGGCGCCGCGGCCATCGGGGGCGGTGACGTGGATGACACCGTTGCGCGGCGCGCACCCGCCCGATGGAGAGTTCCCTCCTCCAGGCGTCGCGGAAGGGCGTGGGCGCGCACGCTGTGTGCGGTCTGCAGACGCGCGTCAGTGGGCTCCGGGCAACGAGAGGAGAGGGCGAGGCGGCGTACCTGCAGCGCGCCGGAAGTGGGGCTTCTTGGGTGGGAGCCCGCGGCGCATGCGCTCGCCGTTGGTCATTGCCGACTCGACAGGATTGAGGACAGTGTTGAGCGGGTTGAACGAACTCACGGCACCTGGGACGGCGCTGAGCGCGGAGAGGCCAGAGAGTTGGCCTGTGCCTGCAGCGGGGGTGGCGAGCGCGCTCGAGGCTAGGACGCCGACGAGTGCGAGCAGACGGAGAGGGGAATGCATCCTGAAAGTCGTGCGCGGTCGTGAGAGGTCGTGAGAGGTGTGTGGGACGGTCGACGTGAAGGAGCGTGGGGTAGTAGCGAGTGTGCGGCTGACGAGGTGTCAGCTGGGTGTAGGCTGGACGAGAGGAAGTCGGATGTCTCGTCTCAGTCCAACCGTCGGCCTCTTATACGATCTCTGAGAACGGAAGGTGCGCGAAGCCCGCTGTGTTTGGAAGGTCCTGTTCATTTTCCGCCATCTAAACTTGGAGAGTTACCTTTTCTGGTCGAGGCGTCGAGTGCTTCGTAGTCGGTCTTCGGCGCAGCTAGTCTCGGCCCTTGATGTTTCTCGCTCTCGCGGGGGACATCAACTCGTGGCTGCTGTAACTGTAGTTGTGCTGTTGTGGCTGGGCTGAAGTGTTGAAGCACCGGGGAGCTTGGATAGTACCTATATATGTAGCTTCCGAAGCACAGCTCAGAGCCCGTTGCTTGGCAGAATAACTGAACACGTCGACAGCTAAATTTTTGCGTAGGAAATACCGTACGGAAAGTGCAGATTTATACGGCTGGTATCAAGGTGCGGGCACTAACTATACCGATTTCGAAGAGACAAAGGATTGAGAAGAAACATTGGCAGCACCGCGGTCAAGCATAGGCGGTCCTGTGGGGCATGGGGGCATTCTTACTGTGGGAATATCCTCTGAATCCTGATGTTACATGGTAAGCGAAGTAGGTTAAGACGCCGCAAGCATTGCTGAATCGCAGACGCGCAAACTCCGCGCAGACCGACACGTGACGTAATGGAGATTACAAGCACCTCCGACGGCGAATTTATTGGCAAGGGGAAGTGCTATGAAGAGTTCAGCTGGATTCAACATGACGACTCCACGCACGAGCCAACCCCCACTTGCTCTAAACCACAATGTCCCCGCCAGCTCAGTCTGCGAACGAGAAAGGCTCGCCGCAGATGCACGACGAGAAAGCTGACGAGCACACCCTCAGCAACAGACCTCACGTTCCCCTCTCCTCAGCTGCCCCTACAAGCACCAAGAAACCCTTGCTGGATAGGCTGCATCTGCCTGATTGGGTCATAACTAATCTGCGTTCTTCAAGGTCTAGGAGGGTATGGCTTAGATGCTGGACCGTATCTTGGGTCGCCTACGTCATTCTGCTGCCCAATGCATCTCTGAAGGAGTTAGGAAACGTGTACGTGACCTTTAGTGACCTTTAAAAAATCAGCCGTAAAATTTATTCCGAATCTGCAGTGCTATCTTTGCGTTCCTCGCAAGCTTCATGGCGCCTGCGAATTTGCCAGTGCAGTTCTTCCTATTCGTCAGTTGGCTTTATCCTTCCCCCTGTGCCTGTCTGTGGCTGATTGCACACCCATCCAGGTCCTTACGGCTATGATCCTTGGCCTGTGTTTGGGATGGGCACTGGGTGCAGCCGCCATGAGAGCTGCTCTCGCCTCCAGGAACCAGCTCCTCCTCCAACAAAGTCTTCAAACGGAAGCTCAAAGGTGCGTACATATTCAGCCATGTCGCTGCTTCCGATCTCACTCCCGTACAGCGCCGCAGGCTTGGCCAACCCGGACGCCCTGTTCCAAGCCGATGTATTTGCTGGCAAATTTCTCGACACTGCGTGGGTGTATTTACAACGAAGTCGATTGCCCTGCTCACTGCTAGGGGTCGCAGATCATCCATCATTTTTGGAGCCTTCTTGGGGCTTGGTTGCTTCCTCTTCGCTCTGATGCGATCATATGCGCCAAAGTTGTTGCTTACGAGCGTTTTTGGCACTATCGCTCTGGATATCTTTTGCGTAAGCCCTTTGCCCTTTGTCCGTGTCTTGCGCTCTTGCCGGAGCTTATGCTCAGAACTACGGTGCTTTATTCCCTTTTCCCCAGTATACCCTCATGAATTCGCTCCTCGAGTCAATTGCGTGCTATATCGGCATCGGCATGGTTTGCACACTATTCATCTTCCCCGAGACCTTGAATCATGCAACACTGGTGTCCACTTCTGCCTTGGTGGGACGTCTGACAGACATTGTCGAACTGCAGCACCAGATCCTCAACGTTTCCCCCGATGACCTCGCTGAAGGGACGCCGTTCGCTTCCAAGATGCAAGGTTTGCGAACGGCAGTCTTGGCGGAAATTCAGCAAAGTATGTACTTTCACCACTTGCATTGAGGAATCCTTGGATAATAACTCATTTTAGGGGGCAGTGACGAGCTCCCTGAATTTCATTGGGGGCGAGTTCAGCTGGGGCAAATGGAATGCCGAGGATATCACAGGAATGAAAGAGCCGCTTGTCCTCGTGGTTAACCGGGCAGGTAGTACATGCGTGTGTATCTACATTTGCGAATAATACTTACATCGCGTTTTCAGCTGCCCTACATATCTTCGCGAAGCTAGCCGGGCGCCCTTCTTCGCGCGAGCCAAATCCGCCCCTTTCCCAGAAGCCTCCACTTCATCTGGCGCACCTTCTTCAGCCGCTGAGGACGCTCACGGATTCACCGGTGACACACCTCTCCTGCGCCAGCTCCACCAGCTGCACAATACCGCAGAGTTGACCTACTCTGTGCGCATGCAGGACGTTATGCCCGTGATCGAGGAGTCCACCGCCGACCTGCGTTCCGCCTGTTCCAATGGTCTGCGCGCGACGAAGACAGTGCTCGACGGCATCAACACACGGCGGTATGCCCGCCAGGGCGCCGAAGATTCCGACCAACACCTGACCGACCTCGACGCTGCATTTGAGCGCCTGCGCACCGCACTCGAGGAGTTCAAGACCTCGCGCCGAATGCAGCTCTTGCGTCCGTTTGACAGTTGCGTCCGTTTGACAGCGTTCTCGAGGATGCGAGGACGTCGGAGTCGCTGCGACCAAGCGCCGTCCCCCTGCGCAGCCTCTACATCTCGTTTGTCTTCGCAACTAACCTCGTCGTGCTTACCGAAGCGATCGCCGGGCTGATGGAGTACGTTCAGCTGACAGCCCACAAGCGGAAAAAGAACCGTTTGTGGGCTCCTGGCGGGCTGCGCGCTCTGGGGAGGGCCATCATGTCCCGGGGGGACGCGAGCGACCAGGCGGCAGGCGAAGATTACGCGCCTCGGCCTAATGAAGAGGTCAAGGAAGAGGAGGGACCGTATCGTGCGCGATAAAGCTGTTTTCTCCAGTACGATGACTGACGTCCGGATAGGACGCGACCCTGATAGTAGGCCACCCACGAATGCTTTGCAAAGAGTTGCCAACGGCCTGCACACTCTGTATAAATGGATCAAAACACCTGAAGCCCTGGTACGTGCAGCCACGACTTTTTCCTCTCCGTCTTTCTGACGTTAGGATAGTTCTGCTTTAGATATGCTGTCATCTCCGTGGCGTTATACATACCGGCCGTAGTTCGTACGAGTGCAAGTAAATCTGCTCTTTCGCATCGATGAATGCGTACTGACAAGTCGAAAAGAATTTATCTACATTAATAAGGGCCTCTGGTATACCGAACAGCATACATTAAAGGAATGTGGACTGACCTAATGCGCTTTTAGGTCCCTCATCATGGCACAGACGACGTTGAATGTATTCGTATCCGATCAGATATTCAAGTAAGAATCGTACTGTCACGGTTATGCGCGGTATAAACAAGATTAAATCTAGTTACTTTACTCGTCTGCTCGGCACATTCATTGGTGCTGTACTGGGTCTTCTCTCTTGGTAGATAGGTGCGTTGTTCGATGCTCTTGTGTGTCTTGTGTATAAGCTGAGTTTTTACTTCAGGCGACGCGAAAAGCAACTGTAACCCGTACGGCTCTGCCGCTACGGTTGCTGTCTTCTTGGTTCACCTCATCTTCCTGAGGCTGTTCTCTCCGCCGCAGTACCTGTCGGGTGTGATGATTGGCGGTGTGGGTATCCGCGTTGTATATGCATTCCTGGGCTAATTGCTACAGCTGTAGTCGACTTACATGCTGGTCCCAGGGTACTCCTGGATTGATGGGCATTTACCAACTGTTGGTAATCCGGGGCTTGGGTGGGATGTGGCATGGAGGCGCTTCGTCAACGTGATCATCGGTACGCTACGCCTTCTTAACCCCGGGCGAGGCTTACATTCCCCCGCAGGCAGCGCCGCGTCGTTCGTTGTAATGATGCTTCCCCCCAAGTCCGGACGCAAAGCCGTCCGGCTACGCAATTCCTCTCACATATCCACGATCTCTTTTCTGTACTCGGACATCATGGCCGTATGGATCGATAGCGCCAGCGTGCGCCACGTACATGGATCCTTGGCCGAGCTCCTCCCGAACGCGCGCAAGCAGTTTCTCAAGCTCGCGACGCAGCTCCAGGCGGTCAAGAGTCAAACAACAATAGCCAAGTGGGAGGGCAGCATCCGCGGCGCATGGCCATTCGAGGAGTACATGAAGCTTGCGAACGTGCAGACTGACATGATGAGCAGTCTTGCCCTGGTGCGTCGTGTGCCTGTGGCCTGATGCGGAAGCGCTGACATCCCTCCATCAAGCTTGCAAGCGCATTGGCTCAGGTCGACCCTGCGATGCGTGCCAGCTTCCTTCAGCGCACGATGGCTGTCAACCCCAACTTTTTCAGTCGCCATGCCTCTCTGTCTCACGCCTGCAACTGACTTTCTGTAGATCTCAGATGTGATGGCCACCTTCTCACTGGTCTCACAGGCCTTGCGCACGGGGGAACCTCTCCCGCAGCCCTTCCACCAGAACTTTCTCGATAGACTACATTATCATGGCACTGTCGAAAGGCAAACCTTCGCCGAGAACGATGACAATGCCAAGGACTTGGTACACAAGAGCAACCCCGAGCAGATCGCAAACTACGAGTTCATGTTCTATGCCACCGCGATCTGTGCCGTGTTCCAGGTGGTAGAGGTGGGTTTTTTGTTGGGCTCTGAGATGCGTGAAGCAGCTGACTGGGCCACCCAGGGATTAAATGAGCTGCATGAAATCACAGCAAGGCTTTGTGGTGCAATTCCTTTGCAGGGGTGGACGAAGTGGAGAGCGGAGTATGACCAGACACATGCCATGAAGGCATGATTGTATTACCGGCATACGATTCTTGACGATGCTTATTATTCGGTATGCCACTGTCTCTTGTAGCTTCTTTATGTACTGTACGTCCTTTTCATCACCACTAATGTTAATTGTGAAAATAATTTAGGCAAGCTAGCGAGCCCGCGCCCTCGTAGGTTGTGTGATACATTTCTTTCTTCAGCCAGCATTGGATACAACTCGCATGGGACATTCATGGCTCAAGTCACTCGTGCTCGAACCCCTCAAAATGCACCTCTAGTCGCTCCCCGTCCCCCTCTCGCACCGCCGTCGGCCGCGCAGCGTACGTCCCCACCTGCATCAGGCCTTCATGCTCGAACGCCCATGTCACCTCTCGTATCGGCACCTCGTCCCGCACGCCATCGCGCACAACATACACGAACAGCGATGAGCCAGTTTCCGTTGCCGCGTTGACGGCCTCGCGCTCGAGTTCGATCGTGACGCCTGGCTCAGACGTATGTGAGGAGGAGAGGGGCAGCGATGTAAGGCTCCAGTCGGACCACTCCCGCGAGGCTACGACGCTGACGGTCGGCCTGCCGTGGTAGAACTCGATGCCCGCCTTCAGCCAGAAGCGTCCGGTGACGCTTGTGAACCCTCCGTCCCCTCCTGCGTCTCCAGCACTTGTCGCGTCCGACGAAGGGCCCGGAAACACGATGAAAAGCCCGCCCTGGTCGTACAACCTCTCCCAATGCGCGCGGACCGTGACGCGTACACGCTTGAACGTGCGGGACTCGACGCCCACGAGCTGCGTCGGCGCGTTCGCGCTGTCTATCGACGGCGGCTTCCGCCAGAAGTCGGTCTTCGGGGCAGCGATGAGTGTGGAGGACTCAGGCATTGTAGTGAGTATATCTCAGCTCAGACTCAAGATGGCGTGGCGAGTGGAAGTAGATGGCAAGGAGGGAGGTGCCCGTGAGAGGGATGAAGAAGGACGCCAGTCCTTCCGCCGAGGATATGCCGGCGGGTGCGCGCGCGAGCTTGAAAACTGTTACAATTGAGTTTCTTCACTGTGGTATACTCACATGAATTTCCAGACTCCGGCATAGCCCATCGTACATTCCGACGAGGTCACCGTTAGGACCGCCGCCGATTGTTGATACCTAGAGGCGGCGGCACGGCTATACAAATCTGGTCTAAAGCACTAGATGTGTAAAAGTACGTTCCCTACCTCAGTACATAACGACTGCGTTCACTCGCCGAACTTCTTGCCCTTCTCGCCATCGGCCTCGACCTGATCTCAATCTGGCTGACCACACGCCTACTTCCTCTCCTGCCGCGATATCCTATCTCGTCCTCGGTTAGCTGGTTAAGGCCACTCTGGTATCAATGCCCCCTTCGTCGACCTGTGCACTATCTTCGGCCGCATCATCTTCTGTTGCGTCGTCTCCTTCATTCGCATAACCTTCAATGTGGTCGTCTTCTTCGCTCGTAGGTACGTCAAAGTGGACTCTTTTACTGCCAGCGGTATCTTGACTATCTATTTGCTGTCTTCTGTTCATCGGCCCTTCTTCTGCGTCTCCGTGCTTTCCTGCGGCGCCCGCGTTCACCGGCAACTCCTCCGCATCCCGACCAAAGCTACTAGACCCTCCAATCAGCAGCCTCTGGTACTGTCTCTCCTGTGACGGCATGTGCTGGACTGACTGGACTGCTGACTGCGAAGCCAGCGGGTGGTCGGTGACACCCACGAATCTTAGCGCCGACGGACCTGCAGTGACGTAGGAGGGGCCAACGGGTCCAACTTCTGGTTGTTGCGACGCAAGCCGCCTCCGCTCTTGAAGTCTCGCGAGTCTTGAGTATCTCGTTACATACTCAGGCGGGACGAAGGACCCAAGGGAAACGACGAGCTCGTCCGGAAAGATTGGCTCGCGCGTGGATGAACAAGGAGTCGAAGTACCGCCACCGTTTTCGACAGACTCCACGATGTCGAGACACTCCATGGCGAGCTTTCGGTCCTCGGCAAGCAGCTCGTCCGGGGTGAGAGATGCAGGAGCACACGTATAGTATTGCGCGCTCTCGACGCGCCATCTTTTCTCGGAGGTATACTTGCGTAGGGCAGCGTTTATTGCATTGCAGAGCGTCCGCGTTGTTGACCTTGAGACCATCCGCTCGATACTCAGCAGAGATGACGATGATGACGACGACGACGACGTCTGGGTCTCTGGATCCTCCTTGGCGTGTCCCACGCATAGCCGGATGTGGAGGTAGCAAAAGCGAACTATGTCAATTGGGCGAGATTCTTGTCCGTCGTCATACATGCCGTTCACGTATTGTTGTGCAACCATCATTGAATTATCCAACATAGCCGTCTGATCTGGGCAGAGCAAGTGAATAAAAGCACTGTAAGTAATAACCGGAAACATACCATTGGCATGGCTGCTGGTAAACGCGTCCATGCAGAATTGCAGCATATATGCACGTGGTGCATGTGTAAGGTGGTGTAGCGATGAGAATGTAAGAGATAATGCGATGTAGGCATAACGCGGATCTCCCCAGAATGCAGCAAGATTTGCGGTTGCATACCCTCTTCTGCCGATTAGGTCCGATAACTCCCAGAAAATGTGGACAGACTCTTTGAAACCGATGAGGGAAGATGGATCTTCTGACTTGCTCTGCCACAGCAGCGCAAAGTGGATGAGATCCCAAATGTCTTCTAATATCGGACGTGCCATCCGGTGCTGGAAGAGGTCCGGTTCTTGGGATAGGACTACATACAGCGGTTGCGGCTCGGTGCTGGGAGAGTTTGAGCGGTATGGGCGAAGAAGTTCGGCATACATGCAGTATACCGCGAGTATGGAGCCAGATTCTTGGCCGTCGTTCTCATAAACCAGACGCAGCCGATCAGTTAGTGGGCGAAATACGAATGACTTCTCATCCAGGCGTGGGATTATCCATTGCGCAATGGAATACGCTGCGAGGTCTGGCGACTCTTTGTTGTGGGCGAGAAGGTGGCGAAGACATGTAACCGCAGAAGGAGGAAGCGAATGCGGGGAGCTGGAGAGAAGGAGCAATGTGGTCTTGTGGAGCCAGTCAGGGCTAGACTCGAGCAAGGGGCCTCTAGGTTTTCGGCGATCTGCCAAGTCGGCGAGCATCTCCATGAAAGTGTTCCATGCTCCAAGAGACAGCAACGTGAAGTCGGGAATGGCGCGCAGCCTCACTGGAAGGAGATACTCAGCGTCACCACCAAGGCGTGTAGCGATGAGATGAACGATGAATGAAAGAGACTTGGAAATGTCGTGCGAGTGCCGCTTCAACAGCTCTAGCACTGCTGGAAGCTGGCTGTCATTCGCCATGAGTGAAGCTATGTAAAATAGGATGTTGCCCTGCGTGTCCTGCTCCGACGCTAGGCACAGCCTGTCGAAGAATGGACGAAAATCAAATTCCTGTTCGTCGGGTAACTCGGGTTGTGGGGTTATCCATCGAACGAACCCTCCACTGGTAAATGACCCTGATGCATCGACGAGAAGACTGCGAAGGCACGCCAAGGCGGGGTTGGGGAGTGGGTAATGAGAAGTGGAGAGAAGGAGTAACGTCGTCTTGTACAACCAGCCTGGGCTGGAAGCGAGTAAGGGCCCAGGCTGGCAACGTCCCGCCAAATCGGCGAGCATCTCCATGAAAGTAGCCCATGCCTGTCGGGACAGCGGCGTGAGGTTTGGAATGCGACGTAGCCTAGGAGAACGGAGGTAGACGGCATCGCTTCCGGCGCGGCTCACAATGAGTTCGACGATAAAATCGAGTGAATCCCGAGGATCCGAGCGCTGCTTGAACGCGTTCCACATTGTCGGAAGTAGGCTGTCGTCCGCCATAATGGCGTCCATGGACAGCAGCATGTCCTTGTCGTCCTTGTCGCCGGTGATTACCTGATCCTCTTCATCGTCAATGCCAGCCTCAGGTCGGCCTGCTGGAAGGGAAGCGAACGAGCGACGTATCCTCATAACGACTCGTGTTCTCACTGCTCGCACTACGGACTTAAGCAGAGGAATCTTGTATGGGCATCGGGGTGAGACGAGTGGTGCGAGTGTAGTAACGACGATGAAGAAGGCCCAACCGGAGACAAGCGGTACGCTGGTGAAGTACACGTGCTCATCGACATTCGCAGTGAAGAAGCAGAGCCCAGCGAAGAACAGGCCGAGAGAGAGCTGGATAAGCATGGGCAATACGGCGGCGATCTCAAAGACCTTCCACTTCTCGAGCCCAGGTCTTCGGTACTGGCGTGCACGGAGACGCTCTTGCGGTGCAGTGTGTTCAATAGCGAGGTACTCCCGCAGCCACTGCTTGACGAGCATACTGAGCGACGCGGTTGCGAGGCTGATGATGAGGCTTGCAAACCAGAGACCGTTGACGCGGACGGCCCACAGCGGAACCGTGAAATGGGGAAGGATAGGAGATGGCTGGGCGGCGGAGTCAAGGGTACCAGAAGTGATGGTATAACTTTGCGTTTGTACAACGATGCGCTCGAGTAGGAAGACTATCTGAGTATTTGGGTCAGGCCGAAGGTCCGTGTACGATTCAACGACGAAAGCCGACAGCACGGCTGAATACAGGCCAGTCTGTAACCGGATACGAGTATAAGAATATAACAAGAGAGACGCCTGGTTAGACTCACGAATACTAGTAGAGTGTCTATGTCTTCTTTGCAGTTCTGAACCTTGTCTTCGTCGAATCCACGCACAGTTTTCGCCATCGTTTGCCATCCGGCTGGGGGTGAAACCTCTACATAACGTACGCCGCTGGTGGGCTTTATTGCGCATCCTTTTAAATGAAACACAAGCTTAGATAAATACAGGGCGTACCGGAGGTTCTTGCTGCGGCATGCTTTGTGCGAAGATGGAAAGGTCAGACCGCGAGAAGCAGGGGTGGCGAGAGAGATAGGGAGTCAAAAGCAGCTTTATACCACTCTTGCTAGCCTGTGTACACATATAGGACATGCTCACAGCATCTGAAGCACTCTCACGACATTACAAGAGAACCACTCGTGCGGCATGCTACAAATGATTGGACGAGCAAGCGGGGTTATTGATAACGTGGTACGGAGGAATAGAACGCGGCCATACCTGGAATAGATGCAGAGATGACTGCGGGTTCATGAATTCGTGCACCAAATGTTCTATAGGGTTTTTGTGATGTGGTTGAATTAGAAACAACAGTGTTTGTCCCACCAATATGGTTGAGCACGGTGGCATGATGCGGGCCAGGATATTTGGAACCAGTGGTGGAGAGCATAGCATGTGGTCCATCGTCCGTGTCGGTCTTTCATGTTCGTGGTAAAAATGTGCCGTACCATGCACGTATCGCATCCTAGGATAATATGCACAGCGTTCGGGAGATGGAAACGCCAGACAAATTAATTATATGTGTAAATTGCAGGGGTGGTGGCGGTACAATATTAACATCTTCCGGGCTGCTATTGTGGCGAATGGGGTCGGAATTCTGCGTGCAGACATCGAGCAAGATAGCGAGCATGGAGACCGTAGCAAAGCGGTAATGTAAGACCCCGGATACTTGCAACGCCATGTGGGCCGCGCCTCACACTGCGGAAGGGATCTGTAGGCGTTGGCGAGAGGAACACCGACATTCAGTAGCTGCAAGATTTGATACAGGTGTGCATAATGCTGCTATTCTGTATTGTACAGGATTATTTTTAAATCCTTGTAATTCTCGGAATGTGCCCCTGCAGCGCGACATGTCTGAGGGGAAGTCAAGTTGTAGCATATAAAATGAAATAAAAGATAAAAATAAAGAACAAAAACATGTAAATAGTACATCATATGCTTGTGTTCTATGCTATTATAGACCTCCCAAAGCCAGAGACAAACCAGAGAGCAAGCCAGATGGGCTGGGGCAAGTGCCCGTCAACTTCTCGCGCTGAAATGGTTAATTCAAACCATAAGGTCTCTATAATATCTGTGTGGTAAGCCGGGTAAGCAATTGGTTGAACGGTGTGCTTACTTCTCTGCGCGCCGCTAATCCATCCGCTCCTACACAATGGCGGTGCACACCCACCCTGCTCCTCTGACCAAGCTATGCTATCTTATAAAGAAGCGACTCTCCTACCTCGGCTTTATGATTCCTAGATGGTTGAGCATGAAGATGTCGTCACAATGGCCGAACTGGCCCTGACTCTCAAGGTCTCAAGATCCTTCATGTCGACGGATCCCTCTACCAGCCTGGACCAGGCCGTCCTTGCAGGTCTTCATCCTTCGTGACGCTGTCCGTGTATCAGATGTGATGGGCTCTCGTACCAGAGTATGACTTCCCATCTGCCGCTTGCACGTCACTCCCTTCCGAGAAGGCCCTACTCAGCGGAGGCAATGAGGGCGATGTTGGACTGGATGACATTGATGGCACATTGTATGTATCTCTCGCCCATCCTCTACTGGCTCTGATCAACGAGTTAACGACCCATGCGTCACAGCGTAAGTGCATCGATAAGGGCGTCACTTTCCTCGCAGACGACTCTGCGTACCATGTCATTGTCGCCGACTCGTTCTCTCTTCCGGTCTTTCCAAGTCGCTATTCCGGAACTATTCTCTGAGCCCCCCGCGCTGCGCGCAATACCGCGACCATTCAGCGTTGGTCGCATCACCTTCGTACCCGTTTATCTTGCACTTGCACAAACACGACGCACCAGCACCCTCGGCCTCGCATCTGTACAATCTGAAGGTGCCAGTGCAAGTGATCTATGCTCCCTTGCCTCCTTTAAACTCGATGCCGAACCTGCTGGATATGCGTATGGTCTCCTCAGGTGACATCTTTCATGGGGCCGCCCGGTTGACTCTAAACGACACAGCAGCTTCATCGAATCTCTCCCCTCCCCTCTCCCCGAGTCCCTCTTCCCTGGCCAAACTCAATATCTTGTATATCTTGCCTGATATGATTGATCTAACCAGCGAGCATTCATCGCCGCCTTTAATACAGCTACCGCGGTTAACGGCACCTCAAGCATGCGATGCGAACACATACCTTTGCAAGCCGATCTTTGCAAATCCCATTGGGCCGGCGGTCGTGCAGTGAATGACGGTGATGCTGCAAGCGACGTGCACGATACAGACGATCTCCTCGCACAATCCCATGCTAGCACTCTCGTTCAAGCGCAGATGACAAAATGCTCAGAATCGGCCAGTAGACGAATAAAATTTTCACCGCAACGTCGATCGTGCGGGCGCAGGATTGCCAGCTATTGGGCCACCGCCGGCATACCTAGTGATCTACAACGCAGAGCTGCTGCTGTTGTCGACGCCGATACCGATGGGTGGTTTGCTGCATTTTCTATGCTCCGCGGATGACCCTCTGCTCCTACGGCTTCTTTCTCTTTGCCAGATCTTAGGCTTGTTGAACTTGTGTAACAATCACGAAGGTCACTCAGGCTGGTAACGGATTGTATTCATAGGTGGCAGTATCTTCGCCTGACGTTTTCCGGCGCTTTGCTTAATATATCCTATTTATTGCACTTCATCTATCTGAGATGGTATCTACAGGCCGTCCGATCGCAAACTGAGGTGTAGGAACAGTGGTTTCGACTATTGGGAGCATAGGCAGCTTCTGTGGGGTTAGGGCCAGCGCCACAGATCCCACGCTAAGTACTTCTCTCTGAACGTTGTCGTTCGCCACAAAGTTTGTGCTATCTTCGTCACGGCCCTTGATGCCATCTCGTGCTGGTGTCTCATGCCCACTTCCACTCCTACTTCGACTTCCGACCTGGCCTCCAACTCAGCGGGCTAATGTGGCCTGTTATGACAACTTGCTTTTCGTTGACCGCACTGTCTTCATCCGCCCCATGTCTTTTCGCATCGCCTTCGATCACAACATCTCCTTCGTCTTCGGTCGTAGCGTCGCCAGCTTCGTCAAAGCGTATCTCGCCTCTCATAGAAGTGTCACCATGATCAACGCCCGGTTCTTCCGAGTCGTTCATCGATCCCTCGTCAAGGACGGTTTCTCCTGTGATGGCCCATCCTGGGCTGACCGGACCGCCGATGATCGCGAGGACAGCGAGGGCTCAGGGGCGTCCTTTGTCGATGGCGCATCCGCACGACTGGAGGGGCCTGTGGGCCCGGCTACTAGCTGTGGTGGTTGAAGCCGCTCTCGCTCCTGGAGCGTCGCAAGCCTCGGGTACTTCGAAACTTCTTCTGGCAAGATGAAGAAGCCGAGTGCGGCAATGAGCCCGTCTGGGAAGGCCTTCTCGCGCGCAGGTGCGTCGGGACTTGAAGTGCCACCACCGCGCTCGATCGACTGTATGATGTCAAGGCACTCTCCGGCGAGCCGTCGATCCTCGGCAAATAGCTCGTCCGGTGTGCGAAGTGTAAGGAGATGATAGAAGCGTTTCACATACTTGGCACGCCACCTTTCCTCTCCGGAGTACTTGCGTAGAGCAGCGCTTGCGGCATCCCAGAGGCTCGTCCATGTGGCTGGCGTTGGAATCGTCGCGCCATGATCAGACGGAGGCGATGTTATCACAGTCGGTGGACTTCCTTTGATGTGCTCCGAGTATAGCCGGATGTGAAGGTAGCAAAAGCGGACCATGTCTATCGGGTCGAATGTATCTTTGTCGTACTGATTGTCCATAAACTGGCGCGCAACTTTTGTTGAATTCTCCGCAATCTTTGCCTTGTCTGGACGGAGCAAGTGAATGGAAGCACTGTGGATAAATACTGCATAACATACCATGGCTACCAGCAAACGTATCCATGCACAGCTGCAGTTTATATGTCCGTGGGGCATGTGTATATTGATGTAGTGACGAAAATGTGCGAGATAATGCAAGATAAGTGCAAGGCGACTCTCTCCAAAATGCAGCAAGGATTGCAGTCGCATCGGCTCTCCTACCCATCCTATCCGACAACTCCCAGAGAATTAGGGCAGACATATCTTGGCCTTGGAGGGTACGGGAGCCGTCAGTCCTGCTTTCAAACAGTAGCACCGAGCGAATAAGGTTCCAGATGTCGTCTAATATTGGGCGTGCCAACTGTTGTTCGAAGAGTTCCGGTTCTTGAGACAATAGCGCATACAGCAATCGCGGCTGCGGGCTGGGAGAGTTTGAGCGGTATGGGCGAAGAAGTTCCGCATACATAAAAAGTATTGCGTATAGACAGCCACCGTCTTGGCCGCTGGCTTCGTAGACTGGTTGTAGACGATCGAAGAGCGGGCGGAAGACGAACGGCTCCTCATCGACACCTGGGACTATCCATTTCGCGATCGAGTGCCCCGCGGTCCATCCCTCTGCATCGGCAAGGAGGCCGCGAAGACAGACCACCACAGAGTCGGAGAGGGGATACGGGGAGACAGAGAGAAGGAGCAATGTTGTCTTGTACAGCCAGTCGGGACTCGAGATGAGCAGGGGACCGCTGGGTTCACGGCAGTCTGCCAAGTCCACGAGCATTTCCATCAGTTTGTCCCATGTCTGGCGGGGTATTGACGAGAGATCCGGAATGGAGCGTAGCCTGACGGGAAGGAGGTACTCGGCGTCGGCACCAAGATGGCAAATGATGACGTGGGTGATGAAAGAGAGGCATCGCACAGGATCGCGTGTGGGCTGTATCAGCGCATTCCACATTGCTGGAAGGAGACCGTCGTCAGCTATAGTGGCGGCTACGGATAGTAGGATGTTCTTGTCGCCCCGGTTGCTGCGATCATCAGCTCCAGGAGTTGGACGGAATAGCGAACGAAGGTCGAACCCCTGCTCATCCTGCCCTGGAGCTATCCATTGCGCAATCGGCTTCGCTGCAGCCAGCCCTGGTGCGTCAGGAAGAAGTATCCGGATGCATGCCAGGGCAGAGCTGGAAAGCGGATATGGGGAACTGGAGAGAAGGAGTAGTGTCGTCTTGTGCAGCCAGTCGGGGCTCGAGTCGACCAAGGGTCCACGAGGCTGGTGGAGGTCAACCAAGTCCGCGAGCATCTCCATGAAGATCTCCCATGTCTGATGGGACAACGAGGTGAGATCCGGGATGGAGCGCAGCCTGACAGGAAGGAGGTAACTGGCGTCAGCGCCAAGGCGACCGACAATGAGATAAGAGACAAAAGAAAGGGATCCGGCGGGGTCATGCGCGCGCCGCTTGAATATGTCGAGCATCGTCGGAAGGAGGCTATCGCTCGCCAGGACTGCAGCTATGGGTAGCAAGACATCCTTGTCGTCTTGTGCGCCTTTCTCCAAAGCTAGACACAGCCGATCGAATAAAGGACGAAGGTCAAATTCTTGCTCGTGGAAATGCGGGGTTACCCATTGAGCGAACATGTCCGCCCCTTCGAGCGACCCAGATGCGCCGACGAGAAGGCTGCGAAGAGACGCTTTTGCAGAGCTGGGGAGGGGGTAATGAGAGGTAGAGAGAAGGAGTAATATCGTCTTGTGCAGCCAGTCGGGGTTCGAGACAAGCGGAGTCTCGAGCTGACGACGGCCCGCCAAGTCGGCCAGCATCTCCATGAAAGTGATCCATGCTCGCCGGGACAGTGACGTGAGGTCCGGTATGCAGCGTGGCCTAGGGGAGTGGAGGTACTCGGCCTTGCTACCGGCGCGGCGCACGATGAGCTCGACGACGAAATCGAGTAAGTCTGCAGGATTAGAGCGCTCCTTCAACACCTCCCACATCGTCGGAAGCAGGTTGTCGTCCGCCATAATCGCGTCCATCGACAGTAGCATCTCCTTGTCATCTTGATCACCGGAAACCACCTGGTCCTCTTCGTCGTCAGTACTCATGACCGGTTCCGGCTCTGAGTGTCCGATCTGGCCAATTATGCTCGCCAGGTCCGCAAACAAGGAAGCCAGTGAACGACGCATCTTCATCGTCATTCGTATTCTCGTGGCCCGCATCATAGACTTGAGCAACGGCATCTTGTATGGGCATCGCGGCGAGAAAAGTGGTGCGAGTGTGCTGGCAACAAAGAAGAACGCCCAGCCGGAGACAAGCGGTATGCATGTGAGGCCCATCCGCTCATCGACATTCGCAGTGAAGAAGCAGAGTCCAGTGAAGAACAGGCCGAGCGACAGCTGAAGTAGCATGGGGAGTACAGCCGCAATCTCGAACACCTTCCATTTCTCTAGTCCTGGCTTGCGGTACTGGCGTGCACGGAGGCGCTCCTGCGGGGAAGTGTACTCGAATGCGAGATACTCGCGTAGCCACTGCTTGACCAGCATGCTGAATGACGCTGTCGCGAGGCTGACGATAAGACTCGCGAACCACAGACCGTTGACGCGGACGGCCCATAGCGGAGCGGTGAACTGGGGAGGGGCAGGTGCCAGTTGGGCGGTGGAGTTGAGGGTCCCGGATGTGATGGTGTAGCTCTGGGTCTGATTGGCGATGCGCTCGAGTAAGAAGGTCATCTGCGTGCTTGGGTCGGGCTGAAGATCGGTATAGGACTCGAGGACGAATGCTGATAGGACAGCCGAGTACAGACCGGTCTATCAACAGACATACATGTGAGAACGTAACGAGGGCGAGGTGTATCAACTCACGAATACTAGAAGCGTGTAGATATCTTCTTTACAGTCCTGAACTTTGTCTTCGTCGAATTCATGCACGGTCTTGGCCATTGTTTGCCACCCTGTTGGAGCTTACGACGGCCTGTCTCTCGTCACCGCTCACCAGTGACCACTTTCGCCGCTAGACCCCCACAGATTTGACCGCCTCTCATTACACCGAGAATGTCACAACACACAACGGGCAAAACCCGCATCCAGTTCCGCGCGAGGTGCGACTGGACATCATCTCCAGTACCGCATCCAGTACCACATCCAGTACCGCATCCAGTCGCGCAATCAGTCGTGGGAATTACTGTCGTGATTGGCTGAACCCCTCCAGAAAGGCAGTGTCAAGTACTAAAAATAGAAGTGATGCACTGCCCCAGTGCCCGACGCTGTCCACCCTTGAAGCTTGAAGCTTGAAGTTGTGTCAGTGTCCAAAGCAATTCTCAGATTATTTCGCCAGCCTATTTCTCAGGTGCCGGCTGAATAGCGGCACAGCGTGATGGCGTGATGGGAGATAAGCAATATTCCGCGCGCATTCTCAAGGCTACCTGCCAGATTGAGAGGCTTTCATGCGACTTTGAGTGCGCTGGCTGCTGAATTCACAGGGGCTAGCACCCCTCCGCCCGTGCACATCGACACTGTGGCCGTTAGCCAAATGAAGGGAACACCCAACCCTTCCTCGCCATAGCTCTTTGCTCGCCGAGGATGTGGCCCCGGAAATCGCCGCGCTGCTCACTGCGCGCTGAGCGCTGGGCGCATGCATCACATGGTCCCATGCAAGGGCGACGCGATTAGATTTGTGGCTTGTGACGCTATCAAATCTGTAGCCTTGACACAAGTTTCACGAGAACCAAAAATGTGTTATTTATGAATAAATATTTAGGCACCGCAGCAATTATTTCCACTGACACAAGGGTGGACAGCGTCGGGCACTGGGGCAGCACATCACTTCTATTTTTAGTACTTGACACTGCCTTTCTGGAGGGGTTCAGCCAATCATGACAGTAATTCCCACGACTGATTGCGCGACTGGATGCGGTACTGGATGTGGTACTGGATGCGGTACTGGAGATGATGTCCAGTCGCACCTCGCGCGGAACTGGATGCGGGGTTTGCCCGTTGTGACAGGAACCTCCGGTACGCCCTACATTCGTCTCGGCGGTATTTAGTTGATGGAGCTATGTGTTTCAGCTCACTGGAGGCGTACGATATGTCGAGGTTTCACCAATGTTGGGCTGCTTCCACCAGCTTGAAGCACGCGCGAACACGTTCACTGAGGTGCACAGCATCTGAGGCACTCTGATTCCCACGGTAATTCAGAGAAATTCCCTTTCGTGCGAGGACGAACCCACGAGCTGGCAGGACCCTTGTTAGTATGCCGCGAAGCACGGTGCAAGTACTCAATGGCATCAAAGCAGCAGTAGATTCACAAAGCTGTGCGTCTGCCGCACAACGATTCCGGTTCAGTGGGCTTTCGTTATTATCCAGCTATGCAAGGACATAGGAACCGGACACTACCATATTGCTGAGCACGCCAGTCTCTTCAAAACAGGCGTAAAAATGGTAGCGGCCACACCTACCATATACAGTAAGGGGTATACCCGAATTTACTCCGTCAGCCTACCACGACCTGAGCCTGTGCTTGTCTCACCTCGACCTGCTCTCAACACCGTCTTTCCTAGTGCTTCAACAAAGCTAGCCCCTCGTATTATCCTCATACACAAGCCACTTCATGCACTTAATTACGCCAGCATCTTCACCTGCATCATTTTGACACCACGACGCCAGCTCGTTCCCTAAGCTGGACGCTTGATGCTTCCTGAGAGGAGAGCGCGGAATAGCTGGACCAGGGCTGGACAAAGGACATGTTAACTTGGGATCTTGTGGTACGTAGTACTTTATCTTTCCCCCCTTCTCTCTCGCCAACAGATATGCCGCATATTCGCAGGTTCAGCTCACGGCTGTGCCCAGATGCAGTCGCAACCATCCCGACACACACACAAGCTTCCCGCACAGTTACTATGCATATAACCACAGTTCCGACATGGAACCAGCTCTCTGCTCATATCGCTCATAATTTGGCAGCTTCAAATCCGTTGCCGGCGGCACATCGACGTACAGTATCATCTTGGCCGATTCGTCCAATCTCGTCGGCTTCCGCCAGATAGCTTTCACGGCGAACTTCGCCGTGAGCTCTCGCCTAGCAGATAGACCTCAACGCCGAATGATCGAAGAACTCGTCGAGAATGCGCATGACATCTGACTTCGTCGCTGAGTACGCATAAGCTATCACACCAGCGTATCTCCACAGCTGAATCGGCGTTCCAGTATCCTCAGAGGAGCGATGTTGTATGTATGCGAGCCTAAGCAAGAAATTGAACCGATTTGGCCCTATAGCAGAGCTATCCACGATGAAGTCTCAGCTTGTCCGAGTTCAGTAATACGTTCTCGGACAAGTTGAGGGAGTTCGGGCGGGATCAACGTCAGCAGGCCCTTCAGATGAACAGGCCGCAGAAGAACATTCCCTTGGGTACCCGGCTGGTTACCAAGTTGGCCGCAGAATACATGGTGCGCGAGCCTTCGAAGCGTATCGCCACCGGTGAGAGCATTGCACGCTGTCTAACGTCACTAGCCATCTAACTCCAAGATACAGTCCGTTGCACGCTCGAGACCGCTCGGAGATTCGGTCCACATCTGCCGACTTCAACGCAGGTATCGCTCAACGTGGCGGGCGGGAGCGCTCGAAACGGGGCCGTCACGGTTCGCGGTATTGTTACATCGCCCGCGCCGTACATGCTCTTTTGGAGATCGTCAAAGCCACCACTAGATGTCAGGTCCATCGTGGGCACGCGGCCGCGTCAGTGATCGCCATGCTTGCCCTCGACTCAGCAGCGATGGTGGTAGACCCTGTCACGAGCAGGACCAGGGTGGGCTCAAAGCTTCACACCAGACTGTATGCGATCAAGATGGTTGATCAAGGTGTATTCGCAGATCGGAAGGCATGTCCTTCGTCCCATAGCTGTTACAGCATGGTTTCAAAGACTGCGTTCCACAAACCAGACAGTTCATCTCCCGCCACGAGAGCCTGGCCGCGCTTAAAAGCTCCGACAACTCGCTTGACCAGAAGATGTTCTATTCCCCGCGCGATGCGTTCGTCAACTCAGCGGCTGTCTCAGCGCTGACAGAGAATAGGAAGATCGCCGACGCGTAAGCGCCCATGTCTCGTCTCATCCGTGAATGCGTTCACTGCATACCCCAACCTCAACTTGACACTTCCGCGAGCTCTACTGCATCTTCAAGGTGGAGACGTATCTTACTCCGACGAGTGCCACAAGCCCTGTTCCCGAGCTTGTCCCGGTAATTGGCCCGGTGCGGTTCCGGGGTTGACACGAGTGGAGGCGACACAGCGGGCAATCGGTGCGGCCGGTATCGACGACAGGTCAGTCCGTGAATGTGTGTGTGGTGCCGCGCATCTGACAGCACTTTCGCAGGACCCTTCTAGAACGCATTCGTGGGCTTCGTACGCTCCGACGTGAATCTCGACTGGCACGCCAGAGATGTGCGTACTGTTGCGGGCTCGAGACCCTCTGCGTCTGTTGGGCGGCACAGCAGGCCCGTGCAGTTAGGGCCGGCAGGACGAAGTAGCTCACACAGGGTGGTAAGCGCAGTTTTTTTCTCAAGAAAACTCAGACAAAAGCGGCTAAACAAGGCCCCGTTATTCCTCGATTCTACGCCGATGCAAATTGAGGAGAAACCGGTGCAAAACCAGCCAAAAGGGTCTAAAACACAGTAAAACTGGCGGAAAAATGAGTTTTGCCTTCGGTTTTTTTCAGGTGAAAACCGGATAAAGTTGGGGCCTTGTTGGATCAGTTTTTGGCTAATTTTACGCCGGAAAAAAGTGCGCTTACCACCCAGTGTCAGGTGCGCATCCAAGACTTCTTCAAAGCGGTGCCGCAACTCACTACCTTCCCAGATCCAACTGTTCTGTGGTACCGCTCATCATGTTTGTGGGCGTGTTGTCTTCTGCAGGCTGTGGCACCGCGGCTATCCAGCGTCCTAGGATTTCGAAGCCTCAGATTCGCTGCTTGGTTCGTGCTATGCAGTTCGTACCCCACCTGCTAGGTGCTGAACATGTTCCCGCGTTAGGTCAATGGTGATCTCATGAGCTTTGTATTGTCGTCTGCGCTCTATACCCCCTACCTGAAATGATTTTCATTCGGATTAATTACCGATGTATGGCATGGTAAGCGCATCAATGGTGGTTATGTTCGAGGGCACAGGATAGCACGATTCTCACATGTCAATGTAGGGCAACTAGTACCGCCATCTGTTTTTCTTCTCGCCCGTTAGTTCTGTCTGATAGTTTCAAGACCAGATACTGACGATCATGACCGCCGCAATACACAGATCGGCGCACCATGTCATCCAAGAATAAGAAATTCGAGTGCACTCTAACCAGCATGGGATGGACGGCATATCTGCATTGCCGCGAGAAGCTGTTGTGACAGTGCAGGGAAAAGGCATGTCTGCATGACCGTGAGACGATGCCAAAGCGCGGACCGAGGGCTATTGGCGCCACAAAGGAAACGCCTTACCTCGGGTATCCTCCCAGAGGCGCTACCCTCTGTTGTCCGTTCCCCGCAACCCCGCTATCATCCATATCTCTCATCTTGCTTATGGCGGACCAGAACTCTACGGTGTGATCCCAATCGTACTCAACGCCTTTCTCGACTCATCATCGGGCTTCGTCATGCTCTAGGATCGCGTACGCTATGTCGAAGTGCCACCCCCAACAGGATGGCAAACGATGGCCGATTCTGTGCACGAGATCGACAAAGACAAGATTGAAAACTACAAAGACGACATTGACACCCTCCTAGTATTCGTGAGTTTGGCCGCGTCTAACCTATGTCGTGTTCTCACATATACGGACGGTAACAGGCTGGTCTGTACTCGGCCGTCCTTTCGGCATTCGTCGTCGAGTCGTACACAGACCTTCAGCCAGACCCGAACACCCAAATAACTTTCCTACTCGAGCGCATCGCTAATCAAACCCAGAGCTACACTATCACGTCCGGGACCCTTAACTCCACCGCCGAACCACCACCTGTCTTTCCCCGGTTCTCCGCTCCACTATGGGCTGTCCGCGTGAACGGCCTGTGGTTCGCGAGTCTCATCGTCAGCCTCGCCACTGCATCGTTCAGCATGCTGGTCAAGCAGTGGTTGCGCGAGTATCTCGCGGTCGAGTACACTGCTCCGCAGGAGCGTCTTCGTGCACGGCAGTACCGCAAGCCGGGAGTCGAGAAGTGGAAGGTTCTCGAGATTGCGGCCATGTTGCCGATGCTTCTCCAGCTGTCTCTCGGTCTGTTCTTCATCGGTCTCTGCATTTTCACTACGAATATCGACGAGCGCATGGGTCTGACCAGCGTCCCACTCATCTGCGGCTGGGCGTTTTTGTTCATTGCAACCACGCTCGCACCGCTTGTCTCGCCACGATGCCCGTACAAGATGCCATTGTTCAAGTCTGTCATGCGGGCCACAAGGATGCGGATCACGATGAAGATGCGCCGGTCATTGGCTTCGATCCTTGCAAGGGTGGTCACCGCGATTCGACCCTCACTCCAGGAGCCGGAAGTCTTTGAGTATAGCGGCCAGGAGGTGAAACAGAAGCAGACAGACATTGGGGAAGACGAAGAAGAGGATCAAGTTGTAACCCGTGACCAGGACGACAAAGATATCTTGCTATCCATGGACGCTATCATGGCAGACGATAATCTGCTTCCGGCAGTTTGGGACATATTCAAGCAACGCTCATACAGTCCTGCGCAGTCGCTCCCTTTCGTAGCTGAACTCCTCTTGAACCGTGTGGGAGCCGAGGCGAATTATCTCCGTTCGATCAGGCCACGCTGCGTTCCGGACCTCACACCGCTGTCCCGACGAGCGTGGATCGCCTTCACAGAGATGCTTGCCGATTTAGCAGGCCGGCGGGGGTCTAATGGACCTTTAAATCCGACCAGCCCTGACTGGCTGTACAAAGCAGTACTACTCCTTCTCTCCACCTCCCGCTACCCGCACCATAGCTCTGCATTGGCATGCCTTCGTAACCTCCTCGGCGATGCATCCGGATCATTTGCAGGAGTGAAAATGTTCGCTCAATGGATAACACCGCGCTACCGCGAGCAAGAATTCGACCTTCGCCCATTATTCGATCGGCTGCATCTAGCTTCCGAACAGGATGCCACCCAAGACAACAAGGAGATCTTACTGTCCATAGCTTTAATCTTGGCGAATAACAACCTCCTTCCGACAGTGCTGAGAATGTTAAGGCAGGCCACGCACGTCCCCACCCGATCTCTCTCTGTTATCACTCATCTTATCGTTGGTCATCTTGGTACCGACGCTGAGCACCTCCTTCCTACCAGGCTGCGCGCTGTCCCGGATCTCACATCGATGCCCAGCCAGGCATGGGACACGCTGATGGAGATGCTCGCGAACTTGGCAGACCGCCGCGAAGACGATGGCCCCTTGCTCGTCTCGAGTCCCGACTGGCTGCACAAGACAGCATTGCTCCTTCTCTCCACCTCTCCGCATCCACTTCCCAAGTCTGCGGTGGCCTGTCTTCGTGGCCTTCTTGCTGATGAAGAGGGATTCACTGCGGCGCACTCGATCGCAACATGGATAATCCCAGGCGTCGATGAGAAACCGTTCGTCTTCAGCCCGCTCTTCGATCGTCTACATCCTGTCTACGAAGCCAGCGGTCAAGACAGTGGCTGTCTATACGCGATACTTTTCATGTATGCGGAACTTCTTCGCCCATACCGCTCAGGCTCCTTCGGGGAGCAGCCGCAATCGCTGTATACGGTATTGTCTCAGGAACCGGAACTTTTCGAAAAACAGTCGGCACGCCCAATATTAGACGACATCTGGAATCTTATCCACCTGGTGTCACCATTTGATAGCAATGATGACAGCCCACATACCCTCGAAGGCCAAGATGAATCTTCGCATATTCTCTGGGAATTCTCGGACCGCATGGGCAGGAGAGGCGATGCGACTGCAAGCCTTGCCGCCTTCTGGGGAAGGCTCGAGTCCGCTTACTTCGCATTATCTCAAACATTTCCGTCGCTACATCACTTTACACATGCACCGCGTGCATACATGCTGCAATTGTGCATGGATGCTTTTTCCGGTAGCCAAGGTATGTTCTGCAGCACTTATTCACAGGGCTTCTGTTTATATTCGCTTGCTCTGGACAGAGCAAGAAAAGATGTTGGATAATTCCACAAGTACTGCGCAGCTTTATGCGGGCGATGCGTTCGATGACACAGAAAGGTTCTACACAACGAGTATGGTTCGCTTCTGTTACCTTCACCTCCGGCTATATGCGGAATGCATTGAGAATGGTCCGCCGACTGCGATAGCATTGCCCCTTTCAGATCAAGCTACGACAGCGACGGTTCCAAAGCCAGCTACATGGACGAGCCTCTGGAATGCAATAAATGCCGCCCTACGCAAGTACTTCGTAGAAACAAAGTGGGATATTGGATACGAGGAATTCTACTATCATCTCCGTACACTTCGCACCCCGAGTGAGTTGCTTGCCGAGGATCGACGGCTCGCCGGAGAGTGCCTCGACGTCATGCAATCGGTCGAGCGCAGCAGCGATACTTCAAGCCCCGACGCATCCGCGCGCGAGCCAGCCTTCCCAGATGAGCTCATCACCGCACTCGGCTTCCTCATTCTTCCACAGGACGTCTCGAAGTATCCGAGGCTCGTGAAGCTCCAGGAGCATGAGCGTCCTGGATCGCCACGACCAGTAACCGGACCCACCTCTGGTTCTGCGAATACGCCATCGACAAGGGATGCCATCGAGTCCTCGCCGTCTTCGCGACCGGCGATCCAGTCACCCCAGGTCGTACCATTGCGGGAGAAACCATCTTCGATGAAGTCGAATGGGAGGTCTCGTCACATTGACCGAGACGCGAAGGAGTCACAGGTGGGCGTGGGCGGCACACGACGGCGCGCAAGCACGGTGGAAGGGCCGACGAACGAAGGGCCGCACGCCGGTCGTCGTGATACTGCCACAAGGAGAAAAGTGCGCTTTGTTGTGCCTGATGAAGGTACGAGCGAAGAAGACGATACGGGCGAGAGAGACTAGGGTGCGGGCGAAAATGATGGTGCAAACGAAGAGGACGACGTGAGCACAGAGGAGGATGTGAATGACGATGCAGACGGAAGGCAGTGCGCAGGTTGACGAAGGAGATTTCGATGTGGAAGATAGCCCCGGTCAGCTCATGGAGCCGAGAAGGCCCGCGCAGCACGAAACGAACTGCTTGATCTACCAGACCGTTCAACATGGAACTCGAAGCCAGGCAAAGCAGCATACCTGCTCGCTCCTTGCATGCATCATTCAGCTTCAAGGGCGGTTGCTGTTCCGTTGGAGGGCGGGGATGTTTCGCGCGTTTCGCGAGCGGTGAAACTGATTCGTGTCGAAACGGAGTTCACATGCAGAGCAAACCGCGTAGAGCTTGCACATTGGTACAGTTATAACATATTCCAAACATAGCCGAATGTTAGGTGTGTGAATACTGCTACTTCATCAGTGGTTTCAAAGAGTACACACTGCAAGTTCCCAGCCTAACTTCCAACCAGTTCTCCGTAAACTACTCTGTACTACACTCTTCTCATGGAATGCCAGGACGTCGGGCATCCTGAAACAAATTCGGTAGCATGTGGATATCCACAGGCGTAGTTCGATGGTTGGGACATGCTACAGCGTGCATCTATGATGGCCAGAACTTGTGCAGGACGAGGGGCCCCGGGGAGCCTCACAGACTTCAGTCAATCCAAGTCGTGCCCATGGGAAGCAGCAAGATGAATACAGTTGCGCTGAGTGTTATGGGTGACCGGTGCCGATGAGGCCTTGAGGGTGTGTCGAGACGATAAAGGTGAAGGTCGAGCGAGGTGAGAGCGTGGGAATAGAATGCCATCTATGGCGCCAGCCCCAACCCAGCCTGCGAGCCATCAACGGTCCAGGAAATTCCGACCAGAAGCGTATTCTATACTGTCCGTAAGTTGGGCAACACTTGGACAACTTGGTCTTTGTGAGCTGTCTATACTGCAGGTAGCCGATACATCACACAAGAACGTTGCCACGCACCCCGGACTGTTACGATGCGCATCCGAGTCCTGCAACTGGCCCAATGCAGCTCTGCTGCGTGGTTGCATCCCTTGATCCCGACCAGAATTCTGTTCGAGCAATCTAATCACTTCTATGCCGGTCATTATGGTGCCTGTGTTGGTCATCCTATTCAACGCTTGCGATACATGATTCTATGCGCAGCGGTAACAGCTTCAAGGGCGTCACACAGTCGCTGTTGCGCATGTGCATTTAATTCATTATGCCACCTTCCATCTCCAGGAGGCTGTGAATTTTGCCTTAAGATGCAATGGAAGGTGTGCGGCACGTCTCTACCACAAGTACGAGCCCCGCGGTTGAATATAGACAGCGCCGAATAGTCGACGGAGGGAAGACATAATATTGTGCAGATAACGATATACAAGAGAGCATACGTATTTTGCGAGAGGTTGCTAGCTGGCGGCGAACATCGAATTCTTTCGCACAGAGTCGCAGACCAACTTCAAGGGCAGCACCGGGAATGCTCGAGCGGATGGCACGTCAGTTGGGTTAGGGCAGGCGCCACAACAACCGGTCTCACGCACGACCTCCTGCTCTTGTTCTCCTCTCAGCACCACCATCAGTCTTGGGATCCTCGACCTTTTCTCGTGTTACGTTTACGTTGTTCCCCTCGTTTCCTTAAGAGCCCTCTTATCACCTCCTTTCTCCTCAACTCAAGCGGCGTCTAAACACCCATGCTGCTTTGATCTGCAACCCTGCCCATCTATACCTCCATCGTCTTGCTACCCCTCATCCACGATACACAACGAGAACCGTTCGCGACCTACAACCTCATACGACTGCACGCAGAATCACTTACGCGGGTTCTGTCCCGTTGTCCTGTATGCGCGTCAGTTGCCGTGCACGCATGCGACGGCACCCAATCGTCGAAACACGCCTTAAGGATGCGAATCCCGCTGCTAGCAATTTCTGATGTCTTAAGCGCATGACATCCTGTGAGGGGTACTCGTGGGATGGCTCATGGAGAGCAGGGTGGATGATACGTTGGACTCTTACGGTGCGTACTCTTCGTTCTTGCCCTTCTCTGCTCTCTGACGTAGGGGGAGATCTCGCAGGCCTAGCTCTTAGCAGCGACTAAATTTGAACACGACTACTTTAACACACAAGCCCCACGCATAGCTCACCCTAAGTGCGAACACAGCTCCAACACGGATGCATCGCGCTTCTCGCGAAACCCGCGAATCGTTCCCGCCCTCCAACGGAGTAGAAGCCGCTGGGCTCCCGAAGCTGAAGTTGGCGTTGGTGTCTTTGCCATACCATCTCAGATTTTCTGTCACTCTCGTGTGCTTCGCAAGGGCCCCCGCGCTGAGAAATACCTCTACTACGACATCGCCGTTTTCCAGCCCGGAACTTCACGGAAGCGTTCTCGTTCTCGACGATCTCATCGGACAGACCGAAAGCGAAGAGGTTCTCAGTCCAGGAGACGGTCACTCGTGACCTCCTCGTTAGCCACCCCAGCTCCTAAAGAGCTCCGATCATCGACGAAAATATTGTTGGGGTAACCCTGAGCGTTAGAACTGTGGCGCTGAGATATCGACAAAGCTGTCGTGCGTGTTCTTCACCATCTCACTCCGTATATTCCTGCTCATTTGAACGGTATGTACCTGTACAGTACTATGGCCATCTACGTTGATTTCGAGCTCATCGTGGAGAAGACGTCGACGTAGGGTACCACCATCGCCGACTCGTCCGGCCAAGCTGGTCTCATCAAGTTGCTGCGAAGAAGCCGTGCTCTGAGCTCCTATGCACCGCGCTCGCCTCTAATTCTTGTCTCGCGACCCATCTCGCGCTTGTCATTGAACTCATTTGGACCATGCGCGATAATCTCCTCGGCACATCTTGACATATTTCGTACGGCTCGTTCGATTTCCTGGTATATCCTACCGAGAAAGGCGAGATATATACGAATGTATACGACAAGTCGGACAGATTCAGTGCTGTGTTAATGCTATTCATCCTGCGACGTCCAACCTTTATGAGCGGATCTGGAGGACAGATGCTTTGACCAAAGCTTTTCGGGCCTCGAGGATGGATCTGTCATCGAAGACCCTTGGCGGCGGAATGGCTGCAGAGCCGTGGAGCGCGTCGTGGACTGGCCTTCGTGTCATTTCACCGTCGGTACGAGCATCGGACGCTATTGAATGCTTTGCTTGTAATATAACATCCGAGTGCAGCTCGTCGCACGCTCAAGGTGCGCATATCCTCTGTTTGAACCTACCAAACGTGGCATCGACGCCGTTCGAGACGACGGATAGGAGCGCACCAGAGGCAACTATCAAAGTGCACGATTTCACATGCTCCCGCAGAGACCATCGAGGTCGCTATCACTCAAGAGCGGAGCGCACGATGTCACGATGGACCGTGGCAGCGATGCCCGGCGCGCTCGACACTCCAGCAGAAGGCCTTATCGCCGAAACGAGCCTGAACAGCAGTGGCATTCTCGCGCTCGGATGTTCCGACGACTGGCTTGACACTAGGAGCCTTCCTCGTGGTCGCCGTGCGAATGTTCGTCAACTCTGTGACCGTCAAGTTCCTCCTCAAGGGCGATAATTGGGACGTCGCCGGCGTTCCAGAGAGCAAGGCCATGGACCATGCGCATACATCTACTCTCTCACAAGTTTGCCCTCGACGACCTGCGCGTCACGATGTTCGTCACGGTCAGCTACGCTGCATTTCTCCATTGGGCAACATATCGACGTTGGTCGGCGCTGCCATCGCCGACTCGACCACTCCGGTTGGTCCCGTCGAGTCTCCGTTTTGGTAGCCGTGCTTCGAGCTCCTGCACGGCACGCTTGCTGCTGGTCGTCACATTGCGATCCAGGCGGAGCACCAGTATAATAATTACTGGTCAACGATCTCGCCGAGAGCAGCAGGCACAGCCGGTTTATGGCCATCATACGCAGGAGGAAGTGCATATACCAGGGGTGAGCATGTGGAAGGTCTGCATGTGTCTTCACAATTGTCTTGCAGCTTCCATGTCATGCTCGGCATGATGGCTCGGAGATCAAGCCATTCACCTCGAATCACCTCCCGACTGCCTACCCGTCCCCTGACGATTTCGACAGCTCTCGTGTCTCACAGCGGAACGAAGTAGCTCAGGTACGCACCCGAGACTTTTTGATGGCAATGCCGCAACTCGTGCACGCGCGAGGAAAGTACGATCCATGTCAAGTGCACATGCTGCTAGCTTGGTACACGAACCTATTGAACATGCGCAGCTTATGTGGTCGTGGAGGTCGGAACGAGAGGCCGATGCTTGCGTCTTATGAGAGCCTCGCTTACCAGGTAAACAAGAATCTGTTCCCACGGTAAGTAAATCCCCCAGCGCCTGCCTTACGCCAGCTGGTATCTTAGCACCACCGCTACTCTGTACGTTTTTGTCGCTGAAAGTTATGCCACAAGAATGCGCGAACCCGAACCGTGCCCAACAGAACACGCGCTTTCCGTGACTGCAAGTCGGTGATGCGGTACTGGCTACATCGTCAGAGTATCCAGACACTGTATCCATATATCGAAGGTTTGGGACGTCACGGTACACAGATGAACATAACGCGGCTCAAGAAATGATAGCCTTCGAGGCTCGCAGCAAGAGTCTGCCGTCCTCCCTGAACTCGAAGCCGGTATCGGAGAGAATACTCTGAAGGATAGAGACTAGGATCGTCCCAAACTCCCGCGATCTCGTGGCAACGAGAAGCTGTTCGACGAGTGCAACGAGACTTTTCACCAGCGCCGCGAGATTCGAACCCCCTTGGGAGATGGCGCCGCCATCGGGGTGCAGCGACTGAACGGTGCGGATGACGTCCCGCAGGGAGGAGACGGTGACGTCGATCTGTCGCTGGAGCGTCTCTACCTGACTCTTGTGTGCGGACAGCTGCTTTTTGTTGCGCTGCAGGAAGGTTATTTGGGAGATTGCGTACTGCATCCGGGCGTCAGATTTAGTCACTTCGACGAGGATGTGACTCTCGGCCGTATTTTCGATGAGCTCAGGAGGGATACGGTGGTACCAGTCTTGAAGGCCCTGTTTTCGATACCGTGAGCCAAGAAGGCTAGGGGATCGTCCCGCAAATACTCACCCATAGTGAAGCTTCTTGGTCGTTGGTCTCTGTGACCGTGATGCCCTTCGGGGCCATCACCTTGTTGAACTTCTCTTTGTCTTCTGCAAATGCTAGGCGCGCACTGTCAGCTTGTAGCTTCCAGATGTCCAGCTCGTTGCTACGAATGAAAGGCAGCCATTATCAGGGGCGGAGTGTTGGAAGCTCGGGCATCACTCACCCAAGATTGACGACAACTTGACCAAGGCTCTGAATATACACCTGCACATCCTCTCTGAGCTTGACGAGCAGAGAAAGCAGCTTTGCTCCCCGTTCGCGTATGCTCTCAACGGATGGGCCGAGCTAAAAGCGCAGTGTCGAGTTAGAAGTGAAAGCGGTCTATTTTATATATTGCGGCGTACCTGACCGGAGAGGGGTCCTAGCACATTCGCAAGGAGGGAGAGCTGCGTCCGAATTGCCTCGGACGCCTGCCTGCACACGCGTAGATGGCTGGTGAGATACTCCTCGCGCAATGCCGTCACCTTGACCAAAGCTGTGCTTGACTCTTGCTCCATACCGCGAAGGATCTCCACGTCCTGCACCAGCTCGGCCAGAGCATCCGTGACCGCAATTGTGTACGTGCCGAGCTGGTCCCAGCTGATCCTGCCACCGGAAATTTGCTGTTCCAACTCTGCGACGGCAGACCGGTATTCCGTCCACTCGGCTTCCAACGTGGCGTGGCGTGTCTGGTACCACCTAATTTCGCCCCCAAGACGGTATGGAAGCCACTCGGGCTGCGGTATGCTGTGAGAAAGAGGGAGAAGTGCGACGTACGAAGACTAACCGTGAGTGTGCTCAGCCGACCGTCCTGTATTATACCAGAAAGGCTGCCAAGAATACATCCGTCCTTGACCAGCAGACCGTACAGCCCGTATTCGAAACCAAGCCATCCTGACTTGCGCCCTGCATAGTTCGCATCAGAATAGTACGAGGATCAATTAAAAGTCCCGTGCACATACCAGTGGACGTGCCGAAAAGGACGCCCTGGATAGAGTCATTGTCGGCAGCGTACCACACATGGGTGATATATTCGCCCTCGGCCAGCTCGAACTCCAGTTGTTGTCCGGTGTTTGAGCTACGCCAGCTCGTCTCCGAACCGCCGTCGTACGCGATCTTGACGTCGTATACGTGTCGTTCAATGCGCACGTAGACCTTTTTGATGACCTTGGAGGGACGGTCCCCGGCGGCTCTGGGGTCGTGAGAGAGGGGCGAAACAGGAGAGGGTGTGATTGGCCGGCGCAGGGGGCTCCGCACACCGTGTCCCTCTGCATCCGACTCAACTCTGGAACTACGGATGGGGAAATAGCTATCTAAGAGCTCGGGATCGCCTCTAATCGTGCCAGAGCCAGGCGTCAAAAGTAGCTTTCCAGGGAGAGGACTGAGTACATCGGGCATCGTACCGATCCCGGGAAGGGGAAAATGGTTTACGGAAGGACTTAGTACGCTTCCAGAAGGCTTTCTGCTGGAAGGTGGAGGGGGAGGCTTCTTTGCAGGGAAGCCGGCATTGGGATGCTGACCGTTACCGACGGCAGGAGGCTTGCTTGCCGCGGAACCGGGCCTGGATTGGGGGACGACGATGGTCGGATGAACCGGTTTATCTGAGTCCAGATCAGTACATTCTGTGAGTGCATTGATGTAGTAGATTAACGCACCAAAGGGTGTTGAGCCGTCGGACGTAGTTCTGCGTCGGCTGTCCTGGTGTTTAAAGAGGATCAGAGCTCTGGGTTCGCTCCACGAGTCCTGATTGTCGCAATCACATATATACATGTTCTGTATAGGCGACAGTCAGCCGTGATATGGAAAAGGAACGAGGGGTTCTGACATGATCTTCACTTATCCATAAAATGCTGATACGGAAGTTGGGGGACAGCGACGCAATGGCAATGATGTTGGCACTCGTCACGGCATTCTTCGTGAGCTGGTCACTGGTATCTAGATGAGACAGTCGTCCCGCGGTATTCAGAAGATCACGTACACTTTCCATCCAGCATGGGAGCGCGTGCATTCAATAATAACGCCTCTTGCGTCCTGCATGTAGAGCCTGTAACGGACAAAATAAATAGGCGTGCAAAGATAGCGGCAATTAGCTCAACGTTACCTGATTTCAGGGAGCCCGTCTATCACGGGAGTAATTGTGGCAATGTCATTAATGATGATGTCCCTCTTTGACACCATGTCTTCGGATATAAACCTAAGCCGCATGGGCTGAGAATAGGCGTACAGGAAACGAAACGACAAGACTCACCACTTCCCTCCATAGCTCCCGCAATATTCCCGGATAGCAAAGCTCTCGTCTTGATAATATACACGAACATCTCTATCTACGATCATACCTCCATGAGAAAACGCCTTTGAAAGCGTCTATTGGATACCTACTCCTGTTGAGGCACGCGCCGATGCCGGTAAGGGGCAAAGCTTTGGCGAGCCGGACAGCGGCGGCGGCGTCATCTGGGTCGCACCAACTCCCGCTTTCTGCGGCACTACATATCTGTGAGACGAGACACCTGAGCACACTAGAGTGAAACTTACCGGTAACATATGTAGCCTGCCCAGTCCTGATAGAACAGTAGAGTAACATTCTTACGACCAGCTATGGATACGACGGCGATGTTGGTGCCTATCTTCACGTTTGGCTGCTCGAAGGTGGTCTGCTCCCAGTTGTGGCCATCGATGAGGCGCCATTCTCGTAGGGTTCTGTTCCTGTCTTGATAGAAGATAGACCGAGTACTGGAGTCCCACTGGTCCGATATTCGACATTAGTTGACGTAACAGAAGATAAAGACGTACGGTAATGGGGCAAAGGCTGCTATTCTCGTCGCACTGGAGAATGAACCCGGCGGATGACCATTCCACCACGCGCTTGGCGAAACCTTGGAACATAGTCAGCATCCAATCGGCGCTGTAGGCCGCTGTAGCCGTACCTCTTTGTGTAACAGATTCGAGGAAGTCCTCAGTAAAGTCAAGCGTAGCCTCGTAGACGTCACCTCGAGAGGCCTTCAAGTAGCAACGGGTGTCGCTCAGATGCCTGCCGGACGTTAGCGCGACGCTTTTCTACATTAGCGGTCAGTCAAACAGCAACAATATGCGTCGTACATCGATGTGATAGTACACGTACAAAGGAAATAGACATAGTGGTCAGGGTGGGGTCAAGCGCAAGGAGTAGAAGCGGGAATAAAAGTGGGCGATGAACAGAAGGCAGATTCATAACGGACGAGACTTTATAAGATCAAACATGTTCGTGGCTGACCACTCGTAAAGCTCCGGCGCTTCTGCGGAGGCATTCGATGAGGCGAGCGGATCCCGAGGCATGTGTACTGGTATCGGTGCCGTTCAGTTCTACGAAACAATATAAGCAGAAGGAGAACAAATGGAAGCTCTTGTCACCTGTCGCTCAGCATTGTCGTGGAAGGGAGGGCAATTATGGAAGCTCGCTGCGGAAGATAGCTGTTGGGACGATCCTGACTCGTGTTTCCGGGTCGAGAGGGTAATCTCGGTGGAGTTTGGCGAGAATAGCGTTCCATTCAATGTTCCGTGTACTCGAAAGCCAGTCACGAATCCTGCGGAGGTTATCGCAAAAGATGAAGGCCCATAGATAGATCACTGCAACCTTTCCTCCTGCGCAGACAGTGCAGACCGGAGATTTGTCGCGTTACTGGGCCGCATGTACCCAAACTTTATCATTTTGACAGAAAGGGTCCAGAAGCCCATGGCATCAAACCTCATTCCGATCAGTAACAGTAGCACGAAGCATGCAGGATTTCAGCTTATTGAAGTGCGAAGGGTGCATAGCGGAGATATCTGAAGCGTCGCTTGGCTAGATATGGGTTCGCGGGAGGCAGAGTATGGAATGAAGCCCACAGAGATGTTGCATGGACGACCGCGTCTGGAGTCGGCAGAGCTCTGTATAGCAGCGAAGAGGAAGCACCTACACGATATTTAGGCGTTGTGGGACGGAAGCCGAGGAACACGTTTACTGGGTGCGCTAGGCAGCGCTCAGGCTAGGGGCGGGTAGCAACCCGCGTGTTAAGTTCAACATGCGAAACGCGCGTGCTGTTCAGCTAAGCCATCGATCCAGAGAGATATCTGATACATAACGTGAGCTGCGGTGCAACATGTTGCGAGGGAATCCTGACGGCGTAGATCATGTTGTGCTCCTCTTTTTGCGCGGGTGGCAAGAGACAAGTGTGGTAAGCCTCTGGTATTAAATGCCTACTCACCCATTGCTCAGAGTTTATTACTACCATTACCATTGGGCGCCGAGTAAAAACGGCGCTCTTAGTGGGCTACTTACACAATTTAATCCGGGATTAATTAGTAAGTGCATCTCGGTTAAATTAATCGCCTTGCCGCATTTCCACACTCAATCTTCTAATTTTGTTGTTCTCCAGCTTTTAACAAGATGGTACGGCTCACCTCCCAGTTCAGCTATATGATATACTGATATCTGCATTGAAACGTGTAGGCTGTCCGTCGGCCGCGGCGGGACCGCTAGTGCAAACCGCGTGCTCCCCGCGTGGCCCTGGTCTACACGAATATCACGCCCACCGTGCATAGCTTTGAGGATTATCTTATCAGCTATGCGTCAAAAATTTGGCCTATCTACTCTGTTGAGCCGAGTTACTAATGCCAAGCGACATCCTCTCTCTACGCATATATATTGAAGTACGTGGTAGCGCTTTCAGTGGAGTCGGTCTCAATTGGTCCTCAGAGCTTGGGGACTTTCCATTGCTTCATCTCATCCTCACGGTGACTTCAGCGCTGGGCGATATCTTTGGCGGCAAGTAATCCGATGTTGCTACAAATTTTGCGCAGTCGGTCATCAAGGCCGCTCTAGTACCCTTGGTGACGCCGCGCGTGATGAAGACGTCCTGGACTCGCCTGATGAAAGCAAAACGAGCTCACCATACGGCGCTATATGCACCTTCTGTCTTGCTAGCTGTACAGAATCCCGCTCTACTCGTACGAGGTGATGTACTCCGAAGACGCCGAACAAATTCCGTCTCGTGCATGAAATAAGCGTCCAGATTTTTTCTCATCCTTTCCATGCACTATGCGTCTGTGACAGAACGGAATAACTTAACCTTTCACTAGTTACTTAATCGCCTCGTTCTTCCGCCTGAGCAAAAGGCTCAGACCCTCAATTGTTGACTCGCCTCGTCGACGGAGATGAAAATAGTAGCATAATGGTTTAAATAGTCTGCATACGCCATCCACCTCCGACTAGAACGCATGGTAATCAGACTGGAAACAACATTTGAGGAGAAGGCTAGGCGCGTGTCTACCACAATACGTGCAAATGAAAGGCGGGTAAACAAGAGACTGAAAACACCAGACGAATCCGTAAAAGATGTGACGTACACGAAACACAGCTCAGACAGAGGGTCCCGTAGAGTGTTCTGTAGAGACTTTCAGTAGCTTTTGGCCGTCCATGTTTCCCCAGTCGAAACTGTGGTTGTCGAGGATGGTCTGGAGGACGCGAACAAGGATCTTGGCAAACGCCTGAGACTTATCGGCGTCCTGAAGCCCCTTGAGGAGATCGACACTGGTAGCGATCAGGGCTGCGAGCTCCTTCGCCCCATTGGCAACGGCGTCGTGGCTTGATCGAAGAGAGTTGAGGCCATCAATAGTGCTTCGTAATGCAGCGATCGTTTGGTCTAGCTGGAGTGCTTCCGCTTGATCCTTTCGCGCGGATAGCAAGCGCCGACTTCGTTGCAAGAAGGCGACGTGAGATAGGTGGTATTGCATCTGGGCATCCGACTTCCTCACTTGGCTGAGGATGTGGTTCTCGAACGCGCCCTGAAGGTCGCCAAGTTGGAGAGTGTTGTACCACTTCTGCAGTCCCTGCATCCATGTCGGTATTAGCACAAGTCAAGGAATCGCCTCGGGCTGTGTACTTACCCACAACGCAGCCGCCTGGTCATCCGTCTCTTCGACGTGAAAGTCTTTCGAAGTCATGCAGTTGTTAAAGGCCACCTTGTCTTGCGAAAATCTGATACGTGATTGCTGAGCCTGCTCGGCCCAAAGCTTCTCCTCTCCCCTGCGAGTATTTATTAGAAGAGACATCGCCAGTTAAATGGTACACTCACTCAAGTCTAGCTATATGTGGGACTAGCTTCTGGACATATGACTGCACGTCACCTCTAAGCTTGACGAACAGGCGAAGCAGATCCTCTCCTTCGCGGCGTTTGTTGTCAACCAAAGTGTCGAGCTGGAGGTATACAATACTAAGTCATAGGGGAGGTGAAGCCCGCATAGTGGTAACGTACCTGGCCTGATATGGGTGCTAACGCGAGCGCAAGGTTGTTGAACTGTGTCTGTGCAGCCCTTGCAGCCTCCTTGCAAGCGCCGAGATGGTTGGATATATACTTTTCGCGCAGTGATGTGACCACGACCTGGGCGGTGCTCTGCTCATTTTCCATGCCGCGAAGGATCTCCACGTCCTGGACTAGCTCGGCCAGGCCGCGTGCAATCGTCTGCTCGTAAGTAGTCAGCTCATCCAGGCTGGCCTTGGAGCTAACGGTCTGCTTCTTCAGTTCCGCAATGGAAGACTGAAATTCATTCCACCTGGCCACTAATTCGTCGTAGAGAGCCAGGAACGCCGTGATCCCACCTCCGGGGATGTACCGGACCCAGCTGGGCTGCAAGACATCAACTCAGAAAGGGGACATCGCCGTGAGATATAAATACATACCACAAGATCGTTCAGCTGACTATCTTGCGATGCGCCCCGAAGGTCGGTAAGAACGTGGCTATCCTTGATCAATAGACCATACAGTCCATACTCGTAGCCAAACCACACCGACTTGCGCCCTGAATAGATGTCAGCATCACACCAGGGACCGTCCATCAACTCTCACCCACGCACCGTTGGAAGTACCAAAGAGGATGCCTTGGACAGACCCTGCATCGGCGGCGTACCAAACATGCGTGATATATTCGCCTTCGTCCAACAAGAAGACTTTTTCTCCCTTGGTGCTGGTCCCACGCTTGGCCGTCTCCGCGTCGTTTTTGTGCACGATCTTGATGCCGTCCACACGCCACGTGACGTGCATTCCGACCTCCATGATGACCTTCTGGGGGTAATCCTCGCTGGTTTTAAAATCGGGTACGCTCGCTGTCGAATCCGTCTTCGGCTCCAGCTTTCGAGGCTGAAGAGCGGTAGTAGGGGGCGCGGTCCCGTTCGTACCAGTGTGGGAAGCGGTGGTATAACCGTTCGCGGCGGCAGGAGAGGGCATGTTCGTATCTGTGGTGGGCCCGGCCAGTTGGCCGCTACCGGCGGTAGACGCAGGCTGATTGGTGACTGAGCCCGACGTGGCCGGTTGGCCGTTAATCGAAACTGGACCACCGTTAGGAGTGGAATGACTGGGTGTGTTAGGGGTAGTGCCGGCCGGTGGATGCTGAGTCGCAGGATAACTGGGCTTTTCCAAGGTAGGGGTCGTGCTGGAAGCTTGATTGGCGCGGGAACCAGGCTTTTCTGGTGCCGAAACCGGCTTGTGAGGCTCAGAAATGGTAGCCGAATGAGCTGGCTTATCTGCGAGTAGATCAGCTCTGTCCCATGTCTACGTGGAGGTAGTGTATAGACGCACCGAAGGGCGCTGTACTACTGGTCAGGGCCTCGCGCTTATCTTGCTTGTGTTGCAAAAGGACAAGGGCTCTGGGTTCGTGCCACGCAGCCTGGTCATCGTAGTCACATATGTAGAGATTCTGTTTGAGCGTGAGTTAGAGAAGATAGGTGGGCGAAAATTGGAAGAACCAACGTGATCATTACTTATCCACAGCACGCCGATGCGGAAGTTGGGGGAAGGCGATGAGATGGCAATGATATTCGCACTCGTCATAGCCTTTGTCGTGAGTGAACGGCTGATGCCTGGATGAGTCAATGACTGCACATTGTTAACAGACGACGTACGTTTCCCATCCGGGAGGGGAACGCTTGCATTCGATAACTGTGCCTTTCGCATCCTGCATATAAAGCCTATCATAAGAGACAAATGAAAGTCAGCAATACACGACAAAGCTAACAGCAAGCGCAACGTTACCTTATTTCAGGCTTCCCATTGATGACGGAAGATATGGTGACGATGTCATGGATGTTTATGTCTCTCTTTGAGACTAGGTCCTTGGTCAAGGTCCTAAGCCACAGGGATTTAGGGTAGCACCAAGACGGAGAAGAGTTAGCACACTTACCACTTCGCCTTCTGATTTCTGTAACACTCCCGTATTGCAAGATTCTCATCTTGATAATATACACGAATAGTCTTCGAATCTACAGCGCAAGGCTCGATCAGCAAACGATTATGTGAGCTTTCTGGCACTTACCACTATCCAAGCATGCGCCAATGCCGGTAAGGAGTGCGCCCTTGACAAGTCGGGTAGAGGGAGCGTCCTTCGAGTCCTCCCCCATAGTACTGCGCATTTTAGCCAAGATCCTTATTGAAGCTAATCCAAGGCGTACCGAAAACATACGAAGCCGTCCTGGTCCTGAAAGAAGAGAATAATGGGCTGCTTGTCGCCAGTACCTGACACGACAGCAACGCTCGTGCCGATTGTCACGTTCTGCTGCTCAAATCCGGTTTTCTGCCAGCCCTTGCCATCGACGAGGCGCCATTCTCGAAGGGTTTTTTGCTTGTCTTGATAGAATATGGACCGATTGTTTGATTCCCACTGGTCAAAGTCAAGGCAGGTAACAGTGCATGGGATATAGGGACGTACAGTAACAGAACACAGACTACTCTCTTCGTCACAATCGAGTGCGAAGCCGGCGGATGACCACTCAACCGTAGGCTCCTTGAAACCTGGATGACACATTGTTGACATTCGCCGATATTGTAGTGGATAGTTACCATACCTTTTCGCGTAGCAGACTCGAGGAAATCTTCCGACAGATGAAGCGTTGCTTCGTGTACTTCGCCTTGGGAGTCCTTCAGATAACAACGCGTGTCGCTTAGGTGCCTGCCGGTGGTCAGGGTGACGCTTTTCTGGATAAATAGTCAGTCAACGAGCGATGATCAGCATCATGTGACAAAAAGCTGTGCGTACAGTGGAGGGAGGCATGATGGTCGAGACGACGTCGAATGCAAAAAGTCGGGGAAAGCGGGTTCGCTAGCGGCAGGTAGACCTCTGCCGCACGTATAGTGTGCAGGGAGCTTATATAGGTTAGATGCGTCATCTTCACGCCCGTAGCCAGCAACCTGCAAAGCTTGTAGCCCTTCCATACATGCTATAAATGAAATCAGCCGGGTATGGCAGTGCCAATCTGCGTTGCAGCAGTCTTGTCAAACTGTACGAGTAGAAGCTAAGCAGATCCGATATCCCTTTCCCTCATCTGTCTCTCGGACTTACTGTATATGGATTTATTGTTAGCATGCATGCTCTCGCACACTGTCCTACGAAGTGGAAAGCGTGAGACAACTTTACGATACAACGACTCGGAAGGATGGCAGGGAACTGTCTAAGTCTCAGTGCATCGCAATGTCAAAAAGGGGCTGACTGAAGATCCTTGCGACTCATATCCCAGCGTCAGTGCGGGTGTTGACGAAAACCTCGATACTGAAGCGCGACCATCTAGAGCAGCGCGAGCTACAAGCTGTACGACATGCAGTGTGCTCTACAGCAAGGCGATACCATATAAGTCGAGGCCCCGACAGAGTAATGAAAGGCAGCACCAAGAGCGTATAACGCAGGCGACGAAAGCCGAGCACTGCCGTGCTATCAGATGAAAGGCACCGAAACCATATCATTTGGGCAGAAAGGGTCCGGGAAGCATTCATTGGACTTCTTTTCCATTCGTGCGCGAACATGGAAGGGAAAGTAGTTCGTCATGGTACCAATATAAAGCACAACACATACCGGATCAAAGTCCAATCGCACATACACAGTCGAAGGTTCCAAAATAACATAGCATGGATCAGCGAAGTGACTTCTGAGCTTATGAAACGAAGCTCACCCAGGGACGGAACTGCAGTTGCAGCCACAACGTTTGCCGCAGCTACACGCAGCGCATTGCATAGCAGGAAAGGTGGACATATGTACACAGCAGCAAATATGTGCGCGCGGAGGGTCGACGACCGCGCTATCATATCAATATTGCTGCCAGTGGTGGCGGAATAATCCCGCAAAGGAGTGCTTTCTCAGCCAAAGCGCTGACTCAGAGAGATCTGCTGTCTGCTCCATGAGTTCAGACCCAAAGCTTGGCAGTATCTTGCGTAGGAATTCTGACATTGTGGACGCTACGCTCGCTAGAGACGGCGTGGGAAAGGAACGCTGCCGACCATAAGCGTTAGGTACTTGCTCTGTTGCTTACTTTTCGCTTACTATTAGGCTCCACATAAGAATAGCCCACTGACAGGCCTTGCGGCAGTTACTTACTTATTTCAAATTCCTAGTAAGTTTAGCAATAAGTCTGCGTGGATAACGCATCCTACACTTCCACACTCTGTCCCCTGGCTATCCTACTCCCCTCCGCAGGATGGTACGCTCTTTCTCATTTTTCTGACATACTAGATCATCATCCCTAACCCCAGCTGTATAGACCGTGTGCGTCGAGTGTGGCGGGACGGTCATTGAATATGATGCCGCCGCCGGAAACGGCTTTTGCGTGCAGTGTGGTACGGTTGTCGAGGAGAACACTATCGTTAATGAAGTTCGTTGAAAGCCCTTCCCTGGATATCGACCGACACCTGACGTTATTCCCAGGTAACATTTGGTGAGACGAGTACTGGAGCTGCTATGGTCCAGGGAAGCTTTGTAGCGCAGGGTGCCAGTACGTTACAGCAGTCCATCACTTCGTGCAGCCCTCGTCTAACGTCAATTCGAACAGCGCACGCTCGCATGGGAGGACCATTTGGGAACAGAGGAAGTAGCGAGAGTAGAGAGCAGACGATTGCTAACGGTGCGTCCTACCCGTCGTGTGAACTGTGCTTTCGTCCTGACGCCCCTCAAGCGACCCGCAAGATAGAGCAGATATGCCAGCATTTCCGTCTCTCCGATGTCGTATCACTTGCTGCAACTCGATTGTACACACTTGCCCTCGAACACAAATTCACGCGCGGCCGGCGCAGCATGCATGTCGTTGCGGTCTGCGTCTATGTCGCTTGCAGACAAAAAGAGACCCGGAACTACATGCTTATAGACTTCTCTGATCTGCTGCAAGTACGTGTTCTCTCCTCCAAACCATTAGCGGATGCTCACATCTGCCTTCAAGGTTAGCGTGTTCGAACTTGGCCATACATATCTCCAGCTCGTCCGTACCCTCAACCTACGACTGCCGCCGATCGACCCCTCACATCACATCTCACGATTCGCCGCTTTGCTGGAGTTCGGCGACGAGACCCCTCGCGTGGCGGTCGACGCGACACGACTCGTCGCCCGCATGGACCGTGACTGGCTTGCCCGGGGTCGCCGACCATCTGGCATATGCGGTGCCGCACTCCTCCTTGCAGCACGCATGAACAACTTCCGGCGGAGCGTCGCGGAGATCGTACAGGTCGTCAAGATCGCTGACAGTACGGTACGGAAGCGTCTCGAGGAGTTCCGGAAGACGAGCAGCGCGGCTCTGAGCGTTGGCGACTTCCGGAGTGTGTGGCTCGAGGAGGAGAGTGAGCCGCCGGCGTTCGTGCGTGGTCGCGAGAAGGAGGAGCGCCAGCGGGAAGAGCGGGAAAGTGGTGTAGAGGTGACCGAGAAAAGCAAAGGGAAGGGGAAGGGGAAAGGGAAGGAGAAGAAGCGGAAACGAAAACGGAGCGAAGACGAAGACGAAGAGCCCGAAGATGTTGAAGTCCCGTCTTGGACGCAGACAGCCGATGCTACCCCCACCAGCCTACAACCGCCGCCGCCGCCAATAGTTATCGACCCTACGCTATTCAACGAGGGAATCCTGGCCGGGATGGCTCAGCAGCCGCTGTTTCTGCCAGAAGAGCTGCCTGACTATGGTATTCTTCTGCCAGAAAGCAGTGCCCGGACGTTGGTAGACGGCTCGCAGATTGACATGCCTGCCAAGGCGCCCGCTCTACTGGGAACAGAGGAGATTCCGAGACCACCCTCGCCCATCGAAGCTTCCCTCGATGCAGCACTAACAGAAGAGGTTTCGTCTTTCCTCGAAGCCGCGCAAGGGACCAAGCTCGCCGAAGCACTCGATAATGTCGACGCTCAGCGCGCTGCGGAGAAAGCCGCCGTTGAAGAGCTCGAGGGGCTAGACGAAGAGGAGCTCGATGCGTTCATCTTAACGGAGGAAGAGGTGAAGGTGAAAGAGAGGGTGTGGGTTGAAATGAATAGAGATTACCTCGAGAATCTGGCAGGTACGTATACCGCTAAATGTCTCGGTGAGGATCGCGTGTCGCGCAACGGTTCTGATGCCTGGTTTTTTTGCAGCGAAAGCGGAGCTCGAGCAGATGGGCGGAGAGACGCCGGAGAAGAAAAAGCGCAAGGTTCGAATCCTGCTCGCCCCCCGCTTTTCACGTATTTTTCTCACGCGAATCTTGCGGAAATCCACAGAAGCGGAAGACTGCTCACACGAAGCCGCGCGACGCGTCAACGCCGCACGGGGCGACAGCGGCGGAGAGCGTGAAGAACTTGATCAAGAAGAACCCGCGGTACAGCAAGCGTATCAACTACGACGCGCTCCGCGACCTCTTCGATGGCGACGCGCCGGGTGCGGAGGCCGACGAGAAGCTCGAAACCGACACGGGCCTGTGGCATATGGACAAGGAGGACGAAGAGGCTGGTGTCCTCATCGAGGAGGGCGGCGGCGGCGTCGGCATGGCGTCTACGCCGAAGGCAGGGCCGAGTACGGCAGCAGCCGTTGCAACGACTGACGCGGAGGCTGTGGACGAGGACGAAGCAATTGGCGAGATCGATGAGGGCATGTACCTCTTTGCAGGCGAGAAGATTGATGACTACGGAGACTGGGATGTGTACGAGCAGGAAGTATGAGGTCGAGGTTGGTGTCGTTCTCTGAGATGCTAAGATTATGCGGTCTTTATTCTCGTTACCATTGCATGTAAGAGGCCCTGTCAAACATCGTCCTGCACTTTGTGGTAATTCTGCATATATACAAGATCGCGCTTCACTGAATCCCACGTAGGGATAGTAACTTTCGAGCGTATGTTGTCCATATTGATGAGCATCTCGATAATTTGGTCAGCAATTTTTACCTCTGTCTCCTTTATAGTCTTCACAGAACGAATACCGGCGCTCTATCCAGAAACTATTTACAGAGTCTCACCAGACGCTTTATCATACTACGCCGTAGGCTAGTCGCGCAGAACAGCCTGCCACTACACAGTTCGCTAGATTCTCTGTCCTGCGACTTGAGCTAGCGCCGTATAGATATCTCAAACTCCAGAATGTAATTCACAGTTTCGTCAGAGGGGAATCGAAGGATGCAGTGCATGTGTTCCAGGATGGATACCGGCTCACACCTGTCCTAGGTATCGAGCTTCAAGGCAAGATTCCTGAGTGTGAAACCACAAAAGCGGAGGCATGACGACGCTCACGCCGCTCAGCTGTCCCTGGACGGGCAAGCGCAGTGTCTGGAGCAACGTTGTGCGCAGAAGGCGAGGCACCGATTAATCGTGATGCGGCTCGCAGAGGCGAAGGGTGATGCATGGAGTGGCCAGAGCGCGATATGGCCGAGGTAGTACGTCATGAGAAGGGCACCGTCGAGCGAAAACGCAGCGTGCGTGGGCCCTGGAATTTGCTGCCCAGACTCGGAGCGCTTCTTACTAGTTTAGGTTGGACAGGAGCGGGAGGCCAAGGGTGCACAGATCGGAATGCAGGGCAGATGAGAGCGTCAGCACGGTGTAGGGCTGGTGTTCGTGGGAGGCTGGGGTGGGAGGACGCGCAAGCTCGCGCGCCTTCGGAACGAGACTCGCTGGCCAAGACGGCATGTAGTGTTAGGCCGCGACCGGTGTATACGAGAACGTATCGTACGACCTCGCTATCTGGCGAGATGACGTGGAGGGTGGTGTCAAAGGGAGCCTCGTATTGGGAATAAGGAGCTGAGCGCCGAGTACGACATCGTGTTGAGGATCCTGACGTGCATGATGCACATGAGGTACCGCAGCTTCTAGAATTGCGGGAGCACTGTGGCAGCCCTGTCTGGCCTGCAGTGTCACTGTCAGACTATAGCCGCAGATCGACTAGTCCCAAATTCAACAACTGGGAGATGAATGTACCTACGAGACTCTGAAAATACTGCTTTACCCACAGAAACGCAAGGTGTTAGAAGCTTTCAACACATGAGACCCTTGTTACACGTTGCAGCTGATGAATAGTATGGACGCTTGAAGCTTGAACGATGATAAGCCCTGCATGCCCTTCCGTAACAGAAAAGCAGCTTCCCCTAGAACAAAACGCACAACGCGGTGGAGATAGTCGCCGAAATGAAAAGAGGGTCGGTCTCCGTCGGTGTCCGTCACAGACTGTTGTTGATCGCCGCTGGGGACTTGAGAGACCGGTCCCGGCTAGGAACATCGGGCGCCTCCGCGGGTCCAAACGCCCACTTAGGAACAATGATCGGGCATGGCGAACCCGACACATCGGCGTCGGTCTGCACAGCTTGGTCGCCGAGCTCGGTGTTGAGGAAATTGGCCGTACAAGTGGCCGGCGCCGCAAAAGACAACGAGGACGAGCGGGTGAGCAGACGAAATGGAGCGGTGGGGACGGACAGACGGGTGGATCGTCGGAGAGTTCATCACGTTTTGGCGGCTGGAGCAGGCCGGCCAGCGAGATGCGGACATATTTTTCTGATGATTCATTACACGCCTGAGAGCAAACCACGACCGGAATATCTAAGCACGAGATCTCTCGCTAGGCAGGAGGCGAGTGTCACATGCGTAATTCTGGGCGCGGGCTAGCTCAGGAAAGGCTAGCCCAGGAAAGCGTCGGGTAGAGATATGCGAGTGCGCAGAGAAGACTACGACCAGCGGTGCACCGACAGTGTGGGCCCTACATGGCAGCGACGATCCCCACAGTCAAGTCATGCGGTCTCAAATTGAAGTTTATAGTGGACATCAACAACGGACTACGTGAATACAACGCGACTACCCTCGGGGCTGACATTGTTCCAATGATTAATGCCCAGATAATCAAAGTTGCACGTCACGTCCCACGAACAGACTAGAGCTCAATCATCTCCGCTTCAGACGGCAAGTCATCTTGGCACACGCATCGCATGCCTGTCGGCCTCGTTCCCGCGTTCGTCTCAGCCCCCCATTCTCACCCTGAGCCTCTCTACCCCCTCCTCGAGCTCCCCCGCAGCACCATCCTTGGCAGCCGCCAACACCCGCGCGCGCTCGTCTGCCCTCGCCCGCACAAGCAGGGGCACGGACCGCCCGACCTCCTTCCAGTGGGCCCACCACTCGGCCATGTGCAGGCGCCGCTCGTCGATGACGCCCGCGCGGTCGAGTGCGATGCCGAACGCGTCGGGCCAGCGCACGCCCGCGGAGACGACACACGACGGCGGGAGGAGCGCGCTAAGGAAGAGCGCCGCGGCCGCGGAACCGCGCAGCGGCGAGCTCCCGAAGGCGAGCGTGCCGAGCGCACGGAATGCAGGGAGCGGTGTGCCCGGGGGCGGCAGCGGCGCGCCGTCGCCGTCGACATACAGCGCGAGCGATCGCAGGCGCGGGCAGTGCCGCGCGAACGGGAGCAGCGCGCGCAAAGAGAGCTGGGGCGGCGTGTGTTCAGGGATGGCGTCGCTGTGCAGGTGCAGGACTTCGAGTGCTGGCCAGGAAGGCGCGAGCGTAGAGAGGTCTGCCTCTGTCACGTTGAGTTCGTAGTCCCAGCGTATTTCAAGTGTCTTTAGATGAGCGCAGGCTGCCAATGGACGCAGCGTTTCGAGCGACGGCCGCGAGTCCGGAGGTGGGGGCGAAGAGATAGTCGGAGAGTGCGGACCCAGCATAAAGTCCAGGCGAAGTTCTGTGAGCCGGCTGTAGCTGCCCGCAAGCGTGCTGAAGAGGTCATGGACCGCTGGTGGAGTGTCGACGGCGAGGACGTGTAGGTGCAGCGTTGCGATATTTTTCGGCGCAGCAGGTTGTTCGAGGAAGCGCGTGGCATGCTGGATGTGGGCAGCAAAGGCAAGTGTGCGCAGAATGGGGAAAGCACCTTGCTGTAGGGCGGCATCCAGGTCTTGCACGTCTGCGCTGTCACCGATTCCACGCTCGACGGGCGCTGCCAGCTCGATCGTCTCGAGCTGTGGCACCTCCGCGAGCGTAGCAAGAAGATCGCCTGTGAGAAAGTACAGCGGAACGACGACGTGCCGCAGACCGCGTAGGCCACGGAAGAGGGGCAGGAGGTCGTCTTGCAGCTCGTGTGTTGCGTGGTGCGACCGGACCTCGAGCTTGGTGAGCAACGGCGCTTTGTGCACGATGCTCTCGACGTACGCACTCAGCGGATGTTCCTGGGAGACATGCGCATGGAATGCAAACTGCCGCACCGTGGAATGAAGGAGGTACAACGATCGGTGTTGTTTGAGGGGGTCGATGGACGAGCATGACATCGAGATGAGGTTGGGCAGCAAGTCCTGACGGGGGCACGTCCGCTCGACTTCCTCAAAGACGCTCGGGTCTAGCTGGCGGCCTCTTACGTTGGGCCGCCTGTCGTCGATGTCGAGTGATCGGATGCGATACGCATATCTATCGCACCTGGGCCAGTCGCTGGTGTGCAAAGGGCGCTCAAACTTCTGTTGACGAACGGTGCGGCCCGCTTGCCGTGCATACAATGAGTGACAACGCACGTCCTGCGTCGCCCGCCCCGTACTCTTCTTTTGGCCCGTGAGCGGTGCGAGCAGGCTGAGTAGCGGCCGGAGGTCTGTGACGGTGTGCCAAAGCGTGTCGAGCGCGACGTCGGCCCACTGCCTGCACACCCGTGCGGCGCGCGCGAGGTTGCGGTTGTCGAGATGGGAGAACACGAGAGCGAGCAGCTCGGGGACGTGGATCGGCGACGCGGTCTTCTGCGCGCTCGCCATCGTGTGGGCTCTGTCGGCCACCCGAGTCGGTGGGGATCGAGGATGGGCTAGTCTGGAAGACACGCTGGCTCGCCGCTCATGCCCGGGTCCTTTTTATTGCCTGCGCGTCGCACAGGTAACCCCCACTGGCAATGGGCTCTCACAGGCCCCAGGTCCAGGCCGCACGCAAGGCGCCGCGGAGCTACAAAGCGAGTGACGAGAGATTGGAAGGCCGGTGTGCTGCCTTCGGATTGGGCAGCGTAGTGCAAAGATGCAGCGCGGTGAACATGCGTCCGGCAATGACCAGATGGAGGCACGAATTTGCCGGCGGCTGAGAAGCCCGCTCAAACCAGACCTTTCGGGCCCGCCGGGCTTATCCATTGTGTTTCAAGCCACGGTTGTGCCGGTGGAAAGAGAGAGAGCACGTCCGCCGTCGCTACCGACGTCTCCGCCGGGGCAGAGGCTGGAGCGATCGTCGGTCGCTAATATGGGCGCCGGTGGGGAGATGTCGGTACGCAATCTGAGCGCAGCCGCGGGGGGCGGCAACAGGTGACCAGACCGGCTATTCAGGCGTGGTCACCGGGACCGGCGGCCGCACCGGTGACTATGCCCAGGTTACGGATTGTGGCTTGGCACAAGGCACGAGACTGAAACAGCAACCCGAAAGCATCCAGGGTCGAATACCGCGTGTACCGCGTTATAGACTTCGCCGCAGGTCTAAACAAGCCAGCGCCGCGACACAGAAGGGCATCTTAGATAGCCGGACATCCAACGAGTAGAGTATTCAAACCAGGTACAGCAAGCATGGGCAACAGTAAGCACGATGCACAAAACGGACTGCAACATAGGATACAAAATAACGACATGCCCACTTGCACAGGCATGATCCGAGCAGAAAGCGAAAGGATAAGCAGACCTGGAAGCAGCAGTGACGTCGAGAACGCAAGGAAGACCCAGAGGAACAGACCAATCAGATAGAGCGCACAGAGTTCTCCTTCCTATGAGCGGCATCTCGAGTGATCGAACGCTTAAGACCCTTCTTCGGGCTCACTGTGGACGAAGGTAGCGATGGACGCAGTCGAATGGCGTTCGAAATGTCGCCAAATACCGAGACAAGCTTCGTGATCGAGCTCTTCTTCTTTATCTGCTTCGGCGAGCCCTCTGTGGAGGAAACAGAGATACAGTCACGCGGCGCATTCCAGGACATCGGAGGGACTTGCAGGAGCTTGTCGTCGGTGTCGTCGTCGGAATACACGCTGGAGGGCGGCGAGCCAATGCAAAAGCGCAGGTGGGGTGCGTAGTCTTCGACAATGATGTTTGGAGTAGACCCTTGGGATCGGATGACCTCAACTATGGTAGAGGACTGAGGAGAGTCGACGGCAGCTGGTAGCACGTAAGATATAGTAGGCGTTTCGACAGTGGGAGAGTCCAGGCTAGAATCAGGCGAGTTGGTGACATCGTCTACAGCTTGATTCGAGGAAGGAGACGTGAAGCGCAATGACTCCTTGAGAGTAGCCTGCCTAGAAGCGAGCGGCACGTCGTCTTCGTCTTCTTCCTTGATCTCAACGGTGCGGCTGACATGCTAGGGAGAAGTCAGGAGAAATACACCAGTGCGCGCCTCAGCTCACCACAGCACCCATAACCCCCATCGCATGCAAGCTGGCACGCCAGGAATGTCCTGCATGCTCCGTGAACGCGCTTTTGTCGGGTTCTTCGAGGTCGTACACGGGGAGCTGGAAGAGCGGCGAGAGGATCATGCGCCGGGGCACCTTGCCCGCCTCCTCGACCTTGGCTGGCAGAATGAGCGGGCGCGGCGGCCGGCGCACTTCGACGGTCGTGTCAGCGCTCTGCCCGCCGGTGTCTACGTGCTGCCGGCGATACCGTCCAACGACGACGAAGCAGATGTAGGCGACGGCACCGAGGACAATAAGCGCGCCGGCGGCGAGGGCGAAGCCGAAGACGGTCTGGTTGATTTTGACGTCGACGGCGTCTTGACGTGCGGCGGCGCTTGATGATTGGGGCTGGGATGATGGAGCCATCGCTGACGAGGCTGCTTGCTGGTGTCGAGAACGGATGAGGGTCGGCAGGACGGAAGCATCTTACGTTGGTGCATTATAGTAGGCTATCCGGAAGCCAGCCTCCCGACGTCAGCTCCTGCGAAGGTGGCTGCCATTCGCTGCTCCTGGTGCGGAAGTACATATATGAACGATCCAAACTGAGTCGCAGCTCGGATTGCAGCAGGCGAAAAAAAAAAAACATGAACTTGGAACATCAGGAGGCAAGAGTGCAGAAAGCAGAAGGTCAGAAAGTAACCCGGCTCGCGCGCGCTTTGCAGATATGGGCGTCCATAAAGTAAGCTAAGGTAAGTAAATATAGCTTACCTCATTACTTACCTTACTTTCGTTCTCCTAGGGTTAGGGCTGGCGCCACAAAGAGATCGGCAGCAAAGTCTCACCTTCCCTGAACAACAGGATAGGAATTCTTGTATTATAAAAGTATGACTGAGCAAGTTTCACTTCCTGTGCTTGTCTATCCGAGCGAAGGACGTCAGTCACGTGCTCGTTGACCGCTTGTGACATCATGTTCGTTCTGTCACAGCAGCGTTTGTCACGCGAACAGCTTGTCCAAAACCATCCGCCACTTCGTTCTGCCCTCGACATCTCTCGCGTTCCACAGCACCGGAGTCAACTACAGTACTTCATAACTCGAATACTGTCGTTCGTGAGCTTCTATGGCTTCTCCTTCCCCCGGCTTCGGCCCCACGACGCAGCAAAGAGTGCTTGCGATCCCCGAGATCCTCGAGCTCGTGTTCTCCTTCCTGGACGACAAGTCGAACGCGAACAATGTCACGGTTTGCAAGAGATGGTCGGAGCTGGCGCTGAACATTGTATGGCAGGAGGTGTCGGACGTGCATAGGCTGTTCAGTCTGCTTGCGCCCATGCAGCTCCTTCCTTTGTTGCCGCGCGACAGAGACTGCATGGATTACTACGTGCGTCGCCCTTGTCTGCAGTCTCTTCGTTCCCTCATTTCTTCCAGATGTTTGCGCGAACACTGGACGTGAGTGACTGGGAACGATTCGGGCGATACGCGCGACGGGTGCGCGCGCTGCATTTCGACGAACACGGAACCAAGACCCTTGTGGCACGCGAGGCATTCGACGAGATCTCTCGGACGCGAGTCTCCCTCAACATCCTCCCCAATCTGCGCCGGCTGACGTGGGTTGCCACCAACATCGAACGCATGCGGCTGTCGCTCATGTTCCAACACGAGAACATCCACGACTTTGCCGTGTATGTCCACCGCTCGCCGGCGTATCCCATCTCGACGTTCTTCAAAGAAGTCATGCTGCGCATGCCGCGCCTCAAAAACTTGGACTTGCGCTTCCACTTTCCCGCGCGCGAAGCCGAAGCCGACCTTGTTGACCTCTTCCTCGGCTTGCCAGGGCTGAAGAAGGTCATCATGCCGCTCTACACGCTCACCACTGCCGTCGTGGAGAAGCTTTCCGAGCTCAAGGAGCTCGAGACCGTGCAGTTCGAGTTCCAGGACTCGCAAGGGCGGGGCATCATCGAGGACGTGGCGCACTTTGACCCACAGCTGCGCGAAGGCTCCTTCCCAGCCCTGGCGGACATATCACTCAGCATCAGGCTCCCCGACGTCACACGTTTCCTTTGCGGTAGCTTCGCTCCCGTCAACCTGACGTCGCTCTACATACACGTCCTCTCGGCGTCGTCGGTCGACAACGTGCACGAGTTCCTGACCGCCGTGACCGAGAACTGCCAGCTCCTCCGACGGCTCTACCTCGACTTCTTCACCTCGGTCGACATCCGCTCGGACCCAGAGCTGCCCGCGCTCACCTGGCAGACGCTGCGCCCGGTCATGTACTGCGCGAACCTCGTCGAGTTCGAGGTCCGCTGGGACAAGCCGTTCGACCTCACGCAAGCCGACGTCGAGGAGCTCGCGGCCAAGTGGCCGTCGATCGAGACGCTCATGCTCAATTGCGAGCCGATGCACGTCGCGTCGGCCCCGGCGCTGGACCTGCGCGCGCTCGTGCCGTTCGCGCGGCACTGCCCGCAGCTGAGCGAGCTCGGGCTGTACCTGAACGGCGACGCCGCGCTCCGCGACGCGGGCGGCGGCGGCGGCGGCAGCAGCGCCACGCTGCCCGTGCCGCAGCCGTTCGCGAGCCTCACGCGGCTCTGCCTGGGCAACTCGCCGCTCGGCGCGAGCGGCTCGGCGGCGCTGTTTCTGAGCCAGCTGTGCCCGCTCGGGTGCGAGGTGATCGCGGGCGTGACGTGGCCGGACGGGTTCGCGATCCGGGACGACGTCGTGGACGAGGAGACGCTCGTGCGCCTGAACACGCAGGCGACGGTGTGGTTCGACGGCTGGAAGGAGGTGAACCGCACGCTGCCGCTGCTCACGAGCTTGCGCATCGAGGAGCGCGAGCGGCGCGCGGCGATGGAGCGGGACCTGCTCGAGCTCCAGGCGAAGGCGCGGACGTGGGCTGAGCAGGCGGACATGGTGCCTGTGGACACGCGTAGAGACGGGATGTGTGTTATCGCGTGATGCTGGCATGAGAACGGACTCTGGTTTGTTTACTTTCTTGCTTGCTGCGTTGTATGTCCTGTAGTCTTGTTGGAAATCGCAAAACACGCCAGACTTACACACTGCGAGCCCGCACTTGCTTGAATACACTGTGCTCTCGCCAGGTCCGTGCGTGCGAACTGCGCCACGAAGTGATTGGTTGCCATTTCAGTCCGCGACCTCTGCCGTCTGACATAAGCCCTCGGGGCGATCAATGCGATCAAATCTGAAGATCCTGGTTCAAGTCGTGTAATCGACGGCCGCTTGTTCGCGCTCTTCTCGGACTTGACGCATCCCTAAGCTTGGACTTGCTTCACTTTCGACTGCTCTCGTGTTTTACGCCTCAGTGAACTAGGCGAGGAACGAAGACGTACTCATCTGGACGGCGCGGAGGATGCGCCGTGACAGTCGGAGACGAGCACGAAGGAGGCAACGCCGTCCCGTGCCCGTCGCGCAACTACAAAGACTGTGAATAGGGAAGCAGCTGTACATTTGGACACGCACGCGACAGAGCGCGTGTTCCTCTTCGTTTACGCGGCCCTCTTACTCGTGCGATGAGCAGTGTTTGATATTTTTACCTTTTCTTTTTCTTGTTCCTTCTTTTCTTCAGGTGTCCGAGCTCCATGCTATGCTAGGGCTGGATGAGATCTATTGTAGCGCACCTAGAAGGGTCATGCGAGATTGCAAGGGCAAGGATGAAAGCAGAGGCGGCGGGCGAGGGAAGGGCAAGAGAGCGGGGAGCTCAAGTGATTACGCGGCCGACGCGGAGGACGACGAGAAGATGGAAGAGGTGGTGGCTACTATGGTGTGCGCAAAATGACGAGGTGCGCAAGTATCGTGGATGCTCCACGATCTTCCTAATCACGGGTGATACCATGGGCCTACATGTCATCTTGGGTCCGATTTCACCAGCTCGGCCGCAAATGCAAACAGGTCTATCACACAGTCAGGAATGTCGCCGGCACTCACTGACTTGATAGCGCCTCGCGAATGGCACTGGCCCAAACTCCTTCTAGTGCGCCGCCACTGTCGGGCATCTCTCACACCGACGGACAACGTTTCTCCGTCCGCAGTAAAAGATTGAGTCTCAGATAGGCAGAACCAATGTGCTGCACCTGTGCCCCTGACTAGAGGCATGCAGCCAGAATATCCCATCAGAGGGTATTGATGGGAGGAGGATAAGGCAGTAAAGGGATTTGCCTTTCGGGTCAATTATCCCTGGTTCTAACGCTCCCCAGTTGCCTGCCGGCAGGGTTCTCCATACCGACACGTCAAAGGCTCCGGGAACTGCACCCGTTATACCTCAATCCCGAATAGCGTTTTCCTGGAGCAGATGCGTACGTTCTCATGTTTTCTTCTTTCCTTCTTTCTACCCATACTTTATATCATGGCCGTCTCCGATGTCCATCCTAAGCGCGGCATCAGACGCCTGTGGCCATCCAGATATAAAGCCTTCCTGAACCAGCCAACTTACGCCTTTCCTCTAGAGATTTCTCAGAGAGCCCCACTAGGCAATATGTCCCTCCGGATCGTACGTTACCGTCCCATCGCTCTGCCTTCTTCTATAACTCCATTCCTTCTATAGAGAAACAATACTCTCGCTGCTGCTGCTTGCGAGCATGGCATTCGAGTCTATACCAAGACCTACGACAATATAGTCCGGGAACTATGCAACGATGACCCTATGAACCGGCTCGACCAGTCCGTCGAGGCCAACGATAGCAGTTAGTCACTTAATGCTCTCTCGCACGCCCGTCTTGACAGAATCCCAAAGACACCATTATGCAGCACCGTGGATGGTATTCTGGTTCGTACGCCGCTAAAATCTACTATCCAACCGCTCCAATCGCTTCTCAGGTGATTTGTCCTTCAAGTGCAGTCCAGACAGCGCCTTGTGCACCTTCGCTGTAAGCCAAAGCATTACATGTTCTTGCTGAGTCTCCTAGACATCCACGCCCCGTTGCTCAGGTTGGAGAATGGAATATGTCTGTCTTCTACCAGAATGACGAAGGTCACATCCGCGAATGGCGCCGCGTCGACAATACGTGGCACTCCACGGACTTTGTCCAGCGGGACGCCATACGCGGCACCAATCTCGCCGTGATCCACTCCGCAGATGCACAGAGTATCATGGTGTTCTATCAAGACAAGGAGGGATGGATTTGCTACCGGTCAGTGCCCACACCGCGCATGATGGAAAGCATACTCACATTGCTGTACACACATAGTCCTGCCACCTGCGACAAGTGGTCCGCGACCGGCGTCGATTGGTCTCAGCAGAGTGTTCGCGTCGTCCAGGCTGCCGCCGGTACGGGTATCGGTGCGACTGCTTGGGATAGTGAGTGCGATTCACACGGCACTGAGAAAGCAGCTAACAACGCCCGCAGACCTCAACCAGATCCGCGTGTATTACCAGGACAGGGACCACCACGGTCGCGAGTACTGCAGAACGACTAAAGCTGATTGGTAGGTCGCGAAGACTCTCCGGTGCGAATTAAATTCTCACATTTGCGACACAGGTATATGTCTCCCTTGTGTCTGAACTATCTGCGCCCCATCGGTACCATAGTCGCCACGTCATGGAGTGACGCCTCAGGAACTGAAATTCGGTGAGCATGCTCCCGGATGATCAGCGATTGCTGCCTGACACCACGCAGCGTCTTCCTCCAGGACGACACGCACATGATTGTCGAGCGGTGCTACAGCGGCTCGGAGTGGGATTGGTAAGTCACCAGACGTGTCTACCTTAGCACTGCCCCACTCACACCTTTTGCAACAGGGGAAAATTCTTGTATCCGGATCTCCCTCGCACGGACGTTATTGCTCTCTTCCGCCGAGTCGAGTCTTCGCCGGGCTTCTGCCTCCAGGTCTTGTGGGTCGGAGAGGACCAAGTACGGCGGAGGATAACCCGCTGCTGGAGCGCTATGGTGACGCTGATTCCGTCCCTCTAGAATTTGTACCAGCACGTGATCGGCGCTGGTTTCAGCCACTGGCAGCAACCAACGGCCATTGCTAGTCTCCAGTTTGTGGGCGAGTATGCAGGCTCCCGGCATGGCACTGAATTTTCTCGTGAGTGCCCTCTCGGTCTGCCTGCCCAAAGAGACCTGCTAACATGCACGATTGCATGGCCAGACCTTGTTCTGAGCATCATGAACAAAAGGATTGCGAAAGTCATCATCCGGTCTGGAGACATCATTGACGCCATTCAGCTTGTCTTCACCGACGGCTCGTCTACGCTCTCACGCGGCGGCCAGGGCGGCTCCGAAGACGAGTTCGCCCTTGAGATCGGCGAGGACGTCGTCAGGATTCTGTTTTCTGCAGACGCGAAAAATATTCAGCGACTTCGGTTTGTCACTTCGCTCGGTAAGCACACCTGTCGTCGTCAGAAAGCGCGCCTGAGCTACCTCCCACTTCCAGGCCGCTGCTCGCGTTGGTACGGGAAGAACGGGGCTGAAAAGGAGTACGAGTGGACCAGAGGTGGTCACTCTGCCCTCGCAGGCTTCACTGGCTCCACCGGGAAATATGTTAATGGGCTTGCAGTGAGTCTCGATGCATACTAGAGAATCCCACTTTGATCATCGCCGCTCGTAGCCCCTCTGGTCTGACCGCCGTAGCATGGCCAATCTTGAGAAGCTCGAGGACTTAGAGGACGAGGTCAGAGAGCTTGACGAGGGGCTTGCGAGTATCCAGAACCGGTTTTTAGCTGTGCTGGAGGTGTCCCAGGAATGCTTACAGAGTCTCAAGCCTCTTCGCACCAATGCTATGAGCAGTATCGTCCGCTTCGCAGAGTCTATCGAATACCTCCACGACCTCACGAAAGCACAAGGTGATGCGCGACTGCGGATTACAGATCGGCGGGCCAAGGCTGTGAGCGCCCAGATGCAAGTCTGCAAGCATGAGTCAGTCGAGGTCGAAGCCAAGTGTAGCGAGCTGTCGAACGCGCTGAACAAGATCGCGCCGGAAGGGAAAGACGTAAGCGTCGCAGCTCCCACCTTGTGTCATGGAGCCCTTTGTAGCTTACCGATTCTCAGCTGCACACAACACTTTCGGCAGTTGTCAGCGACCTGGCGAACACGACGAGGAGAACCAGCGAGCTTTTGGCTGTGGCCACGGACGCGCGCAAGGATCGCCTCGAGTTCCAGAAGACACAAGAGCACGTTATCTCGACCATGTCTAGTACTCCATTATGCTCACCCTGTTCAGGCAACAGAGTGCGAAGGCAAAGGCCGATATCGAGAAGTACACAGTGATGGTCAAGAACATTGAAGCTGGGAAGCCGGCTCCCGCTACAGAGCGCCCGCTTACTACTGTGAGTGTACCCTGGGACGCTATACCTCTGACTGACTGCGGGTCGAAGCGATACAACAAGATGTTCAGCGAGGACAACGAGGAGGTCGGCAACACCGAAGACCTTCGCAAGCATCAGCTCGAGCTCGCCGCCGCTGCGATCGACCTTGGGCTCGCTAATCAGCGGGCTGAGAAGGCCGCCAGTGCGCTCAAGAAAACCGACGAGCGTCTTGCGACGATTGACCGCGTGCTCGTCCGCGTCGAGGCTCTGACCAACGACATTCAGACGAAGAAGCCCGAGATTGACAGCCTGCTCGAACAGACGACCGGCTCGCTCACGAGGGCCCAGGAGCACGCCACGCTGCTGGAGTCTTTCAAGGTCACGTCTATAGATATCGACGCCAGCACATACGCGAGAGAGGCTGCCGAGAAGCTTCTACCGGTCGTTCAGCATGCGTTCTCGTCGCTACGCCTCAACGGTTCGGTCGAGCAAGACCAGGTTACGCTTGCAGTTATCAAGGATATCGCTGAGGCCAAGTAGTCATCTTCGACGTAGTCCATTTGCCGTTCTGTAATCTTCCATGTACAAGTAGCTTTCTGCTTATCTGTAACCTGTGCTAGTAGCGTGTCATCTAGAGCCGTCTGGCGGAGCATTTCTGCCCACGAAACGCTCCTCTGATCTTGGAACAGTTTATGACGGACCCTTCTCCGCGCTCGCCCATGAACAGCTGTTCCAAACCTCCTGTGAGATATCGCTTCGATCCCACTGGCACCCTGTCAATAAATGTCTCTAGAGTTAAGATTATGCTGCTGCGAGGACAATGATCGGCGACACTAGAGGTGATCCGTTCTCGTGAATATTCCTCGGATAATATACCCGTGAGTTACAAGCTGGAGTCCGCTGGACAGGGTCCGTGCGTACGAACCGCGCCACGAAGTGTTTGACTGCCATTTCAGTCCAAATATCATCTCTGCCGCCTGGCAGCTTTCGGGCGATCAGATCTCGAGCTCTCGTTCTAGCGCCTGACGGCCATTCGCGTTCTTCTCTTGCATATCCAAATCGTTTTTAGTCATGATCAGCAATGGAGACTGGAGCAGCGTAGTAATCCGCGGCGCATTATTGGACGCATCCCACGCCCCACCCGCCTTCTCCGCAGCTCCGGTGGCTTTGGTTAGTATCGCGATGCGACAAATCTCACGAAAAATGCCGCTCCATAGAACGCTGCGGGCTCAGAAAACAGGGACCTGCTCTGTCGGTCGAGCGCTGCAGTTACTAGACATGTTGAAATCGCAAGATGAGATATACCGTTGGCATAAGGGAGACATCCTTGAACACCTTCCAACCAGCTGAGTCTACGTTCTGCGTTATGGAAGCCAGCATCAGAGGAATCTGGTCAGTGAGAACCGCCGAGGCATCCACCGCAACAGAAGGACCGCTGGCCGGGCTGCCGTTCGCCTCACGCGGTTCTACACCATATGACGCGGGTGTCTCCTGATTTGATGAATGGCGCAACAAGACCAAGTATATCAGAATATACCCAGCAGATGACTTGAAATGACCGCTGGTGCTCGAAGTGCGATCGAAACGCGAGCTTCAAAGGCCAGGAACATCTCCACACTGCTGAACGCGTTGATGCTTCAGTCGTTCTTTGACAATAACTGAGATTATTGATATATATCTCCAAAACTGGCACAGAGTCCAGATAAACAATACGACCTACCCGAGTAAGCTACCAGACGACGGACGAACGTGATCTGGTGCGGTATCGAGAGCTCAGTCAACGCACCTGACCTGCCATATCATGCCCACCATCTGCACCTGCAGCGGTAATCACATAGTAAGTGAAGATGATGCCAGATCGTCTGAATGCGACTCAGTCCTTCCGCTTCCTAAACAAGACCTTCGCTGTTCGGTTGGGCAATATGTTGGAGCTAAAGCAAAATCCGGGCGGGATCTCTCCGGGCTTCTCCATGCGGATGTCGTACGTCATCACAAGATGCGCCATCATGCTCTTCAGCTCGTTCGCGGCGAAGAACCGTCCCGGGCTACGGTGATACTTCAACGCGCCGAACACGGTGACTCCAGAGGTGAAACTCACCAAGCGTGCTTCCCGGCGCCAAACGGAAGGTACTCCATACTTGTGTTAACCATCTGGTGCTTCGTGCCTTCGCCCGTCTCGTCGGGCATGTTGGAAAAGCGCCAAGGATCAAAGATGTACGGATCGTCGTAGTACTTGGTCTGGTCATGCGTCGCCATTTTCGAGGTTGAGACGTGGCTACCTTTGGGGATGAACGTGCCGTCCGAGAAGGTAAAGTCCTTCAGTGCCTTGCGTTCTAAGAATACTGTACGAGCGTCTCAGCATACGCGTGATAGTATGAGACACAGGACGTACCGCTGATGATACTGTCTAGCCGCTGGCACTCTTTCAGGAAGCTGTCGACCTTGCGCATCTTCTGCAGCGAATCCTTCGACCAGCCGTCTTCTGCAACGATAGCTTCAACTTCCTCCCGCAGCGGCTTCATGTACTCTGGGCGTGCTGCCAGGTGGTACAAAGCGTGAGTGAAGCTCTGAGGTGCGAAACAGTCAGCGCGCAATGCTAAGGGGCCAAGGCCCGCTACCTACCATAGAAGACGTATGAATAGCAGCAAAGCAGACTATGAGCACACGGGCAGCGAGGGCCCTCGGTTCACGCTCGATCCCTTCTGCAGCTTCCATGAGCCACTGGAGCAAGTCATTCTGATCCGTAGGACTTCAGCTGCTGGTCGGGTAGCAAGACAGCGTGACTCACAGGCTTGTCTTGCCAGTCGTCTCCGTATTGTTCCATCATGCTTCGCCGCTCTTCGATCGTGGAATTCAGCAAAACGAGCGTACGGTCAACGGTCTTGTCGATCTTGTTAATCAGGCGGTTCACAATCCTGCAAGGCATCGCTCAGGGAATAGTGATCTCCGAGTGCGAAGTAGCGACTTACGGTTTGAGGGGAGCAGGTACCATGTTGAGCGTGAGCCCAGTCTTGAATACGTCCGTTGTGTAATTGATGCTGATATCCAAGAATTCTTGGTTGCGGCCTAGTTCACTGTCAACACGACTGCGGCGGAGGACAGCGATGGCGCTTACAGAGAGGGAGGCCAACGAAGATGCGAGCACTCGTCCGAGCGACAACCTGCATCATAGTATCCAACGCGGGCACGGCTGTCCATTCTATGCAAGTGGAATCTCAGCTGAACGCGCGATAAAAGGACAGAAGAGCTGAAAACTTGCCATCTGTCGCAGGGATACAGTGCGTAAACGCGTTGCATATCTCGTCGTAGATCTCTCCAGAAAGGGTGCCCAGATTGCGTGTAAGCGTCGTCCGGATGATCGGTATGTGATAGAAATCGTGTGCTACTGCGGTACTCATCGTGTACTCGAGCTCGAGGGCCTGCAGAAAAAATCACGTGACTGTCCAAACGAGAGTGAGTCATGAATGCTGACCTCTGTCGTGGCTTCGATCAAAGATAGCTCGTCATCCGGTGCACGCCGCAGCTCATCAAGGAGCTGAGGGTCTGAAACGATATAATGCCAATACCGGCGAGTTGCTATCCTGAACGGGCCCCCGTCGAACTGCCACGTCGAAACCCTTGTCAACCCCAACGCAACGAAAGACATAGCCAGCATACCTTTGCGTGCCCCTCTGCAAGCATTTCCTGGCAATTGGTCATGAATCTGATTGCACCCCAGTAAGAGAGAAACGGTGCCGTCGGTCCGAGCGCAGGTACATTCCTGAGCTACACGGGAGGTCAGGATAGTCTTGGTGGCACAGGACCGGCAAGTGTTCACTTGCCTTGTACTCTTTGAACCAGTTTACGAGGTACAATGCCGTCCCCAGCAGGATGAGGCCGTACGTAGACGTTGGCGAGTCCAAGAACATGGTGGCAACAGGCAAAGATGGTCTACCGCTGCGGACAGGCAACCAATTTTTGGCGCTGGTATTTAAGCGAATTTTCTAGCTTTTCCCGGCACACCAGGAACAAAAAGTAAAGATGAGAATAACATCATACGGTAAGAAGTTGTATGAACAGAGTTTGCTCCCGTGTGTTATTATGGAAAATACTGTGTTTTAAAGATAAATTCACGAGAAAATGCGCAAGATAATCTACTGGCTCTGATTCTGAAACCGAAAAACCCGCACCATCAGAAGGTGTATGATGTGGTACCTGGACATACTCCCCGGGACGGAAGATGAAGCGGACACGCAGGAAGGATGAGATTTGATGGTAGGCATGGATGGGGCGATAAGATAAAGGAGAATAGCGGGTATGTCGGATCAAGTCGGGTTCGAGATTTGATGCCTGTCCCTGCGCGGGGCCCTTGGTTTAGGGCAAGTCTCAGGCACCTTGAGCACTTTCTCAACATCGAGTCAGATGGTCTCCGAGGAGGAGAAGTTCTTGCAGGGGTAAGCGTACGGTGTGTGGTACGGAGGCATGAGGACCGAGCCTTAAGATAGACGTACACCGCGACGGCAGCGAGCGCTCTGAACTTGCGCGAGTTGACCTCTGATTCAAGTAGCATTGATTCTGCAGGTGCTCAACAGAGCCTCCAACGGCGGCGTACAGGTCTGCGGGTACATCTCCGCGAACGCCGCCGCGACACCGCACCGGAAGCACGGCTGAAATCACCGAAGTCGGCTCCTGCGAGACACGCTTGAGGGCGTCGCGCGCGCGCTGCATGGGCGGTACGCCCTCCCACACGTGGGCGCCGAGCTCGTTGACGAGGACGGCAGCTGCCAGGACGCCGGCGGAGCGCTGCTGCTCCTCGCGACGACACGCTTCCATCCGCTCATGTGGCCATTCACCTGCACACAGCCAGATGTGCATGTCACCGCACCAGACTTACTATACCAATGCTTGTGTTGTACCACACTCCGGAGACATCCTAGACCCTTTAGTGTGCGATCCAGACTGGTGTACGTGGCCCAGTGCTACAGACATGCAGTCCTGATGGTCTGGACTTGCATGTACCGCCCAATGCGCGGAATGGGCTGCTATCATCGGTCCCAGTGGTATAGACTCACAGTGGACTGGTCTGACAGAACGCTTTTTCCAGATGCCAACTTGCCGATGTCATTTGTACCGTAGATGTAGCATCAAAAGTTAGCAGGCTGTGTTACTGTCTCCCCTCTATAGGATGCTTCAAATTCCCAATATTACAGGTGAACGAGTGAATACCAGTATTCTGCTTACCTACAAGCTCAACAGAGACCTGGTTCCGGTGTTCCCGCGCCACGATGCCTCTGCTTGCCGCGTAGAGCAAGCGTCCGAAGAGTCACTAACCCGAGCATTCCCACGAACTCGTGCTCCCTGCATCGCCGGCCGCGTCTTCGACTCTGTCTCCCGTATGTCGCTTGCTACATGTATTATCATCTTTCTTATCATCTTTCTTACCATCTCTGAACCTTCACAGGTTTATATTACTTCTACTCACCCACCCTGTTTAGACCAGACAAAGATCATAGAGAACTCAACAATGGTCGCGAAGGATTATGTGAACGGCGAATACGACAACGAGCAAGGGTTCGATCCAATGGACATGGTTCGCTTCTGCTACCTTCACATCCGGCTTTACACGGAGCACGTGAACGAAGATCCACGGACCATGAAGATGCTGTTTTTGTCGGGTTATGGCGAGACGCTTCCTAGGCCAACCGTGTGGACAAGCCTCTGGAACATTCAACAAGATAACTGCCGCCTTACGCAAATACTTTGCCGAGAAAGGATGGCAAGCCGAGGGCACAAAATTCTATTTGTGGGTCCCTACGTCTCTCACTCCGGATGAACTGCTCGCCGAAGATCAAAAGCTCGCCGGCCACTGTCTTGGGGTCATGGAGTCGTTTGAGCTCGGCGGCGGCACGTCGGGTTCCGACGTACCTGGACACAAGTCAGCCTTCCCAGATGGACTCATCGCCGCGCTCGGCCTCTTCATCTTGCCAGAGGACTACTCGAGATACCCGAGGCTCACGAGGCTCCAGGGGCGGAAGCACCAACCGGTAGTCGGGCCCACGAATCTCTCTAACTCCGCGGTTGCGCCACCACCAACGGGTGTCGCCGCGCCGCCGCCGGCCTTGCAAGTTAGTGCGGGATAGGCTGTCGCAGAAAGGGAGATCTAGTAGCATTATCCGATACGCGCGGGAGCTGCAGGCGGATTTGTGCGCTGCGGGGAGGAGCGGACGCGCAGAGGAAGGGCTGGCGAACGAAGAATAGCGCGCAATTAGTCGTAACGCCTCTTATAGGGCCTAGGTGCGCTTTGAAGAAGCCGGCGACGTACGACGAGATGAACGAAAAGGACGGTGCAGGCGGAGACGATGTGACGAAAGATGAGCCGGGCGAAGACAATGTGTAAGTTGGCGAAAGGGGATGTTGACACAGCTCTAGCGAGAGGAAATGCCAGAAGTAAGGTCGAAGGTCGCAGTGAGAGGCTCGCATATATCTAAACTTTGCTCCTCTGAGGATACCGAAACGCTGATTTAGCTGCAAAGATACGTCGGTACGGTAGTGCATGCGTACTCAGCGACGGAGTTGAATGTCGTGCGCGGTATCGACGAGCTCTTCGGTCGGCCGGCGTATAAGTTTGTTTGCTGGGCGAGAGCACGCAGCGGACAAGTTCGGAGTTTGCCGTGAAAGTAAACTAGAAGAGGCCAACAACATTGGACGAGTCGGCAATGATGATACCGTACGTCGATGCGCTGCCTGCGGTGGACTTGAGGCCACTAATTTGCGAGTGAAATGAGCGGAGAACTGGTTGCATGTTAAAGTTGTGGCTGTATGCGTAGTTGACTGTGCGGGAAGCTTGTGTATGTCGAGATGGTTATAGCTGCACCCGGGCACAGCCGAGAGCTGGACCTGCGAATATGTGCCATATCTGTTGGTGAGAGAGATAGGGAGCAAGATGGGGTGCTACGCACCAACATATCGTGTCCTTCGTCCAGCTCTCTATCAGCCATTCAGCCTGCGCTCTCCTCTCTGGAGGCGTCAGGCGTGCAGCTTAGGGGACCACGGGTAGAGCACCTCAAATTCACAGTGGTACGTAACCGATATCAGGACACACGCGCAGTACAATAATTAGGCGTAGCAGCATGTAGGCAGTGGCTGACACGTACTAAGCATGGTAAGCGGCTGCAATCGCACAAGCGGCCTAATTCACGGTTGCGGAGAGCTTTCAGAGTCGTGGGTGATGGCGTATCACAACGGTGATGATGAGTTGTCGTCTAAAGCGGTTTGGGTATATACATAACGCGGCTAGTGTTATTGGGAGAGGTCGAAACTCGTGACTCGGACGGGACGGGCGCAAGCTCAGGTCGTGGGAATGAAATGCCCGATTTGGATGGCCGAGCTATCGTGGTGTCGGCCCTAACTCAACCAACAATTAGCCCAAGCGTCGCGGTTAGTCGGTCTGCGAATCTGCTTGATGTCCACTGTCAGCCAGACGAGTGCTCTCCTTCGCGCAATTATCAGTTTATGACCTCCCGTCTCATCTGTCATGCAGTCGTGCTCGCCAGGCTGAGCCCGAGGGCTCTACTGCGAGCATAGGACGAAGAGCCCGCGTAATCTAGGAGCGCGCACTTCTCATTGCTCATTATCTACGTCGGCTTACTCTGTCTTTCCCCAACGAGACGGTCCAACAACGCCCCGCCATCAAGCGCAGTGCGGATCAGCGCCCTTTCTGAATTGGGCAGGAGCGGCAGAGCGGATCACGGTGTTCCAGATTCTCACGCGCCTTGTTGACATTCACGACGCGTCTTCGGCTTTGATTATTTCCCTTCATCCCTACTGCCATTTTCCCTCATCGCTCTCCTCTCCTTTATTTTTGCATCAATATACGGCCCATGTGCCAGCCGTCGGAGGTCATCCTGGAGGACGAGACGCAGGCGCCACCTCGACATGGTCTGAGGGCGGCAGGCTCGCGCACGCAAATAGGAAATCTTCCATCGGTGAGCTAGTTCGCCTATTCATTGCCCGTCAGAAGGGAGACCCGACGAGAAGCTCTCACGGGCTTTCTATCATCGCAAACGGATGAACAGACCCCGATTTCTCGCTGTTCCTTCGCGCTTTGACACTTGTACTTATAACGCCCCAGAACCACAAAGACGGGACAAGCACCCTCTTCCCCTTACTACTATCTCAAAAGCCTCCTCATATATGCTATTCTCACGACGAGCGCGACATGAGTAAGCGAGAGTCGAGCTAGTGAGCTAATCTACGAATATAGGGATTTGGACAAGATGCGACCACCCACACGGATGTGCGTATATGGAAGACGTTATGAGGGGACCCGAGCTCGGACTTATAATGCCAAGGGTGATGGGCGATAAATGACCACCGGTACCGACGTATGTCAATTAGAGAGGGAGTTGCTAGGTGCGTCTGATGCGCGTGTTTAGGAAACAAGTGCTAACATTTAGCTGTCAAAGAGCAAAGTCACTGAAAGGCAATGCCCAAGATGTAACATAATGATGGGTTCGGCACAACATGGTTAGAAATTGTCGTCAGACATTGCCTCTCGTGATGTTTTTTGACAATGTTGTAGACGTATTCACGCGACCTGCCCCCAGCCCAACATGCGCGGCTCTGGACACGGTGCGACGCCGCGATCCATCGGTACCTCGAGCGCACTAGCAACCCTGATATCTACTACCCAGACATCAAAGGCGATTACTGCTCGACACCCTCAGGTGGCAGGCCAAGGGGCAAAAGTGGAACGAAGGCGGAATACTCTTCGCCATTGGTCAAGCCTGTGATACGTCCTATTCGGCGCGCATTGCATACTTGTGTGTACACGGCTAGCATAGCTCGTAATTCATCCTGACGTTCTTCTTGTCAGGAACAGCTAGCTTTCAGAAGATTGTCCGGCGCACGCGTAAGATGGTTAGTAGAGGTTACGACGCGGTCCCCCAGCTTCGACTCCAGCGGACGAGGAGCCGAGGCTCCCGGATGAGCTGTTCATGTTGCGGAGTATCGTGAGACATTTCAGGCTTCCGAGTTTGAGGACGAAATTCGGCGGTGCATGGTGCAGCAAGGCACCAGTGGGCAGACAAAAAATAACAATTTCATGAGTGATCAATGGTACGAAGCGAAGGCGTGTTAACGGGTACATCTGACTCGATTACGATAGAAGTGTAATACAAAACATGCGATTTCTGTACGTTGTAATCCGTGTCTACTCGACAAATTTCGTGCCGACCCCGTCGCGGCCCTCAATGCCGTCTCGTCCTGGTGGCTCATGCCCACTTCCACTACTGCCGTAACCTCCGACCTCGCCACCGACCTCGCCTCCTCCGCCCGGCGGGCCGAGGTGATCTGCGATGGCAGCTTGCCTTTCGTCGACCTGCGCATTGTCTTCGTCCGGCCCACGTTCTGTCGCATCGCCTTCGCTCGCAACGCCCCCTTCACTTTCGTCGTCTTCGGTAGCTTCGTCGCCAGCTTCGTCAAAGCCCACCTTGCCTCTCACAGCCGCGCCATCACGAGCGGCGCCCGGTTCGTCGTTCATCGGTCCTTCCTCTGCGCCTGCGTGCCCTCTCGTACTCCCCGCGTCCACCCGTGACTCCTCCGCGTCCCGAGCAATGTGGTGAGATCTCCCGTTCGACTGCGTCGAGGACGGTTCCTCCTGCGACGGCCCGTTCTGGGTCAACTGGATTGCCGGTTGCGAAGACGGCGGGGGCTCGGTGACGTCCCTCAGCGACAGCATATCCGCAGAGCCGGAGGGGCTTGCGGTCCTGGATGCTGGCTGTGGCAGTCCAGGTCGCTCTCGCTCCTGGAGCCTAGCGAGCCTCGGGTACTTCGAGACGTCTTCTGGCAAGATGAAGAAGCCGAGCGCGGCAATGAGCTCGTCCGGGAAGGTTGGCTCGCGCGCAGATGCATCGGGGCTCAAAGTACCGCCACCGCGCTCGACCGACTGCATGACATCGAGGCACTCTCCGGCGAGCCGTCGGTCGTCGGCGAGCAGCTCGTCTGGTGTGCGAGATGTAGGAAGATAATAATGGCCTTGCACATACTCAGCATACCACCCCTCTTCTGCGGAGTACTTGTGTAGAGCAGCGCTTGTTGCATCCCAGAGGCTCGTCCATGTGACTGGCTCTGGAAGTGTCGCACTACGATCCGATAGAGACGACGCTATGACAGTCGGTGGGCCCCCTTGGATGTGCTCCGCATATAGCCGGATGTGAAGGTAGCAGAAGCGGACCATGTCTATTGGGATGTATCGCCCCGTGTCGTCGAATGTGCCGTCCTCAAACTGGCACGCAACCGTCGCTGAATTCTCCGCAATCTTCGCCTGGTCTGGACAGAGCAAGTGAATAGAACGGCTGCGAATAAACACTTCAGAACGTACCATGGGTACCGGCAAATGCATCCATGCACAACTGCAACATATATGTACGCGGAGCATGTGTAAAGTGATGTAGCGATGAAAACGTGTGAGTTAATGCGAGGAGATCCCATTGCTCGTTCCCCCAGTATGCGGCAAGACTTGCAATCCCATTGTCTCTCCTAACCATCCTGTCTGACAACTCCCAGAGAATATGGATGCACTCATTTCGACCATTGAGGGTACGTGGACTATCATACTTGCTATCAAACAGTAACACTGAGTGGATAAGATTCCAGATGTCGTCTAATATTGGACGTGCCATCTGGTGCTCGAAGAGGTCCGGTTCCTGAGACAGCATTGTATACAGCGATGGTGGTTGCACCCCGGGGCTGGGAGAGGTTGAGCGGTATGGGCGAAGGAATTCTGAATACATGAAAAGCACCGTGAGCAGACATTCATCGTCTTGGCCACCGTGCTCATAGACTGGTTGCAGCCGATCGGAGAGCGGGCGGAAGACGAACGACTTCTCGTCAGGGCGTGGGGATATCCATCGAGCGATAGACAAAACTGCGCCCTCCCATTCTTCCTTATTATGGGCGAGAAGGCGGCGGAGACATACCACTGCAGAGTTGGGGAGGGGATACGGAGAAGTGGAGAGAAAGAGCAACGTCAGCTTGTGCAGCCAGTCGGGACTCGAGATGAGCAAGGAGCCGCTGGGATCACGGCGGTCTGCCAAGTCCACTAGCATCTCCATCAACGTGTCCCACGTCCGGCGGGATATCGATGTGAGATCTGGGATGGCACGCAGCCTGACAGGAAGGAGGTATTCAGCACCAGCACCGAGGCGGCTGACGATGAGATGAATGATGAAAGAGAGAGATTGCATAGGGTCGTACGTGGACTGCTTTAACATATTCCGCACTGTTGGAAGCAGGTTGTCGTCGGTCATGATGGCGGCTATAGATAGCAGAATGTCCTTGTCGCCCTGGCTGGCGCGCTCATCGGCTCCAGGTATCGGACGAAATAACGAATGAAGGTTGAACTCCTGCTCATTAGGTCGTGAAGTTATCCATTGCGCAACCGGCATCGCTGCAGCCAATACTGGTGCATCAGGAAGAAGGCCCCGGACGCATGCCAGGGCGAAATCGAGGAGAGGATATGGGGAGGTGGAGAGAAGGAGTAATGTTGTCTTGTGCAGCCAGTCAGGACTCGAGTCGTCCAAGGGCCCGCTGGGTTGGCGGCGGTCCGCCAAGTCGACGAGCATCTCCATGACAATGTCCCACGCCAGCTGAGACAACAAGGTGAGGTCCGGGATGGAGCGCAGCCTTACCAATAGGATGTGGCTGGCATCAGTGCCAAGGCGTCCGACAATGAGATGAGCGATGCAGGAGAGAGATTGGACAGGGTTGTGTGTTTGCTGCTTTAACAGATCGAGCATCGTCGGAAGGATGTTATCGTTGGCCAGGATTGCAGCTATGGGTAGCAAGGCATTCTCGTCGTCTTGGATGCCTTGATCCGAAGCTAAGCACAGTCGATCGAATAAGGGACGAAGGTCTATAGCAACTTCCTGTTCGTGGGAACGCGGGCCTATCCATCGAGCGAACGCGTCCGCGCCTTCAAGCGATCCTGATGCAGCCATGAGACGGCTGAGAAGACATGCCTTCGCAGAGCTAGGCAAGGGGTAATGAGAGGTGGAGAGAAGGAGTAAGATTGTCTTATACGGCCAGTCGGGGTTGGAGACAGGTGGAGGCGAGAGCTGGCGGCGACCTGCTAAGTCTGCTAGCATCTCCATGAAAGTGATCCATGCTCGCCGGGACAGCAACGTGAGGTCCGGGATACGGCGTGGCCTTGAGGAACGGAGGTACTCGGCCTTGCTACCAGCGCGGCTCGCAATCAGGTTGACGACGAAATCGAGTAAGTTCGCAGGATCAGAGCGTTGCTTCAACACATCCCACATCGTCGGAAGCAGGTTGTCATCCGCCATGATCGCGTCCATTGACAGTAGCATCTCCTTGTCATCCTGTTCGCCAGTGACCACCTGGTCCTCTTCGTCATCAATACTCGCGACCGGGGCCGACTCCGAGTGTCCGATCGTGCTCGCCAGGTCCGCTAAAAGGGAGGTCAATGATCGGCGCATCTTCATCGTCATTCGCGTTCTCGCGGTCCGCATGACAGACTTGAGCAGCGGCATCTTGTATGGGCATCGTGGCGAGACAAGAGGTGCGAGTGTAGCTGCAACAAAGAGGAACGCCCAGCCAGAGACCAGCGGTATGCACGTGAGGCCCATCTGGTCGTCGACATTTGCCGTGAAGAAGCAGAGGCCAAGGAAGAACAGGCCGAGCGACAGTTGGAGAAGCATCGGAAGCACAGCCGCGATCTCGAAGACCTTCCACTTCCCCAGTCCTGGTTTGCGGTACTGGCGTGCACGCAGGCGCTCCTGTGGTGAAGTGTATTCGGATGCGAGATACTCGCGCAACCACTGCTTGACCAGCATGCTGAATGACGCTGTCGCGAGACTGATGATGAGGCTCGCGAACCACAGGCCGTTGACACGGACGGCCCATAGCGGAGCCGTGAACTGGGGAGGCGGAGATGGCGGCTGGGCGGTGGAGTTGAGGGTCCCGGATGTGATGGAGTAGCTCTGTGTCTGATTGGCGATGCGCTCGAGTAGGAAGGTCATCTGAGTGTTTGGGTCGGGCTGGAGGTCTGTATATGACTCGATGACGAAAGCTGATAGGACGGCCGAGTACAGACCGGTCTGTCGCCGGATATACATATGAGAACGTGACAAGGGCAAAGCGTAGATCAACTCACAAATACTAGAAGTGTGTCAATGTCTTCCTTACAGTCCTGGACCTTGTCTTGGTCGAATTCGTGCACGGTCTTATTCATCGTCTGCCACCCGGCTGGGGGTGATACCTCGATATAGCGTACACCCCCGATGGGCTGTCGGACATATCCCCGTCAGCCCGATGAAAGCTGAGATGAATATAGGACGTACCGGAGGTTCTTGCTGTGACATGTTTGGTGCAATAAGGAACGGTCAGGCTCGTGAGTGCTTAGCGGTGGAGGTAGTGACGGAGGCAGAAGGAGGGAGCGAAAGGCGAGGGGTCGCGAGCATGTTGGATCACTTCCGCCAGGCCGAAGCACGCGCGAGAGGCGTGTTCACGGCCACAGCACGGCGACTAACGACTCAACCGTTCGCGCAGTATGTCACAAATTATTAGCGCCTGGCGCTCGTATCTGACACCGGTGCAGAGAAGATCCTGACAGTCGAAGTTCTACATGCTGTGTGTCTGACATGTGGCAATTTCGGCTCTGTGGCTGTTATTGTGCAGGAGTACAAGGACATTGGAGTAGTGCATGCTTATATTGCTGAGCACGCCGGCGTAGTACTCGTCAGGACACCGACCGTAGCCAGTAACACACAATCTGGTACATTGGCCATCGTCAGTGTAGGCCCTTTGTGCTCGCGGCTGGAACGTGCCACGCACCTTTCACCGTAGTCTCGTTCCCTCTCTTCTGGAAGGTGTTCGCAGAGACCGCACGCAGTGCGGTCAGTAAGTAATGTTAGGAAGGGAATGAATACCTGTCAACGAGTTGCTATCAATCGAGCTGCAGAACTCTCTGCACGCCAATTCAAACTCCGTTTGTTATATGGCTCATAGTATTGATAACGGGGCCGAAATGTCTGGAACCGAGACTACTTTGACCGCACTCCAAGACGATACACACAGCATTCCGGAAATGAAGTGCCAAACCATTTGACAGCAATAATGCCTGTGCGGCCGCCGTGACTGCGGCACATAGAATTAATAGCTTGTGGCAGAGATGTCAGGCAAGATCATGAGGATGGGCATCGTAGCAGCCAACTTGAACACAGCTGTAACAACTTCGCGCTTCAAGGCACCGCTCGCACGGCACTCGCTCGTGGTGCCGTCTTCCAAAAGACGCAGTTCAAGGCGTGCAGAGGAGCCGCTTTCCGCTAGGCAGTGTGCTGGCTCATCTATAGTTCTTAGTAATATCATAAGACTTGCGTTGTAAGCTCATTAAGCAAATAATTGAAAGGCGATAAGGAGACTGCTTACCGCTTTGAACGGGAGTAAGCGAAGTCGCTGATTGGGCGCTAGCGCGCAGTTTTGGCTAAGCCAGCCTTGTCCTCGAACCTCCGCGACGACCGTGCAAGCCCCCCGTCCCTCCTATGTTACTCTATGACAAGAACGTGACGGTTTTATGTTGGCTCCATGCCTCTCACATGGCTAGGTCTGAAGGGGTCGTTGCCACGGCCGGACCAGCCATGACTCTCAAGGCCGCAAAGATGTTCGCGTCGATCGGTCTCTCTATCGGCTCGTCTCAGTATGTCCTCGCAGGTCCTCGGTCTTCATGTTATCATTCATGGATTGAACGCAACGTAATCTCGTACCAGGAGGTGACTGCCCGTTTCTCGCTAGTGGGTCACCTCGGTCCCGAATGTATCCTGGCGCATGGGGGAGGAGATATAGGCGTTGTTCGCGGACTCTTGAAGCACGAAATGTAGACGACGTGGAGGTGTGTGACATTTATGGGGCTTTCGTGCGTGTATTTGTTTCATTCTATCTTATTCGTTTCCTTACATGTCGGACAACGCTCGACGACCAGTGCACCTGGGCGGGAGCATTACCCTCCGCGTTTACGACCCTACATACGACATCACCGTCATCCACTAGCCCGGTTTGGCCGAGTCGCTGTCCCGGAAGCAGAACCTTGAGCACCTGTGCAGCGTGTACTACCGCGGCCGTCTGGCATCAACAGGCCGTCTTCGTCCCTTCAACTTACGCCATCGCGGCGCACCAGTACTCTCAGTCTTATGCCTGCTCTCGAACCGAAGGATGCTAATCCCAGAGTTGTGCTGTGTTGCCGCCTTGCTCCGACACCGGACCCGATGGGCATGTGCGCGGTCTCTCTGAGCAGCACCTTCTACGATGCCATTTGGCCGCTCTAGGTAAGCGCAGCTGCTTTGTCAACCCCCTCTCCCCCTTCCCGGGCCTAAGCCGCGCGGGCCTTGAAAACGTATTGGTTGACACGATGGGCTCAACTAGATGGAGTACATCGTCGCGTGTAGTGCAGCCATTGTGGTCGTCTCGTCTCGGCCGTGCCACTTAAGCGCACACATTCGCAAGCCGATCTCCTGTCGTATGCGCCGTATATCGCAAGCCTACCATGATGACACTCGCACTCAAGACGATATCCACGCGGCAGTAATGCAGACCATCTCGTCGCACTGTCACATGTCGTTCGCATTCAGTCATACGTCTGTGAGAACGCGCCTAAGACCAGCCAGTGACAGAGTTGCTCTCAGACATGGGCCCGCCGGCAATGGAACTGTCGCAGGCGCGTCCAATGATCCAAAAATCCTCAGACGCTTTCGCTTTCACCTCTGACTCCTTCGGCTACACGCCTCGAGAGGAGGTTGACTTTGCAAGTTCAGGCGCGAGCAAGTGGGGAGTCCGCCCTGGCTGGCGAGATAACTAAAGGAGTCGACGGTACTAGCACACCTCTCTTCGCACAGATCGGTGCGCTCATTCAATCATCAGGATATGGCACTGTCTCCTATAGTCGTATACACGATTTTTGATGTGTTATAATGAAGTGATCACATCTGCCGCTCCCTTCGCATTTCCACAAGATCCGTTGGACTCGACATGCATGCAGAATTTGTAGGTAACATAACCTGTATTTGTGAATATTGATATCCTCGTCTCATGTTCCTCCGATGTTGTGCTCTGTGTATGCTATCTGTGCACATTTTGTCTATCTGAAGCGAACCGCCCAATTGTAGGCCGAGGTTTAGGTTGGCGGGGGCCCATTACACTTTCATCCATATCACGTGAGTCACATCTGTCACGCTGGATTTGGCGGGCCGCAGAGCTTGTAGATTCAAAATACCCGTCCACACCCATGAGCACAACATTTCGAGCACCTTAAATTCTAGCAGTAGCTCGTATGCATGTTTTCCGGTTACTTACATTTTCCAGCATTGCTCTCCTTCCGTGTATTTTGAGTCAAAGGTGTCCCCGGAGCGGCTGATTACATAATATCAAATAATACTTAATTACCGCTCGTCGCGCGGTCACAGTCGCGCTGCCCTGCCGTCGCGCCTTGAAGCCGATCTCTGGCCGTCGGGCAAGCTATGGGCAGGCGGCGGAGGCAGGCTGAGGCAGGCTGCGAAAACCTAGTGCTCGCTCGGGCGGCCAAGCGACCGAGGAAGCAACCTATCGTGCAGACCAGAGGTGGTAAGGAAAATGTAAGTAATGCTCTGAAGGTATTGCACGTGTACTCACATATAACAATGTCAACAGTATATCAACAGCTCGTCTTCAGGCATGATTGGGAGCCAAAGACGACACGGAGAGCTATCAGCGAGGGGTTACCGAGGGTCCATGACATGGGAGCCGCAGGGCCACGTAGAGCGGATCACGGTGCTCTGGTTTCTCGCGTGCGCGCCTTGCTGGCATTCGCGAGTCGCGACGCGTCTTCAGCTTCGTTTCGGTCCCTTCGTTCCTGCCGTTGTTCCCTTTTCTCCTTCAACGATCTCTTCTCCTTTCTTTTCGCACTGATGTATGACCCGCGTCGGCCACCGGAGACCCTCCTGGACGGCGTCGACGTAGGCACCACCCCGACTTCGCACCTTTCCTTTATACTTCAAATGACACCTGGACGTTGGACCCCAACCGGCATCAGTCGCCTTGTCTTCCCAGCTTGTTTACAACACTCGGGCCCCCGGGTAGAGAGAACGACGGCAGTAAGCTAATCATACTTTGTGCTTATAACACCCCGTGATACATCCTGACGCCGCCCTTGTCAGAAACCGCTATCGTCCAGGAGATTGCCCGACGCTCGCGTAAGGTTGCCCAGTTTTAGCTCTCATGGACGGAGAGCTGGTGTTTCTGCATGACCTGTTCGTGCTGTAGAGCACCGCGAGTCATTTCAGGCTTGCGAGTGAGGGCGAAATCTAATGGTGCAGATGGTACTAATGGGCAGCCTGAGACGAAAGACAATAATTTCACGAACATTCAACAGTACGAAGCGAAAGCATACCAGCGAGTAAATCTGACTCGAATGCAACAGAAGTGTGATACAAAGCTTGCCGTCACTGTACATTGCGATTCGCATCTACTCGGCAAAGTTCGTGCCACCGTCGTCGCGGCCCTCAACGCCATCTCGTCCCGATGACTCATGCTCACTTCCACTCCTTCTGCAACCTCCGACCCTGCCTCCGCCCGGCGAGCTAACGGGATCTGCGATGGCAACCCGCCTTTCGCTGACCTGCGCACTATCTTCGCTCACAACGTCTCCTTCGTTTTTGTCGTCTTCTGTCGTACCACCGCCAGCTTGAAGCGCATCTTGCCTTTCGTAGAAGCGCCACTGTGATCGGCACTCGGTCTATCGTTCATCGACCCCGTTTCCGCGCCCTCTCGTACTGCCCGCGTCCACCTGTGACTTCTTCGCGTCCCGACCAATGCCATCAGAAAAATGATTCAGAGTTTGGCAGGTCTGCCAATGCCTTGCAAACTTTGTCGGTCTGATTTCACCTTCCATTAGTAGATCTGGTTGTCCTATGTGTTCCAAACCCTGGCAGACTGGTATGTCTTCCAAGCCCGACGAGGTTTGGCAGGTCTGCCAAGACACAGCAGCCCCGGTAATGTTTTCGCTGTTTTATTTCCGAATTCTTTGTATGCACTCGCAGATTAAATTTGGGCAACCACAAATTTGTCAAGGGTTCTATTTAATGGTACATGATGCAACAATGAATATATACATGGTCCTAATTATCGACACAAGTGAGCCGGCGAGACTGGCAGCATGCGCGACTACATATTTACGCCCGAAACTGGGTACCAGATGACCGGGGGCTCCGGAGTGGGGGCTTGGAAGCGCATTGTCGTGTACCTACTGGTGGCTCTGGCTGCCGCCCCTAAAACGAAGCGTAAGTGCGACAGCGGATAGTGTAGGGGGCATATATTTACCGAGGATAAGACAATGCGCTGGGCATAGAGATGGTGGTGAGAGGGAAAGGGGAGCTGGGGGAAAGACGCCCCGTCGGTGCCCAATTATTGACCTTGGACAGAAAAGAAAACGGGCAGCGAAAAATGAGCTAGCGGAGGTAAATGGTACCTAGTATTTGTTTGTAGTCGGTGACTCGGATGTGACTGAGTTGAAGTGATGTCACCCTGGCAAGAGATGATCGAGGCAAGTCGGTTTACTGTAGCACCTATACTTGGCGGAAATTACATGCGTATGTATACCTATACCTGACTGCTATCATGTTTACAAGCTTGCGTCGGTCTGTCATCGTCTGCTATGATACTACTGGGAATTGGATCTCCGACTAACTTCACCTGCTCTACCGCTTTCAAAATGTCGGCGGGCCTTGGAAAGACTGCTATTTTCTGCTGATGGCTACGAGACCTCCTATTCGACTGCGTCGAGGACTGTTCTTCCTGCGGCGTCCCATCCTGTGCTAACTGGATCGCCGATCGCGAGGACGGCGGGGGCTTGGTAACGTCTCTTGGCAATGGCGTATCCGCAGAGTCGGAGGGGCCTGCGGGCCCAGCTACAGGTTGTGGCGATCCAAGTCGCTCTCGCTCCTTGAGCATCGCGAGTCTCGGGTACTTTGAGACATCATCCGGCACGATGAAGAAGCCGAGCGCAGCGACAAGCTCGTCTGGGAAGGCTGACTCGCGCGCAGATGCATCAGGACTCGAAGCGTCGCCACCTTGCTCGACCGACTGCATGATGTCGAGGCACTCTCCAGCGAGCTTTCGATCGTCGGCGAGCAGCTCGTCCGGTGTGCGAAGTGTTGGGTGATGGTAGGAATATCTCACGTACTTATCACGCCACCTCCTCTCTGCAGAATACTTGCGTAGGCCAGCGTTTGTTGCGTCCCAAAGGCCCGTCCATGTGGCTGGCACTAGAAGCGTCGCGCCACGATCCGACGGAGACGACGCTATGACAGTCGGTGGGTCCCCTTTGATATGCTCCACATATAGCCGGATGTGAAGGTAGCAGAAGCGGACCATGTCTATTGCGTCGAATCCTTCTCGGTTGTCGAATATGCCATCCGCAAAGTCGCGCGCAATCCTCGTTGAATTATCTGCTATCTTCGCCTGGTCTGGATAGAGCAAGTGAGTAGAACCGCTCTCAATAAATGCTGCAGAACGTACCATGGCTACCGGCAAATGCATCCATGCACAACTGCAGCTTATATGTACGCGAAGCATGTGTAGTGCGATGAAGTGCTGAAAATGTGAGAGATAGCACTAGATGACTACAGTTCCCTTTCCCCCAGTATGCGGCAAGGCTTGCAGTCGCGTCGTCTCTTCTGCCCATCCGATCTGACAGCTCCCAGAGAATATGAAAGGCCTCCACTCGGCCGTCAAGGGCATTGGAACGGGAGGACTTGCAATCAAACAGTAACGCCGAGTGGATAAGATTCCAGATGTCGTCTAGTATTGGACGTGCCATCTGGTGCTCGAAGAGATCCGGCTCCTGAGACAACACTGTATAAAGCGATTTTGGCTGCACCTTGGGAGGGCCCGGAAGATATGCGCAAAGAAGTTCCGCATACATGAAAAATACCGCGAGTAGACTGCAACATTCTTGGCCGTGGTACTCGTAGACGGGTTGTAGCCGATCGGAGAACGGACGGAAGACGAATGACTTCTCATCAATACCTGGGACTAACCGTTTCGCGATCGAGCGAACAGTAGGGAGTCCCTTTCCGCCGCGGGTAAGGAGGCCGCGAAGGCAGGCCACCGCAGAGCTGGGGAGAGGATACGGAGAGGTAGAGAAAAAGAGTAATGTCGTCTTGTGTAGCCAGTCGGGGCTTGAGATGAGCAAGGGGCCGCTGGATCCACGGCGGTCTACCAAGTCCACAAGCATCTCCATCAATGTGTCCCATGCCTGAAGAGATATCGATGTGAGATCTGGGATGGCGCGCAGCCTGACAGGAAGGAGGTACTCGGAGTCAGCACCAAGGCGGCTGACGATGAGATGGCTGATGAAAGAGAGAGACTGCACGGGGTCGTATGTGAGCTGCTTTAACGTATTTCGCACTGTTGGAAGCAGATTGTCGTCGGCCATCATGACGGCTATGGATAGTAGAATATTCTTGTCGCCCTGGTTGTCGCGCTCATTGGGTCTAGGTGTCAGACGGAATAGCGAACGAAGGTTGAACTCCTGCTCATTGGGCCGTGGAGCTACCCACTGCGCAATTGGCTTCGCTGCAGCGAACCCTGATGTGTCAGGAAGAAGACTCTGGACACATGCCAGAGCGGAGCTGGGAAGCGGATATGGGGAGGTGGAGAGAAGGAGTAATGTCGTCTTGTGTAGCCAGTCTGGACTCGAGTCGTCTAAGGGCCCATTGGGTTGGCGGCGGTCCGCCAAGTGGGCGAGCATCTCCATAAGGATGTCCCATGCCTGGAGGGACAACAGAGTGAGGTCTGGGATGGCGCGCAGCCTGACTGAAAGGAGGTAGCTGGCGTCAGCGCCAAGGCGTCCGACAATGAGATGAGCGATGAAAGAGAGAGATCGGGCAGGATCATGTGGATGTTGCTTTGAAACATCGAGAATCGTCGGAAGAAGGCTGTCGTTTGCTAGGATTGCAGCTATTGGTAGCATAACGTCCTTGTCATGTTGCATGTCTTGTTCACAGGCTAGGTGCAGCCGGTCGAACAGCGGAAGAAGGTCGATTTCATTTTCGCCGAAACGCGGGGCTATCCACTGTTGAGCGAACGCCTTCGCTACAACGGAGGACCCCGATGTATCGACGAGAAGGTTGCGAAGGCACGCCAGTGCAGAGCTAGGGAGGGGATAATTAGAGGTGGAGAGAAGGAGTAAGATTGTCCTGTGCAGCCAGTCCGGGCTCGACACGAGCAGAGTTTCGGGCCGATGACGGCCTACCAAGTCTGCAAGCATCTCCATGAAAGTGATCCACACCCGCCGGGACAGCGACGTGAGGTCCGGAATACTGCGTGGCCTGGGCGAACGGAGGTACTCGGCCTCGCTACCGGCACGGCTCACGATGAGCTCGACGACAAAAGCAAGTAAGTCTGCAGGAGTAGAGCGCTGCTTCAGCACATCCCACATCGTCGGAAGCAGGTTGTCGTCCGCCATAATCGCGTCCATCGACAGCAGCATCTCCTTGTCGTCTTGATCGCCGGTGACCACCCGATCCTCCTCGTCGTCAATGATCGCCGCGTCCGGCCTCGACCTCGAGTGTCCAATCATGCTCTCCAGGTCCCCGAGAAAGGAGGTCAATGACCGACGCATCTTCATAGTGATTTGTATCCTCGCGGCCCGCATGACTGCCTTGAGCAGTGGCATCTTGTACGGGCATCGTGGCGAGATAAGCGGTGCAAGCGTAGTGACAACAAAGAAGAAGGCCCAGCCTGAGACGAGCGGTATGCAAGTGAGGCCTATCTGCTCGTCAACATTTGCAGTGAAGAAGCAAAGTCCAATGAAGAACAGGCCGAGCGACAACTGGAGTAGCATCGGAAGTACGGCTGCGATCTCGAAGACCTTCCACTTGCCCAGCCCTGGCTTGCGGTACTGGCGTGCACGGAGGCGCTCCTGCGGGGAAGTGTACTCGAATGCAAGATACTCGCGTAGCCACTGCTTGACAAGCATGCTAAATGATGCTGTCGCGAGACTGATGATGAGACTCGCGAACCACAGGCCGTTGACGCGGACGGCCCATAGCGGAGCGGTGAACTGGGGAGGGGCAGGGGCCGGTTGGGCGGTGGAGTTGAGGGTCCCGGATGTGACGGTGTAGCTCTGGGTCTGATTGGCGATTCGTTCGAGCAGGAAGGTCATCTGAGTGTTTGGGTCTGGCTGGAGGTCGGTATAGGACTCGATGACGAATGCTGATAGGACGGCCGAGTACAGACCGGTCTGTCACCAAACACGAATGTAAGAACGCTACAAGAGCGGAGCATAGATCAACTCACGAATACTAGAAGGGTGTCGATGTCTTCCTTACAGTCTCGGACCTTGTCTTCGTCGAATTCGTGCACGGTCTTAGCCATTGTCTGCCAGCCTGCAGGGAGTGGAACCTCGACATAGCGTGCACCTCCAGTGGACTATAGCACATATCCTATCAGTCCAATAAAAACTGGGATGAATGTGGGGTGTACCGGAGGTTCTTGCTGTGACATGTTCGATACAGCGAGGAACGGTTCAACCTGCAAGGGCCTAGCGGTAAAGGTTATCGCTGCTGCGAGAGGTTGCGGTGAGAGATAGGGCGTTGCAAGTAACGTTGGGCTGGCCACTCGCACCGGCTTAAAATACACGCGAAAGGCATGTTCACTGAGGTACACAGCATAGTGTGAAATACTCCCGGCAGGAAATCAGGGAAACTATTTGTGTGGTATGCTGTGAAGGAACTCACGAGCCAGCAAGACCTTTGAAATTGTTAGCGTATCGCAAAGCGCAGCACTCGTGTTTGACATTAATGCAGTGCCAGTAACGACACCCTAGCAGATTGGCCATTATCAGCATCGGGCCTTTGTACTTATGGTAGAGACGTACCACGCGTCTTTCACTGCATCCTAAGGCAGTATACACAGCGTCCCGAAGAATAACGCAGCATAGTCAATTAAAAGCGCAGGCATGGCAGCGACGCCACCTTCAAGGCCGCTGCTGCTGCGCATGAACTCGTGTGGTGCAAGCGTCGAGCCAGACGACCACCGCAGGTATCATAGTGACTGACAGAGAAGCGATTAGACTGCTCGATTGGCACTCTGTTCGGAATCCAAGGGGTGCAGCTACGCAGCAGAGTTACATCGCGTCAGATGAGGGACTCGGACACGCGTCGCACTCAAACAGCCCGGAATGCGCGCGAATGTTCTTGTGTACTGTATCTGCTACCTGCAGTAGGTGACTATAGACAGCTCATAGTAAATATCAAGTTGACCAAGTTGATGTAACACCAGAGCGGGCGCTTCTATGGCGCCTCTAGCGTGCGGCCGCGCCCCCGAAGACGCCAGACCGTGCTGAGGTGCCGCGAGCCCTGGCTGTGGCCACAGCTTCGCCTTTTGGCCCCTTGTTGGCCTCCATGTTGTATATAAACAGGTATTTGAATGATTCAATTTAATCTACTTCTTTGAGCCGATACTTGAGGCAACTTACGCGCTGTAGCTCGGAATTTCTGGACCGTTGATGGCTTGCGGGCTAGGTTAGGGTTGATGACATAGATAGCATTTCATTCCCACACTCCCTCAAGGCCTCACCGGCCTCACCTACAATGGTCAGCGCAATCCGTCTTCATCCTGTGGCTTCTCGTGGGCGCGACTTGGTTTAGCTGAAGCCTATGCGACTCGCCGAAGCCCCTCGTCCTGTTGGCCATCACGCTGCAGGCAATGACATGCCTGGCAACCATCGAAATACGCCCGTAGATATCCTGACGCTACCGATTTCGTTTCCGGATGCCCGACACCCCGGTGTTCCATGAGAGGAGCGTGGTACAAAGTAGTTTGCGGGGAATTGGTTTGGAGGTCAAGCTGGGAACTTGCCTAGTGCGTTACTCTTTGGTTTTGCTCTCCTTCGCTCCCGCTGATGAAGTAGCAGGAGCTCACACATCTAGCACTCAGCCACGCCTGGAACACGTTAGAAATATACCAATACACAAGCTCTACGCGGTTTGCTCTGCATGTGAACGCCGTTCCGATACGAACCAGTTTCGCTGCTCGCGGAACGCGCGAAACATCTCTGCCCCCTAACGGATCAGCAACCGCCTTTAGGCTGAAGGCCGCACCCATCGATATCCCCATCTTCTAATTTGGAGCTTCACGGCAGCGCTCGTCGCTCTCTACAATCTCGCCAAACACACTGAACACCAGGAGTTCTCGTATCAAGAACTACGTGTCCATATCTCCTATTTGCGAGTTTCCCGGGCCCTGGAAACGCTCTGGCCATTGGTGGAAGCCACAAAGCGTCGGTCATGGGGTCTTGGAGCGCCTGAACGTCGAAATCGTGGTGCTGTGTAGCGTCGACGAAATCATCGCGCGATGTTTGTCGCCGTTCCTTTCCTGCGCGTTGCCACCTCTATCGGCGGTGGCTTCAATGCCGAGAACACGTCATGAGCAACGTCTTTCTATGAATCTTACGTCACGGTAGGTCCATTCACAGCCATCCCGGCGTGCGCCCGGGGCCATATCTGTTCCTGGTATACGTGAAGGAGCCGAGCAGGGTAGGTATACGCGAGTACATGCAGCAGGTCTTCGGACGAATTCGGTCACGCAGCGAAGCCATTCATCGCACGAGGACCAAGCTGCCTGAGTTGACCGCGCGTGCTTGGAATGCAGAGATGTCGGACTGGAGGTTCACAGCGCCTTGTGGATGGACCCGTCATCGAAGAGGGGGGTTTTCGGCGATAGACCGGCGGCGAAGTAGGTTGTGGAACACGTCACGCACGAGCCTTAAGCTTGAACCAGAGTACCTTGCGCTATTTGCTACACAGCCATACTTGTCTACACGCGGGACGCTCATTCGCCAAGATTTAGTCACGGTCATTCGAATGAAGTGTATTTTAGCTCAAAACTTGAACAGTAGACGGCCTATAGGCTCCTCACGTGCTGTCCATGGCGAAACGCACATGCATAGCGGCTGGAGAGCAGCGGGAAAAGGAAGTCTGTGAACGCATGGGCAGCTTGGACGCGGACTGAGCAGATTCAAGCCTTCGAAAATCTGGGACGCCGCGACGTCGACCGGCGGGAAAATATTAGCTTCGCGGTGAAACGGCCAGCTTGTCCAGCCGTCGCAATGATGGTGCTGCACGCGCGTGATCTGATCTGATGTTGGACTGACATATCGTCTGCTGCGTCGCCTCCGCCAGGCACAGCTCGAGGACCACATCGAACAAGCTGCCCTTATCGAACTAGGGGTAGCGCTTGGCACGATCTGAGTGCGGCCCGGGTACGCACGTATAGACGGGCGCAATCCGTGAGCCTGCTTCCCGGAACGTCCAGAATCTCCATGCTGAACAAGCGCCGATGGATCCGCAGAGCTGACCACCGCGAGAACTCAGTTCCACGAGGACGAGCTTCCATAGGAGGAGGAGAACGGCCATCATGTCGAGCGTCATAGCGTAGAAAGTGCGAGATAAAGACAGACCTACGCAATAGGTTGCGCCACGAACGTGCAGCATGACACCGGCAGCAAGCGTGCCATGCTCCTAGGGCTGCCGGCAGAAATGGAGATTCGACGGAGCCAGCAGGGGTGGGCGAATCGGCGATGGTGATGCCGAACAACATCCATATGTTTGATAGACATCATGACGCGCGGGACAGAGTTCCGACGGAGGAGCTATCGAGCTATCGAGTTGACCAGCATCTAGTGCGCGATGTCCGCGACCAAGACTTGGTGTCAAACGCGTTTTGAGTGAATAAGAGCGAGAAGTCACCATTTGGGCGACAAGGCCTCTTGCCGCGGTGTTGAGCGCCCGCCAGACGTCGCCGACACGGCCACCGTGATGTCGTGCGTCCCGTTCTCGATAGCGGTCTCGACGCTCTCCACAGAAGCATGTACGATCCGGTAAGACCGTGCGCTGCAATTGCCGCCCCGGGCGCGCTCGCATCTGTCGTCTCGAACGATGTTGATGTTGCGTTTTCTGGGCCCAAACAGAGGCCCGTGCGCGCAGCCTTGAGTGTGCGACGAGCTGCACTTGGAGGTTAGATCACAAGCAAAGTACTCGGTAGCGTCCGATGCTCAAATCGATGGTGAGAGAAGTCGAAGGTCGGGGTGGCGCAGCGCGCTCTAGTACGACCGGTTTCGTAGCCAGTTCCCCGCAGAGGACCTTCTTCGGTGACCAGTCCGCTTCCGAGAACCGTAAAAACCCTCTGCGCTGAGATCACTACCCTCGAGATCCACTCGGGCAGGTGAGACCTTGCGCGACAGAAGGCTTCGCCGTAGTCCCGAGCCCGTCTAGCCTGTCGCATACGCTCGCGCGTAGTCCGCCTTGCTCCGCCAAATATACGACGAGGCCGAGTCGCAGAAATGTGTCGAGACAGCCGCGAATGCGCACACTGTGACGAGGAGAGTGTTGCGCGTGGTCTCAAGAAGCCCGTTCACTGGCGGGAGACGGATGTGCTGAAACGCGATATGGGTCGCGATGCGATGACCAGAGGTGAGGGCGACGTGTAGGAGCTCGAAGTGCGGCTTCTGGGGTAGCAAATTTGCAGAACCAACAGGCTCTCGGGTGGTGTCCTGAACCGACGCGTTCGCCGCGAGAAAGTTGAAGTTGTCGCACATAGATATGGTAACACGCGGGTCGTCGAGAAGAGCAGGTAGATGTGGAAGAGAATGGCAGAGTGACACGCACGTCAGCTCTGTCTGTATCTAACAGAGCCGCAGTTACGACGCTCTGGCGCATCGAGATCTCGCCAACATCTTCACAGCCTCCGCCGATGACCAGAGCCCGTTTGAAGGCGGGGCGGCGTGCGGGTGCGAGATGATTATCTGTCTCCTGGCACGAAAACTCTTCGTTTCGGGGTATTCGATGAGGTTGCTAGGAACGAGACTGCCGCCGTGAAGTTCTGGACTGAGAAGTGGTATTTTCGTGGTGGAGGCACTTCTCGGCGTGGAGGGTCCTGTAGACCGCATGAGAGTGACCGAGAATCTGAGATAGTGCGGGAGAGAGACAGATGTTGGCTTCGGCTTCGCAAGCGGCTGCTGCTCCGTTGGATGCGGTTCGAGGGCTTTGCGAGGAGCGCAAGTAAACTTGCGTCGGAGGTACGCTCGCATTCTGACTGAACTGAGCGTGGAGCTTGCATGCCGAAGCAGTCGTAATAAGGTTTGATCACTGCTAGGAGCTGGTCGTGCAAACCTTCCCTCTACATCAAGAGTAGAGAAGGTCAAGACTGAAGAGTACACACCGTAGGAGCCCGACGTGTCCTTCACCCAGTTCTCTATAAACCATCTCACAAACGTCCCTCGCAGAATTTCGGGTATTTAAAGAGAGCTCGGAAAGAGACGGTTGTCAGTGTTGGGATATTTTCGAGGATGCTGCAGCGCGCGCGCGGCGACCAACGCACAAACGGGACAACAGGCCAAAACTGTATACGCGGCTCAACGTGCAGTCGAATAAAGCCATTGAGCGAAAGTGGGATTCGTTGTGTATCGTAGATGAGAGGTACCAAGAGGGGCACCAAGATGATAAAGGCGTAGATGGGTACGGTTGCAGATCAAAGTGGCTCGAGTGTTTAAACGCCGCTCGGATTGCAGAGGCTAGAATATATGATACAGTGTAGGACCACTCCTTCACGCAGAAAGTCCGGGAAATAGACACTATGTGCCGACGTATGTGCCAATGTGCCAATGTGCCACAAGTGCTTCTGAGTTAGACTCGCTTTGGAATCATAAGCTAATGCGTACTCTTGCCTTTCCTGACACTTGTTCCAAAGCTGGCCATATTTGAGCGAGTGATCTGATGCAACCCCGATGCAGTGTCGGCCCCGCCCTTTTCCTTTTCTGGCCTGTAATGCGGCCTCAGCCCGACTTCCTTTGTCTCTATGACGTGCATTGGGAGACAAAGTTGTGTCATTGCCACAGTGTCTCTCAACGACATGTCAGTGGTCAGTGCGTGGGAATGGCTGCCAAAGTTAAACAGCTGGTGAGCTCAGGCTCACTTCATTGGAAACCTTGCCCTTCTCTCCCTGAACCCTTCTCCCCCTCCCCTTGCCCTCCGCGTGTCTGTCTGTGTTTTTGTGGAGCACGCAGCTTGCCAGGTCTGGGAACAATTATCTTTTAGATGCTTGTGCCCAACTTATACAAGCAGGAGCTCTGCTGCACTTTCTGTGATAGGCGTGTCTCATTGCAGGTCTGTAAGGGGCAGAACAATATACTCAATCGTGGATGACCATACGGCCTGGTGTGTGGTCAACGTGATTTATATTGCATTATTACTTAATTTCTCTTAGTGCAAGTGCCAGCCTGGCAAGATCTACTTTCGCTGGGCTGCTCCAAATTGGCCAGATTTGCTTGCATTCAAGCTCTCAGGCATCAGGCTTCCATCTGGCTTGTCTTTGTCCTCTCTCCTCGACTCAGACCCAAAATCTCCACTCCTTTACTCTGGCGTCCTTTCTCAACCTATCATGGCACCCACAGCAAAGAAGCTGAAGCGTACCAACAAGAAGTGTGAGTGGAACGAGTCAGCAGAGGGATGCTTTACCAACCACAGTGGTTGCTGTGTTCATAAGCGACCTCAGCCTACAGTGGCAGTCGCCGCTTCCCCTCCACCTCAGTTGTCAACTTCAGCCACTCAGCTGCTACCGCTGCCTACTTCGCCTCAGCCTATGATTGAGCCTACATGTACACTTCCTACAGCTTCTTCTTCTCAGCCTCTCTTGGCCTCGACATCTGCTGGGCCTTCTATCTCTTCTGGTATTGCTCAGGTCTCTTCTGATGCCCCTCAAGTTCTTTTGGGTGTTGCTCAGGCTCCTCCTTGTGTTGCTCAAGTCCTTTCTGGTGCCTCTCCAATGTCTACTGCCGCTGGCCCATCCTGACTTCCTGGAACTTCTGGTCTATCTCAAGGGTCTGGTGCCCAGGTTTCCCATCCAGCTCTCTCTGATCCCTTGGCCAACGCAAGACACACTACACAACTGTGTTCAGTATTTACTGATGAGCAAGCAGCTAGGCTTCAGCAAGAACACAAGCAGCGCCAGCAGGTCACACGTACTTTGACTTACGAGGAGGAGAACAGCCGACAAGTGCTTATTGCATCTTATACACAGGTAAATGCTATTTCTCTCTGTTGTTTTTGTGGATTGCTTATCTATTCAACTTAGAATGATCAGCCTCCACTGGAACTTGAGTATACAGGCCCATGGGATCCTGAGTGGCTGTATCTTCCACTTCAGGACGAGGGCCTTTTAGACACTCTGGGTCTTGATGGCAAGAAGTATTGGAGGTGGAGTCCCAAAGATGGCAAGTGGCTTATGCGCCTGTGAGGCAGCAAGGGCATAAAGGTGAAAGCTGGCGAGCGTGTTTATCTTCGTGCAGAGGGTACTTCTGAACCTGTCAACGGTTCTTCTTTGGCAGCCAGATCACCGCATACTCCAGCATTGTCCTCTCCTAACTTGCGCACAAGGCTCACCATGGAGCGTGCTGCTGTACGCTCACAAGACCAGGCCGCACTGCTCTCTCGTAATGTTAAGGGCAAAGGTAGAGCTATTCCGCCATCTGCACTGCCACTGCTGCCTACTCCACCTGCGCCTTTCCGCAACCCCTCTTCCTCTCTGCCATCAACCAACCCTTGCTATGTATCCAAGTGGCTTGACGACTCCTTCTTGAACAGCCTGTCACCTTTGCCAATCTCTCCACTCAGCAGCCAAGATGCTTCTCAGACTGTCGCCAATCAAGCTCAGGCTCAGGCCATTCCACGCAAGATCAAACCTATTCTGCGGCCACGGCTACGTGTACCCCAGCCCTTTCCTTCTCTCTCGCCACTGCACAATGAGCCCCAGCTGTCTCACATGCAGCAATCAGTTATCGATCTCTGCACCCCCTCGCCCAAGATACTTCCTATTTCTGGCCCCGGACGTGATGCAGATGACACCATCAGCATTGACTCAGACACAGACCCTGGAGGTTTTGATGCCAGAGATGACGATGTTCCAAATGGCCAACCTTTGCAGTAGCCGGAGCCTCGCCTTCCAACCGCGGATGATGCCGACGCCATCAGTATCAGCTTAGACACAGACCCTGGAGATTTCAATGCTGGAGATGGTGACGGCGATGTTTCGAACAGCCAACTATTGCAGCAACCGAAGCCTCGCCTTCCCACTTTCCCTTCATTTCACTTCAACCTAGGCTCGGACTTTGGCTTGCCTCATGACAACTCCAACTCTGCACCACTCACTCCCAGTCCTTTGGCTACTGGACGCTTCACTATGCCTGGCTCCTTGGACTCTCTGCACCATTCAGATTACCTGCCCTCTCCTCGTTGCGCCTCTGTCTCTCCTATTGTCAGCACAGGCAGTAAATCATGGCCCTACGACTGGCATGTGGTGAATGTTCTGGCATGCTTCACGCATTGCTCTTGGCTGCCTCCTGGCCAAACAGTGAAACAGGCCTTTGAGACGTTCGTACCTGGGCTCGAATTCAGTCGCACCTTCTGGAAATACCGCAAACACTGGCAATCTGCAAGCTCCGAGACCCAGAACAAGTTCCTCAAGTACAGTCATACTGCAGACGGCCTCTGGACCCACTTCATGGAGGAGGTTCCCAATTCCAAAGGAGAGCACAGGAATGCTACGAAGCAAGAGACACGAGCCCAGAAGCGCACTGCATCTCAGATGGAATAGGTTGGTTGCTCATTATCTCTACTCATGCCACAACTTTGTTTGTCGTTCGGCCTCACTTGTTCTGTAAATTCAACTTCGTATCCTGTACCCTGTCATTGTCTCCTTACAGATGTCCACATATCCCAGCTGTATAGATTTGTTGTGCGTTATTTCCTGTGTTATTTCCTATGTAGTTACCTGAATTTCAGCTCTATTACATTGCGTGCCTTGCGAACTATGTGCCCGGTCGCCACAGTGTGTATAGATTTGTTGTGCGTTATGTCCTGCATTATTTCCTACCACTGGTCGCCACAGTGTGCTATGCCCTAATGGGTTGACCAACCTGACAAACGCGTAAGCTTCAGCTGTCTCTACCATCAGCTCTCCTTCTCACCACCATACCGCCGCTTGGTCTACCCCCTCGCATCTTGAACAGCCTGCAGCATGGACAAGGCCGTGAGCAGAAAAGCAGGAAAGGCCAGGGCAGATGAGGCCAGGGCTCAACAAGCCAAGGTAAACACCCCTCTCCAATGGTATCAGAATGAGTACATGACTGTGACCGTGCCCCAGCGTCCAATGAACAGCTGCACGCAAGGCGATAACACAGCGTCACATGGACAGCCACATGTGACACAGCAACACATCACAGTGGCTGTGTTAATTCTCGGCGCAGAATTGTCCTAGCGTACGATAACACATCACAGTGGCTGCGTCCAATCCAAGGCGTCGGACGGACAGCCACACGCGACATGACAACACATTCCATCATGTAGACACTCAGTTTGTTGGTTTGTCAGTTTGTCATATGTACAGATTTCACTTGCAGATTTCACTTGTGCTACAAACAATTGAGTGAGGGGTGGCATTGACTTAGCAGAGGTTTCTAAAAAGAGGTATGCGCAAACCACTGCTGAAATAGGAGACACTGCATGTCCTTTGCTGTTCCTCTCCATCATATCATAGATCTCATGGACCCTATCTTCCGTAGCCTTGCTGACTATCCTGAGCTACTTAGCCAGCTCTCGTTCATGCAAATTGTCCACTTTATTATCTATTCTGCAAAAGTCAAGGACAACATCATCATTACTCAGTCGGCACACCATAACTCAGCTATACCACCCAAGAACATCTCTCCTGCTGTGCAGCAGTTTCTGGCGGAAGTACTACAAGTCAACACGGCTACTATTCTGCAGTGCTGGACTGCCCTAAAGCATGTGGCATGGGATGAGGCATATGTTTCCAGGCTCAATAGCAATGAAGAACATGTGTTCCAACAATATGGCTCTACCAAAGGGCTAGGTAAGCGACAGCCTATCTATCGCAGCATCCAGTGTATTCGTCCTCTATTCAGTGAGCCATACTCTGTACCCTCCAAGTCACTTTTGTATGAACACCAGCACATGCAAGCGTGATGCACCTCTCAAAAGAGTTGAACAGAGACATGTCATTCTCTTCACCTTTGATAAAGGTGTCATTCTTGGCTACTCAGTTCATCTGTATTGTGACCGTGAGTTGAGTTTGGTGCTCTATCCTAAATTAAACAGTATTGATTAGAACAGCCACAGAGTGCAACACCAACTTCCATCACAACTACACAGTGAAAGATGGGGTCTGCACCTATTACTCTGGTGTTCCAGAGTTCCTCCAGGCTGGAGAGCATCATTTTGTTGAGCGGAAGCTTGTCAATCTTTGGATTCACCTTATACTGACGGCATGGTGAGTAGCAACATGTACAAATATACATTGTACAGTCTGAGACAATATTTATGAAGGACTTCAGCTTCGGCTTGCACTGACACATATAATGAAGTTTTGGCTCAGCCGCCACTACAAGACTGGCCCTTCAGCTCACTGCTTCGGCCCGAGCACGTCTGGGATGCGTTTACCTTGCTCTGCCTTATGGAAGACTATGAGAGACGCAAATTTGTTCTTCAAGTTCCGCACAGTGGCGATCAGAAGTATAGATTCTCTGATGCCGTTCAAAGCAGGAACAACTTCTTCCAGCATACAGGACAGCCTGAGCTTGCTCATCGTTGCAATAAGTGTGTACGCTACAGAAAGCTGGACTAGCGAGGTCTTCCTACAGGTATTTACACCTCATTTCTATGACATAATTTTTCTACTAAACTTCGAAAATAGCCAAGACATCATGTGTCGTCACCAATGGCATGACCATTAGATATCCTTGCTGTGCAGTTCATAATTGCAAGGTGCCCCTTACTAGCCGCTGCGATCGCTTTTGCTTGCAGCATAAGGAGTTACATAAGGTCTGCTCCATAATCGGCTGTGACAGAGCCATTGTCACAGGCAGCAAGGTCTGCAGTGACCAAACCCATATCAGTGTTGAGAAGGCATATAATGAGCACGGCCAGTCTCACTTTCAGCTTCAACAACGTCTTCGCAGCGTCTGCATAGCCAGTGCCGTGACAACCACAGGAGACCCTAATGACAAGGCTGCAGAAGAAGACTTCAATGTGGATGCAGCAGGCAACACTATCCCTGCCACCAGTCTAAATGCCTCCAGAGTGGGGACACAGAAGATTTGAGCACAGTTTGGTCAAAAGCGCACACACAACAAGCAAATTATTGTTGCCCCGTGTGGTGTTATTATTGCCCGCACAACCTTCTTTGGTGCAAAAGGAGTTCGCAGTGTTGCTGTACGTCATTTGTTATCACAGCATTCCAAGAGGCAAATAACAATGCTATGCCATATAATTCTGCAGGAGTTTATCAAGCAGACATATAGATCAGTGCCATTTGTCCCGGACCATGTCTTCTACAACAACAACTGCCACATGAAGAAAAGCGTGGCAAACGATCCTTTCTTTGACCACATTGCACTGACAGTTGATGTATTTCACTTCAAAAGCAAGCACAGCTCAACTGATCTATATTACCAAAGCCACTGCAACCTAGTAGATTATTCCGAGCTGCTAGGAGAAGACGGACAGGGCTGGTTTTTCAACTCATCTATTGCGGAGCAGACTAACGCATGGCTTGCCAACTACCTCTCAATCTGCCATGAGATGCACAGAGATCGTTTCAATTTCTTCCTAGATGAGATGATCATCCGCCAAAACAGAAGTACTGTGTCCAAACTTAGGTCCCAAGACGCCATGCCAGATTATTGGTCTGCCGATATGTTTGAGTAGGCTATTACAGCAATTTATTCATTTATTAGTGTGCTACTTGGCCCAATAACCCTGCGACACTACCATCCCACAGTGACCTTGTTCCTAGCCGTGCGCAACTTTGTACATTCCGTGGCAACCGTATTCCTTGCTGTGTGCCACTTTGTAGGCTTGTGCCATATCTCCCACATCAAAAGGCAGCCTCATCGCTCATGTGCGTGCATTTTTGCGCTCATGCGAGGTCTGCAGCATGCAGTCGTGCGAGAAAGTGAACTTGAAGAATAACATAAAGCATAGGCGCCTACAAGAATGTGCATCGGCTGGAGGCTGAAATATGATGCACCCATATGTGCCATATTTGTCGTAGCTCATTTGGACAATTCGACAAGGCAGCATGGTCATCGTGGTAGTTGTGGCCCACGAACACAACGCCTGTAGCTAATTCTGGTAATTGCGCGCGTTCTTGCCACCGGCGGGATGGGCGCCTTAATGCTGAGCATCACGCTTCCGATCGTGAAAAGCGCATCACTGATCAATCACCGATTGTTTTTCCTGGCAGTGGCACATCGGCACATTCGGCACATTCGGCACATTCTGGGGGTTTCCTGGACGTCCTCCCTTCACGAGACGAATTAGTTCCTCTTTTGTGCAAAAAGAGGTCCAAAAATATATACAATATTTTTCACAAAAAGAGCTGAACACTTCTCCTGGGAAGAAGCAGTGCTATTTGCAGCACGAAAGGTGTACTATTTGACTTTTTTTTGAGTGTGGGAGGTATTCAAATATTTCCAAGGAAAGTAGGGTATCTATTCTTGTGCCTATTTTCAGACAAAATAGTGATCGCCTGCTGTAATCACCCACTCATAGTATGACTGCATAGCATGAGTGGGCGATCACTATTTAAGCTGAAAATAGCTACCTCTTTTGCAAGAGAATATATACAAGATTAAATGGCCTATTTACATGGAGAATATTTGGACTATTATTATGCTCAAAAAGTTGTAAAAATAGCATGCCTTTTCATGCTGCAAATAGCACCACTTTTCCCCAGAATAACTGCTCAGCTCTTTTTACAAAAAATACGTGCCATATTTTTGCTCTTTTTACACAAAAGAGGAACTAATTCGTCTTGTGCTTGGGACAGCACCACTCCTTGGGACACTCCACTTTCTGCCCTCACACAGCCTGTAGAGCCTATATAATACATCTATATCTATATGCCATTAGAAACTCAGAGCCATCTGGTGATTGTAGCATAGGTAGGGGAGCAAAAGGCCTCAAAAATTGTCAAGCGCGCCATCAGCAAATAAAGCGGTCACAGATAAGTGCTGACAAATGCTTGCCATTCTGGTAGACGCTGGGAATGCAATACCAGCCAATACCATCTGGCTGGCATTGGCTGGTATTGCATTGCCAAGTGTCTGCCAGACTGGTTGGCACTTGCCAGGCAACCCAGCGCTGATCTGCGACCTATTTTTTTTTTTGCTGATGGCTGGTTTCAGTGACACTGCGACCGTCACCAGAGTCACACAGTGAGGCTAAAATTCGCGAAAATATTCGCTAATACTCGAATTTATGCTACATTCATGTGAAAAATGCGCATAGTGCCCAGTTGTTAAGTGTCAAGCTAGAAGACATCAGAGATGATTTTACTGGGCTTAGGCGCTACTGAGGCGTGACAAGTTTGACTGCCGCGTGACCGCTGCGTCCGCCAAGACTGCTGGTACAGGTCACAAATTGTCACTTCTGTCACATTAGTCACAGTGTCCCAAGGAGTGCCGCTGTCCTGGACCACCTCCGTCTTGTGTCCTTTGTCTTGACTTCAGCTTTCGTCTTTTCGCCTTGCAGCTTTCCACTGAGGTATTTCATATGTTGTAGTAATATAATACAATTTATTTGGTATTTATATGCGAGAGACATACGAAGGGGAAGCGAATATTGGTCAGGTGTCCCAAGGAGTGGTCCTATACTGTATGGCGGGAGAGATTCAACGGAGTCGACGTGGCCAACATCGAAGTATCACGAGAGAAGGTGAGCAGAGAGCGGGAAGGTCGTACGCGGGACCAGTTGTTGTGGCGCCTGCGACCCTAACCCACTGCCATCGGCGCTGCCCGACTTGCTCTGCGCGATGTTCGCCGCCAGCCAGCGCCCTCTCGCAACACCGTATACTCTCCTGTATACAAACATCAATTTACCGTCGTTCTTGTGCTTGTCACGCTACAAACCTTGAAGATCCCATGTCAAAGGAATAGCCAACCGTGGACCGGTGGACATACAATCCGCAGCCGCAACCATGTGCGTACGCACTAGCGTATGTCACTGAATGATCACGATGAGCCACGTCGGCGCGACGCGGCGCTGCAGGCAACGGCAGCCCCCGCCAGTGATCCTGGTTCGGGATGCGGCAGGGAGTGTAAAGGGTTCGCATTCTGTGGTGAGTGGTCACTGTAGCTTGTCGCTCCTATAGTACATCGCGACGTAATTCTATTCCCCAGGTTTCTCGCCACCCTCGCCATCGCCATCCGTCCTATCTCTATCTAACAGTCCATGCTCGCCTCCGCTACCGCCGTGATTCTCGACCTCGTCTCTACTGAGCTGGCCAGGATTATCCTCGATATCAACATCTCCTTCGTCGGCCTGCGCGCCGCCTTCATCCACGTCTTCGCTCGCGTCATCCTCTTCGTTCGCGTCATCCTCTTCGTTCGCGTCATCCTCCTCGCTTGCATCATCCTCTTCACTTGCGTCATCCTCTTCGCTTGCATCGTCCTCTCCGCTCACATCCTCCCAACTCGCATCTGAATCTCCCTCGCTCGTACCACCACCAGGCTCATGCGAGTGCGCCTCACTTCTTTCGGCAGTATCACGACTATTGGCGCGCATCCCTTCGTTCATCAGCCCTTCCTCCGCGCCTGCACCCCCCTCTATACCACCCGCGTCCACGTGTGACTCCTCTGCGTTCCGACCAATAACACGAGACTTCCTATTCGACTGCGTCGGTGACAATCCCCCCTGCGGCGGCCTATCCTGTGCAGACTGGTATGCCGGCTGCGGGGACAGCGGGGGCCCAGCGACGTCTTTTGTTGGCGGCGGCGTATCCGCAGAATCGGAGGAGCCTGCGGGCCCGGCTGCCGGCTGTTGGGGTTCAAGTCGCTCTCGTTCCTGAAGCGCCGTGAGCTTCGGGTGCTTCGACACATCTTCTGACGAGATGAAGAGACCGAGTGCGGCGATGAGCTCGTCCGGAAAGACTGGACCGCGCTTGGATGAGTTGGAACCAGAAGTGCCGCCACCGCGCTTGACCGACCGCACAATGTCGAGGCACTTTCCGGCAAGCTTCTGATCGTCAGCGAGCAGCTCGTCTGGAGTGCGATGTGTAGGGAGATGGTAATAGTACTCCTCGTACTCGGCATGCCACTTTTGTTCTGCGAAGTACTTGCGTAAGGCAGCATTTGTTGCTTTCCAGAGGCTCCTCCATGCAGCTGGTCTTGGAAACGTCGCTTCATGATCTGACAGGGACGATGCTACCGTGGTCTGTGGGCCCTCTCTGGCGTGCTCCGCGTACAGTCGGAGGTGAAGGTAGCAGAAGCGGACCATACTTAATGGGTCGAATCCTTGTTCGTTGTATTCGCCGCCTACATAATCTTGCGCAATCTCTGTTGAGTTCTCCACGATCTTTGTCTGGTCTGAATAGCGCAAGTGAATAGAAGTACTGCGAATGAATACTGCAGAACGTACCATGGCTGGCGGAAAATGCATCCATGCACAGCCGCAGCATATACGTACGTGAAGCCCGTGTCACGCGATGCAGTGATGTAAACGTGTGAGATAATGTGAGGTAAGTCCAGTACCGGTTCTCCCAATATGCGACGAGGCTCGCAGTCGCGTCGTCTCTTCTGCCCATCCGGTCCGACAACTCCCAAAGAATCAGGATGGACTCATCTCGGCCGTCGAGGGTATTGGAGCCGGAATACTTGCTATCCGCCAGTAATACGAACTGGATAAGATTCCAAATGTCGTCTAGTATTGGACGTGCCTCCTGGTGCTCGAAGAGATCCGGCTCCTGAGACAACACTCGATAGAGCGGTCGCATCTCTGTCTTGGAAGAGCTCGAGCAGTAAGGGCGAAGAAGTTCCACATACATGAAAAGTATGGTGTGTAGGCACCCGCTCTCTTGGCTGCTGTACTCGTAGACCGGATGTAGCCGATCAAAGAGCGGGCGGAAGACGAGTGGCTTCTCATCGGTGCGTGGGGCTATCCATTCCGCGACCGAGTGCGCCGCGGTGAATTCATCTGCATCGCCAAGGAGACCGCGAAGACACGCCATCGCAGAGCGGGGGAGGGGATATGGAGAGGTGGAGAGAAAGAGTAGCACTGTCTTGTGCAGCCAGTCGGGACTCGAGACGAGCAGCGGACCGTTGGGATCACGGCGGTCTGCTAGGTCCACAAGCATGTCCATCAGAGTATCCCACGTCTGGCGGGATATCTATGTGAGATCTGGGATGGTGCGCAGCCTGACAGGAAGGAGATACTCGGCGTCGGCGCCAAGGCGGCTGATGATGAAATGAACGATGAAAGCGAGATATTGCACAGGGTCGTGCGTGGGCAGCTTTAGTGCATTCCACACTGTCGGAAGCTGGTCGTCGTCGGCCATGATGGCGGCTATGGATAGTAGGATGTCCTTACCGCCCTGGTTGCCGCCGTCAGCAGATCCAGATGTCGGACGGAATAGCGAGCGAAGATCGAACTCCTGCTCGTTGTGGCCCGGAGCTATCCATTGCGCAATTGGCTTTGCTGCAGCCAGTCCTGGCGCATCAGGAAGAAGACTCTGGACACATGCCAGAGCGGAGCTGGGGAGCGGATACGGGGAGCTTGAGATAAGGAGTAATGTCGTCTTGCAGAGCCAGTCGGGGCTCGACTCGGGCAAGGGCCAACTAGGCTGGCGGCGGTTTACCAAGTCGGCAAGCGCCTCCATGAAGAGGTCCCATGCCTGGTGAGACAACGGGGTGAGGTCCGGGATGGCGCGCAGCCTGACTGGTAGGAGGTAGTTGCCGTTAGCGCCGACGCAACCGGCGATGAGATAAGCGATGAAGGAGAGGGATCGGGCAGGGTCATGCATGCGCTGCTTCAACATATCGAGCACTTTCGGAAGGAGGTTTTCGTTAGCCAGGATTGCAGCTATGGGTAGCAGGACGTCCTTGTCGTCTTGGACGCCTTCCTCACAAGCTAAACGCAGCCGGTCAAATAATGGACGAAAGTCAACTTCTTGCTCGCCGAAATGCGGGGCCATCCATTGAGCAAACGATTTCGTTCCTGCGGACGACCCCGACGCAGCGACGAGATGGCCGCGAAGGCACAGCTTTGCAGAGCCAGGGAGGGGGTAATGAGAGGTGGAGAGAAGGAGTAAGATCGTCTTGTGCAGCCAGTCGGGACTCGAGACGTGCAGAGCTTCGGGCTGGCGACGGCCCGCCAAGTCGGCCAGCATCTCCATGAAAGTAACCCATGCTTGTCGGGACAGTGGTGTGAGATCTGGGATGCGACGCGGCTTTGGGAAACGAAGATACTCGATCTCGCCACTAGCACGGCTCAATATGAGTTCGACGACGAAAGCGAGCAAGTCTACAGGATCAGAGCGCTCCTTCAGAACGTCCCACATCGTCGGAAGCAAGTTGTCGTCTGCCATGGCGGTGTCCAAGGACAGTAGCATCTCCTTGTCATCCTGGTCGCCGGTGACCACCTGGTCCTCTTCGTCGTCAACACTGGTGACCGCTTCTGACAACGGGTGCCCAATTGTGTTTGCCAGGTCCACGAGAAAGGAAGCGAATGAATGGCGCATCTTCATCGTCATTCGTGTTCTGGCGGCCTGCATGACGGATTTGAGCAACGGCATCTTGTATGGACATCGCGGCGAGAAGAGTGGTGCGAGTGTGCTGGCAACGAAGAAGAACGCCCAGCCAGAGACGAGCGGCACACAGGTGAGGCCCATGCGGTCGTCGACATTTGCCGTGAAGAAGCAGAGTCCAATGAAGAACAGGCCGAGCGACAGCTGGAGTAGCATCGGGAGCACGGACGCGATCTCGAACACCCTCCATTTCTCGAGCCCCGGCTTCCGATACTGGCGTGCACGGAGGCCTTCTCGCGGGGAAGTGTACTCGAATGCGCGGTACTCGCGCAGCCACTGCTTGACCAGCATGCTGAACGACGCTGTCGCGAGACTGATGATGAGACTCGCGAACCACAGGCCGTTGACGCGGACGGCCCATAGAGGAGCGGTGAACTGGGGAGGGGGAGGGGGCGGTGGAGCAGTGGAGTTGAGGGTCCCGGACGTGATGGTGTAGCTCTGGGTCTGATTGGCGATGCGCTCGAGTAGGAAGGTCATCTGAGTGTTCGGATCGGGCTGGAGGTCGGTGAAGGACTCGATGACGAAAGCTGATAGGACAGCCGAGTACAGACCGGTCTGTCACCAGGCATGTATACGAGAACGTAAAAGGATGAAGCATAGATCAACTTACGAATACTAGGAGGGTATCGATATCGTCCTTGTAGTTCTCAATCTTGTCTTCATCGAATTCGTGAACAGTCTTGGCCATTGTCTGCCAACCTATAGGGGGTGAAACCTCGACATAGCGTACACCTCCGATGAGCTGTAACGCATCTCCTCGTCAACTCGATAAGAACTAAAATGATGCAGGGCGTACCGGAGATTCTTGCTGCGACATGTTCGGTGCAATGACAAAGTCAAACCTGCAAGAGTCTAGCAGTGGAGCTCGAGATGGTCGCTAGTAGGAGAGGTGGTGGGAGGTGACAAAAGATAGGGCGTTGCAAGCGACGTTGAACCGCTTCCACCAGGATGAGACATGCACGGAACGCATGTCCAATGAGGCACTTCGATTTCCACGGTAATTCAGAGGAACCCGTCGTGTGACATGCGGTGGACGGGCGCACGGACCAGCACGACCCTTACTAGCATGCTACGAAGCGTGGCGCGGCGCTCGTACCTGAAATCAATACAGTGACGACTAACAGCTGGTTGGTGAGATTCGCGATGAAGCTGTGCGCCCAACAGTCGAACACGTGACGATTCGGGCTCAGCGAGCTATTATTGTGCAGCTGTGCACGAACATAGGAGCGGGATATGTCAGTATCGCGAATGCGCTGGTGCGGAGTCTTGGTCCGCCATATGCAGGTATGAGAGACAGCGCATGTAGTGGAAGACGGGCAAGAGAGGGTTGCACGTCTAGGAGGATCCTTGAACACGGGTGTTCCCTTTGTGGCACGAATAGCCCTCCGTCTGCGCTTTGACACTGTCTCGCTGCCATGCAGACTTCCCTTCCGCCCTGCACCACCACGCCCGCTTCTCATGGCAGTGCAGACGTGGCTCTTTTTCTATACCGGGCAGAGAGTACTCACAGCTCTTATTCCTGGATGACGTGGCTGTGCGACCGCACAGATCCTGAGTGGTGTGCTGATCTGTGTACTGCGTCCGTCATGACCGTCAGAATCCGGTCTCGGTATTGTTGGACAGAACTAACTGGCGAGAAGAATGGTATTTACCAAAGAGGATCCGCGATACACACGGAGGCAACTATAGAAGAATGGAAACCAGAAAAGGCTGATAACAGAAAGCAGACACGCGACGATCGTGATCTGAACGTGACTGGTTTCCGAGAAAAGTGTGGAGCGCAGACGACGATACATGGATCTCAAGATAGCCATGAGCCCAATGCGGGGGCATGTCAATGTCTGGCAAGCGGAAAGCAAACGGAGCCTGTAGCGCCACGAATCGCACAAAACCAACCAAGCAGCTAATCTGAGGCTTTGCAATTCCAGGACGCCGGAATCCCGCAGTGTCACAGCCTGCAGCAAACGCTACGCCCAGCCATCATAATGAATGATACTGTGGAAAATAGATCTGGGAAGATAGTGAGTTGCGACACGACCCAGAAGAAGTCTTAGTTGTGCACCTGAGCCACTTCGTCCTGCTGGTCGAACTTCACGGTACGCCGTGCCGCACAACAGACGCAGAGGGGGTCGAGCCCCGTAGTGGTGTTTAGCGTGCCAGTCGAGGTTCGCGCTAGAGCGTATGAATCTCACGAATGTGTGCTTTAAGAGCATCCTGTAAAAGAGCTGTCAGACGCGCGACATCACACACGTTCATGAACTAACCTGCCTTCGATATCAGCCGCACCGGTCACACGGTGGTGCCGCTCGACGTGATGGATATCGACGCTCGAGTCGGCCGTCGCGATGCAGAATCTATCGTTGGACCCGTACCGTACACGCTGCGGCGAAGGCCATCAAAATTGAGGGCTGGACGGTTGTCACTACGATGAGCCATGCCAGCGATGCCTCACGCGCGCTTCACGCCGCAGTCCAAGACAAGTTGAAGGGAAGCACGGTTACGCGGGAGAGTTTGCGGAAGCGCGATATCGCAGCATGGACACGCCTTCGCAAGCGAGACGAGGCATGGTCTACGAACTTGTCCTCAGTCGCCAGCGCATCGACGATCTCCCTATTCTCCACTGGCTGCGAGACAGTTGCCGAGCCGGCTACGGGCTCGAGCCGCGAATGGAGCGAGTCATAACAGAAGCTCCTAACGGAACACGTCAGATCCACGTTGATATGCAACTAGCACCGGGACTTACGTTCTGCAATGATCAAGTACAGCTGTTTGTAGGCAGCGGCAGACGCGTGGATGCAGCGAGCGATTGAGATCTCACGAGCAGCTTGATTCGCAGTTGCATGAGAGCCGTTTGACCAAGATCAAGCTCGTTCTGGGTCGCAGACGAGAACGTGTCGAGGCATGATGAGTGTTAAAATTTTCGATAACTATGCACGATTGTGACCGAGACGCTGAGCTCATGAAGTGCAGCAGAGACGCACTGCAGGCGCTAGAAGGTGGTCGCAACTCAGGCTCATTTATGGCCATAAGGCCTCTCCTACCAGTGCGGCATCCGGTACATGTAGAACGCCGCTGGCACGGCTTACCGTGGCGACAAACGTCTGGCCCTTGATAGCAGCCTCGATGGCCTCCACAGCAGCGCGCACGGTACAGATGAAACGAAACAATCGTGCGTCGCGACAGCCAACTCGAGCACTCAACATCTAGCGACGCTAAAATTGCGTCCGGCAGATCCAAACAGAGGCTCTGGGCCAATATGAGCGCGCGGCGGGCTGTACTCAAAAGTCAGATTATAAGCAAAATTCGACAGCAGGAGACGCTCGCACCAATGGATAAGTCGAAGGCTCGAGCACGATGTGCTCTGCGGCTAGTCTCTTGAACAATACGCTATCTAAGGCGTTCGATGATGGTTGGTTCTTCTTCGGGTCTCCGCAAACCTTCGGCTTGACGTCTTCGCCCTGCAAGCCCGCCCGGGCAGGTTGGACCTCGCACGAGGAACAGCTTCGCCATAGCATCAAATTTATCTGGCCTGTCGCATCTTGTGTACGTCCCGAATTGCTCTTAAAATTATGCGAGACTGAGCTGGCCGCAGATGCACGTCGAGTTGGTCGCAAGCACGTATACCATAACCGAGGAAGATGTCGCCGAACGGCCTCGACGAGCTCATATAACAGCGGTAGTGACACATCAAGATGTGAGCCGTGAAGTTATAGAGGGAAGCGAGCGTGGTGTATAAGAGCCGAGAGTACGACTTTTGAAGTAATAGACCGACAGGTCCAACAGGTCGGACGAGTCAGCAATAATGGTGTCAACGTTGACGAGTTCTCCGCGAAGAGCTTTGAAGCCGTCACGGACAATATAGTGATGCACGAGTCGTCGAGAAGAGTGGACTTGTGAGGAAAAAAATGGCGCAGCGACGGTCTCGTCAACGTCGTGCGATACCACGGCTTTAACAATCCGGGCACTTCAAGACTTCACGAGAACGCCTACGTGGTTTCCGCAAATGGCGAGAACCTCTTCGGATATGAGGCGACTCATGAACAGGAAGTATGCGATGGCTTCCTAGTACAAGAGCTCTTCGCGATCGGCGTTTCAATGAGACTGCCAAGAGCGGAGATGCCGCCGCGATGTTCAGACTTGAAGATGAAGACGTCGTGTTAGACGAGTCTTTCGACGTGAAGTATCTTGCGAATGGCACGGGGATGATAATCGTCTGGAGGAAAGATGAGGGCTGGCTTCAACTTCGAAGGCCGTTGCTGTTCCGTTGGAAGGCGGGGACGATTCGCAAGCTTCATGAACCGTGAGATAGATCCGTCTCAGAACTGAATTCGCGCGCAGAATGAGTTAAGTGTGCTTCTTGCGTGTTGAGGCAGCTGCAACAGGGCTGAACGCAGCCAAGAGCCAGGTTGGCAAGCCCCTACCATTCATTAGCAAAAACGAAGAGCGGGATCAAAAAGTACGCACTGCGGGATTTTAACGCATCCTCCATCCAATTCACTATTAGCTATCCCGCCCGCTCCTCTCATGGAGTTCAAGGTAGTCAGGCATCCAGAAACGAACCTCGCAGCGTCGGCTCGATATCGTGGCATGTTTCGATGCTTGCGACATGTCGTAGCACGCAGCTGTGATGACTAACTTGAAAGGACAAGGAGTCCCAATCAGCCGTATGGACTAAAGTCAGCTCAAGTTGTACTCACGAGACGCTGCGGAATAGGGACGAAACTCGTTGGACGTCGTGGATGAGGGTAAGAGGTCGTGGGAATTGAATATCCGCTTTGGATAACCGAGTCACTGCGGCGCTAGCCCTAACCCAGCCGATGCATCTCTATGCGCAATATCTGCTGTTAGTCACAGGCTTCCCACCCACCACGCAGGGCGATATGAGGATTTTTAAGAGTGAGCAGGGGAGAAATTGTTTGATTTCCAGCGTACTCTACTACCAGCTTTTATACTACTCGCAAAAAGGTGCTTGTGGGTTCTGTGGGTAGTGTAATCTTGCGGCAATATTTAGCGAATTGCGGTTAAGTTACCAGGGGACGCGGATTAGCGGCTCACGCACCCTGTCAGCTCAGAGGTGTACCGTCATGGGAAAGGCGCAGCGAAAACGTTGTGGTGCGAGCGGGAAACCTTGTGGACGGGTCTCTCCGAGTGTCGGGCGCCCTAGACCGGCTATAGCGATTGCCTGCCCGAGAGGTCGTGCGAAGGAACGGCACAAAAACTTCAAAAAAAGGGCACGAGCGAAGTTGCATGTGCAGGGCGGGAAGGGGCGCATCATATTACGGTAGTAGAGTCAAGCCGGGGTAGTATTGTACACAAGCCAAGAGTGCAGCTGGAGCAGATAACGGTTGTCGAAACATGTGTGGCAGTAAAGCCAGCCTTCTATCCGACAATCTTCCTAGCGACGGCGAGCAGAGTATCAACCTCCACCTTGGAATGCATCTTGAGACCCGTATGCGCGCCGACTTTCTCGATGATTGGGACAAGAGCCGTCGCGAAGTCCCGAGCCTTCGAGTCGGTCCTGCCAGGAAGTTGCTTGAAAAGATTATCGAATGCCTTCAGCAATGTGCTGAGATTTGTGGCTTCCTTTGCACGGATGGCGCATGGCGACTTGAGGGCATCGACATCGTCGACGACCTTCTTGAACCCGAGTGTCTTGAGCTTGTCGTCGAGCTGAGCCTTTGCCTGCTCAAGCTCTTTTGTCTCGAGGTCCAAGCGCGCGACCCCGTGTTCCAGGAAGTCACGGTGAGCGGCGTGATAATCGAATTCTGCTTGGTCCTTCCTCATCTGTGTCAGCAAATCCCGGAGTGCGCCGTTCTCTTGAGTCTCGTCCGTAGGCACATTGGGTACGTCGAACGGGTTTTGCGTGCCCTGCGTAGATAACTGAGTGTCACGCTGAGCTTTCCACTAGGGCGAAAGCGCTCACCTTGGATACCCGCGCTTGCGCATGATTCGTGGTGTCTATGTCTCTCGCCTGCCTATACTGTGTTGTGGACTTTTCTGCAGCAACTTTCGCGTCTGCCGTAGTCTGTCGCCGTAATTCTAGCTGCTTACTGATATGGTTACGAAGATGTTGAGCAAAGCGTTAGCATTGCAAGGTATATCAAACTAGGCACGTACCTGACCTCCCGCTTCTGACCTTGCACCTCCAGAAGTGCGGCTTGTATGAACGATTTGAGACCGACCCGAGCCTGATGCCCTTTCTTGTACAAGCTGTCAATTGTGTCACAGAGCTGAATGTACTCGTCAGCAAGTAATTGCACGCATACGTATAGAAGCGCTGCTAACCTCCTTTGCGTCGTGAGGGACCGTGCCGGCTATTTTAGAGAGCTTGTTGAAGGAGGCTGTGGTTGCCTCTGCACCGTCCTTGCAGACCTTGAGCTGATCGGTGACGAACTTGTCGCGCCGCTTGGTCATCTTTACCTGTCCATCGGCAAGCTGACGTTCAAAGCTGCACAGGATCTCGACGGACTCGGTCAGCTCGGCGAGGGCGGAGGTAGCAGTCTTCTCTTGTTTCTCGATAGCACTCCATTGCGCCTGGAGCTTGCTCGCCCGCGCCGCCGCCTTTGCAAGCTCGCTCTGGAGCTTGGGCACACTGTCCTTCACTACCGCCAGCCTGGTCTTGTATTCCTCATACTTTGTGGAGATTTTGACCTGCGACCAGATGGGCTGCGCACGAACGAGTCAACGTCGATGCCATTGGGGGAGTGGGATGCGCTCACCATGAGACCTGCGATACCTTCTCGATCACGCTGAGCACCATAAAAGCCGATGAGCGCGTGGTCGTTGTTATTCCAGCAGCCGAACTCTCCCCCTTCGAGGCCATACCATTCGGAGGTCCGAGCTAAAACCACTGCCTAAGCCCCACAGTACACAAACTGGTGGAATAGGAGTCAGGTGCGCACCTTTGGATGTGCCGAACTGGATGCCTGAGAGCCCAAAGCCGTCCGTACGGTACCACACAGTCGTGATGTCTTCGCTCGCGCTCAGCAAGAATATGTCGCACTGCCTCTTGTTTTTCTCGCCGTGTAGTATAACCTCTTCCTTGCTTCCTTTGTAGCGGACGCCAATGCCCCGGATGCCACGGCTCTGTTGCACGTGGACCGCTGCCACCGTGGTCTTGCGTGACTGCCCGTCCTCTATAGTGGTGGCAATCAGCTTGTAGTCTGCAACGACGTCAGCGCTCCGCTTATTCCGGCTCTGTGAGATGTCGTATGAGATGCGCACCGGAGAAGACGGTTGCATCCGAGTCGGACCAGTTGCCGGGACAGTTTCCTGGAAATCCAAGATACGCGAGCTTTGTGCGATTGAGCCACCTATCCCCGTTGTGTAGTATAGAATGCTTGAGGAACTGAAAGGCGGTTGTCAGAACCTCTAAGAAGCCGGACCAATAGGATACTTACCTTGTCCTGACCTACCCACATGATGTTGATGCAGGCTATAGGGCTAGTCTTGACCTTGCGGACGAATGCAATAACGTCTGAGTTGTGCATAGTTCTACAGTTATCGAACGGGGTCCTAATGTGGGTGTAAGCGGCGGCAAGGTGCCACATCAACGCGTACATACTTGTTCCATGAGGTGCCACTTTTTTTAAATTCGGTGATGATGTTGAGGTCTCGATCTTGGGTGTAAAGCCTGTAACCAACGTCATCAACGCAACGCTTGTTACAGCACCGCAGAGACTCACCGAACATCTGTTTCTAATGCAATGGCGGCCATGTCGCCGATCGGCTTGAGCTCGGCCGAAGACTTGGTGACGGTCCTGGATGCGCGATTCAGAGTTCTCAATTGAGGTCTGGGCCCTGGGGAGGGCGGGGCATGCACTCACCATGTGCCCGAGGCATCTTTGCACCCTTCTTGGATAGAGAAGTCCTTGTGCTGGAAGTAAACGCGCACATGATTGAGGTCTGCGTATCCAAAAATGAACCATTTTCCGGCGACGCGAAATCGGGGCACTTACCACCCCACTCAGCGGCGCCAATGCCGGTGTAGGCATAGGCCGCATCGCAGGGCAGCGCAATAGAATCCTTCCAACGGCCATTCTCGCAGGTTCTGAGCTAATGTCAAGCAATATTCCCACAGGACTGCTCGTGATACGCACAGAGCGCAAATGTTGTCATGCACGTTCTGGTAGAAGAGTATGACCTTCGCCTGTTTTGGCGAGGAAACGGCCGCGATCTTGCTGCCAAGTTTGATATTCTTTTGGTTGAGATCAGTCTGCTTCCAGCCCTTGCTTTCCGTAGATCTTTGCTCGCGTAGTGTACCAGCCTCGTCCTGATAGAAGACAGACTGGCCCTTCTCGTCCCACTGTATTGCGCATTAGAGAAGGCGGGACCAGAAGGAAATCACGACGGCGTACAGAAACAGTGCAAAGAGCGCTCTGCGGGTGGCACTTGAAGGGCGATGTGCTCGACTTCCAGCCAGCACCGGAGGCGAGGACATCTGGTACGCAGATTAGCGCTTTAAGATACGCAGGACTCCTGGTTGTCCGTACCTGATGTCCCATTTCCCATTGCCTTGGACAGGACATAGTCCGAGAACTCGAGAGAGGCCTCGCGAACCTCTCCCCCAGGAGTCTTAGTGTAGCATCGAATACCGCCTGGATAGTTGGCAGCAGCTACCGTGATACTTCTCTGCGACGATATGGTTAGTTAGGAGACTGCCTTTGTGCATAGTAGCGGCATTGAACATACTGGTTTTATGGACATAGTAGAAGAGCTGGTTTCTGTGACGACACGCGAACTGAACTAGGGGTCTGGTCCAAGGATTCAGAGTCCAAACAACAGTGCAGAACAAGACTGCAGCTGCCCTACCTGTGAGAGATGTTCACGGGTACTCCGTGGGGTATTACAGAGGAAATCGTAGACGATAACGACCCATAACAGCTTATGTAGCAGAACTATGGTACTGCTGACACTAGCTGGTCATGTGCAATACGAAAAACTAGGCTCATAGCCTACTAGTATCAATGATGATGTGCTGTGCCATTGGCTATGTTTGTCTCTAACTTCCCATGCACAGCTGACGTATGTTCAGGGGCCGTGTAGTCCTCCGTCCATTCATTCTCATCGGGGCCCAGTGCCTCTGTTCCACCTGGAAAAGATGTATGATGTTTGCAATTCTGGGACGCTCGACCAGCCCTTCGGCCTGCCCCTCGGGTCTCGCACGTCGAGGCCATCGAGATCGACACCTGCACTCTTCATAACAGCATGCAAGAGTTACTTCTCGGTGGAACTATCCTGCTGGTGCATTTCACCCCCAAAAGGGCAGATTTGCAACAATTACTTGGGGCTTATCAAACACAAGCAGAAAAATGGGATCCTCGGTCAATCAGCGATGGGGAGGCAGCGTACAGCCCAGCCTGTGGCCCTGAGTCGAGGCGGTGCCACCACGTGTAAAGTCGTCAGAATACGCGTTAAGCCGGGAGTGGTACCTTAAGTCGGAGTCATCCCGGGACTGCAATTGACGAGCTGGGAAAAATCAAGGGTGATCTATCAACTCGTGGTTAGCCGTAAGGCGTATAGTTGATAAAAGGTGGGACATCTTTTTACTTGTTATTAAACGAGCAGAAAGGTGAGATGTACCGCCTTCAAGGGCGAAGAAATCGCTGGGACTGATTGTCGTAATTTGCGTACATGCGACAGTCCTAGAAATCCGTATGAGCAGAAGGCTAGTACAGTCGACGCTCTTACCATTATTGACACTCAAAGTTACTCGAGCATATAGATTCTCCGGTTTGACTTTCTTGTAAGGCAAGCGGGAGAGAGTTTTATATGTGGCAGTGCATCGCCGCTGAAGGATAGTGGAGAAGACTCGGAGTCAAAATCTCGGCGGATTGCCACGAAAGAGCTCAGCTGACTACAGGACCCTAGCTTTGCGCGCTTCAGGACTGATAGGAATGGCCGAAACTCTGAAAAAGTGATATCGTCCAGTGCGTAACAAGAAGTGCGGCCCGTGTACCGACGATTGATGCGTACCGGGAACCGCCATCAAGCGCGTCAATGAAGCGCCCTCCCCTTGCTAGCCGCCCCCTGGTTCTGTCTCCAACTGTCCCCGTCCAAGCCGCTTTGATCTGTAGCTGAGCCATGCCTCTACGGCACGCCCTTATCCACGACGCTAAACGAGACTCATCTTTGTTCCGCAACTTCCTGTGAGTACGACTTGTATCAACTCCAGTTTATGCGGCTCGCTGGGATCTCCTGTCCTCTTCATGTCTCAGTCATCTCAGTGCACGCTACGACGTGTACCAGTCATCGACAGGAGCGCATGAGGCGCCTTATGGAGAACTAGGAAATGATACATTGGAGGCCTTGCAGTGCTCATTCTTTCATCTCGCTTTCTTCACTCTCTCTGATGAAATGGCACAAGTTTATAGACCGTAGTCATACGCCCAAGCCCCTTTACGACCATCTCGATACGTCAGTCCTACGCACGATCCATTTTGCATATAAATGCAGTTCTGACATGATGCCGTTTCACGGCGAATGAGACTCACGAATCGTCTCCGCCTTCCAGCGGAACGACAGCCGCGTTTGAAGTTGAATTTGGCTCTCATCTTTCCCATCGTCTTTATGCGGCTGATAAGATCCTTTATGCCCATGTCGAAAAGTCCCCTACCGCAACGATCTCATCTTCTGGTCTGGAACGTTGCAGTAACGATTTCGTTCTCGGCAGGTCTCATTGGAACATTGAACGCGAAGGGCTCTCGTACTAGGGCACCATCGCATGCCTCCCGTTGTGAGTCACCTCACCTCGGGGAGGCTCTCGTCATCTGTGAAAGCTGCGTAGGTGCTGGAGCGAGGTCTTCACCCGAGCGTCGAACCGCGATATGTCATGACGCCGATGGGGCCGTCGTTGCGCGTCCCTCGCCACCTTCCTATATGTTCGCTCTTGTCGATGGCTCACGCATTGCCACGTTCGGCAGCGGCTTCAAGCTCCTCGCTCGTCATTAATCTGACTCAATTATATCCTTCGCTCTAATGGCATCGTTGCGCTCGAATACTCTGGCAGCCCGGCGTCCCGGGTTGCACATTCACAACCTTTGAGCGCCTTCACCTTTCCTAAGTGCGCCAACAACATTCCTGCGCTCGTCATAGGCTGTCGTCTGTTTCGCTTCGTTCAGAGGCTCATTCTTCGCGCAAGAGAACTAACGCCCTCATGCAAGCTTTATCGCGTTCAATGCGAGCCGGAGACATGGTTCAGCGTCAAGGCGAAAGTGGCGAAAGTGGCACGGCGAGCAACTGGCGGAGCAATCGTCGTGGAGAGGTCGGTCGATTCATTCAGAAGCTTGGATACGTGTCCTCGACGGTACCTATTTGGCTCGCCATCGGCCTTGCAACTGCTTTTATTTACCGGAGCGACAGCCATACCACCGGCTTAGCCAGTTAGACATCAGCAGTGCTTTATTTGTCCTGACCGTGATGGAAGAATGGTACTCTCCCTATCTCTAATGCGACACTGGAGCGGATGTGACCACACGGACGCAAGACGCGTCACAGGACGCAGGCCCCACGTCTTCTTTCACACCTTCCATCGTCAATGTGGGGATTTGTGATACCGGCATCAGCGCGCCCGCAACATTTGTCTCCTCAAAGGCATTCCACGCCGCTATCCTCTCTGGCGGCATCGACTCCACCGAGCAAAAGGGCTTCAGCCGTGGTATTATCTCCTGGGACATGAGCGAGCTGGACCTCCCGAGTCTTCCAGCTCACGGCAGTCGACGAGTTGCTTCGCTATAAGTTTGTAGAGTTTAGGCGGATTCATCTTTGCCGAAGTTAAACAAGCCGGTAAGTTGTGTGCACCTTGTGCCTATGCACGAGGATCCTGATGACCTTACAAGATGATCACCTCCTGTGGAATGAATATTCAGGCTGAGCAGAAACGCCGCTATTGTCAACGCCCTCGTGGGCGAGTCTGTGGCGTTAGACCGTCCGCTGACCCCCCAGGGCCCAGCCTAAATCGGCCAACGAAACCACGATGGTGAGAAGGGCCCTATGCTCGCGCGACTTCTCGCCTAGACCGGCCCGCAAGTGACCCACCGGCGCGTTTGTCTTTAACTTCAGTGTCGGGCTACACATCACTACGTCTCCCCCAGCCGAACCTTTACTCCAACGCGGAGCTTTCCTGTTCTCTGCCTTGCCGCACTTCACCTTCCATCTCGACCTCAATCACACACGCAAGATGCTGCTGGGGGTCTGTCGTTCGAGCCGATGAAGCAGTTCGTATCAAACACGCGCATTAAAAACGCTGCACACAACTAGACGAGGACAGTGGAGCTGAAGGTCGCGCTGGCGACGATCGTGCGGATTGAATAGAATGGGGACAGCGCTGTGAATGGAAACCGAGGTTTAGGAGCGTGTTCGGTTTGTGAGAGGCTCAGGCTACTGTGGGTTAGAGTCAGCATCACGATCCCGCGGCCGCGGCGAACGTATTCCACACCATTTCTCTATCACCCACGGCCCTGTATTGAAAAAGTTAGCCCAAATGAAATATATCCTGGATTGTAAAATGTGGGAAGGGTAGACGAAGGTACATGGCTATCAAGAGCTCGAGGCGAGGGCACAGTCAGTACGTATTGTGTCCGCAGGGGCATGAGGCAAACCGAGCTCGGGGATTAAAAACCCTGGCGATGCCAGAACACCAGGACACCGGACTGGCAGGAAAATATTCACTTTGTAGAGGCACAGCCCGTGGGAAATGACCCACCCCATGCGCTGCGTCATCACTCTAGAGAAGTCTTGAGTGCTTGAGTGCGCACCTGAGTTGATTCGTTCTACCAGGCGCAGGGGCCGAGCGCTCAAGTCCTTGTAGTGATTTGACATGGCTGGAGAGTCTAGCTTTGATGGCAGTTCAGAACATTCAGCCGTTGAGTGTTGAAGAGTGGCTCGGCTTCAGGTTCGAGGTTTCAGATGGACTCGTGCTGAATTGCGTCAAATCGTAGCCTCATCTCAACATCTCCATATGATTCCCACTCTGGCTTGCTAAGAAGCACCAGACCGACTCGTCAATATTGCGCTCAACCTGGAACAGAGGCGCATGAGCACGTACTTCGCACTCCTGACAGAAACCATCCCGCACAAAGCCGCACAGCGCATCTTCCTCATCAGCACCTCACCCATCCCATTCCTCTCCGCCTCCACGATCAGATCCACGATGACACGCACGCGAGGCAGCACCGCCGCAATCTCCTCGTCGACAGCCTCCCAATAGAGCCGGGCCACCGCAATCCACATTCGTGGTGCCAACGATGTACGCAATGAGAGCATGAGCACAGAGAGCGTCGGTGCATGCGCGAGCGCATGAAGGTACGATATCGCCGCATGCGCGCACGTCCAGAAGCCTGAGAGGCGGACGAGCCGTAGGTGCACACAGCGCGCGAAGCCTGCGGGCAGGGTGTCCGGTGCTAATGTCTCCGTCAGCTATCACATCGCAGTACAGAGGTAGAATAAACGTACGGGCATACGGCGCACATACAAGCTGCAGCGCCTTGAGCTCGCTCGCCACGGCGAGGTCCTGCATGAGTTGCGCAACGAATCTTTCCCCAGCGATGTTGTGCAACCATACATAGTCGTCCTCGAACTTGCCGGTCCGACGTTCGACGCCTCTCACGGCGAGCGCTTGCACGGGATGCTGCTGCACGAGGCGCCGCACGATCTCCTGGACGGCCTCCCCGCAGAAACTGGGCTCGAGAATGAGCATACGTGCGTGCATGAAAGGTGGGTAGAGAATGTTCCGGGGTACGCGACTGAAGAGCGCGGCGCTGCCTTGATCGACGAGCGGCGTGTCGACAGAGCGAAAGAGAAAGAGCGCATGCACCATGCGCTGCGGCGCGCCCCACCCTCCGAGCATATCGCCTGTCGCGTGGAACGCTAGGGGATAGGCGTGCATCCACACGCGGGCCGCATCGAAGAGCACGATGCCTTCACTGCCGATGCTGTCGCTGTCTGTGTTGTTCTCGGAGCTGTCGACACGCACGAGTCCGTCAGCGCCCAAGACCACTCGGTCGGGCGCGTAGATGCCGGCGATACAGAGCGTGAGGCGCCGTAGGCGCGGAAGGAGGCGTAATGCGGCAGGGAGCTTGACATGAGCATCGCACGGCCAGCTAACCTCGAGCGCGCGCACGCACCGTGCGGCATGTGGCGCATCCTGCAAGAAGTGTGAAAGCATAGTGAGGTCGGTGCACAGGCTTCGCTGGATGCCTGTGTTACCGAAGCGGCCCACGCGTATCTCAGCATGCAGAGCCGGAAATACGGCCGCGTTCCACATTCGACTGACACGTGCGCAAGCAGCGAGTGTGGAATGGTACCGGGTGAGGTAGCTGAAGATCACTTCGAGGACGTCGAACGGTATTTCAGGGGGAAGGGCTCGAGGTGAAGGCAGGGCGCAAGATTTAGTGATTCCACGTTTAGGCACTGTGGAGTGCTATGGGGCTCATGTGCTAAGGACTGTAGACCGCGCAGATTGTGGCTGCTGACTGACTATTGCACCGCGAAGTAGATACAAGAGTCGTAGTCTAGAGTAGTATTGCATAAGAAGAGTGCAAGTACCATGTAAGAATGGTAAAAGACAGTAAATAAATAAGTAAGTAAGTAAGTAAGTAAGCTGGTCGCTCTGCATAGCCTGACACATGCGAGCTATGCCACCACTGTTGTTGAACTTGATATGATACACACTGGACAGGGAAAAAGAAATATTTAGAGTGAATTCATTTGTATCAAAAAGCATCAAGAACAGACAATCATACATGGTTTGCAGGATCGCTATAGAGACAAAGCACTTATGGTACCTAGCGAGACCCGATTAGTCGAGGTCTGTGAAGGTACAAACCACTTGATTACATACAGTTTCTTGTGAATAACTTGCACAACGATGCAATAGACTTTACACGTACAACTATTATTTGCAATGATACTACTACATTGCAATATTGCAAAGTCCTGCTATGACACCAGTGCATCAAAACAGCTGGCAATGTAACTCACGATGTGTCAAACACGCAACCTAGGACTTGTCTTTGAACATTGCAACATGCAAAGCAAACCAATCAAGCCTATAAATTTTCTGTGGAGCAGCTATCAAATTCATGCTGCGTGTCACATATATCCAACCGTGGACTGACCTGTCGTGAATGTCAGTTGTGCCGACTGCCCGCCGCACTGCCTCCAATGCGATAGAATCCGGGAAGTGTGCTGATTCATGGTCCATGAAAATGCAGCGCATACATGAATGAGATCGGGCAGAGACATATGCAGTCCATGACATTAAGGGGATGCCAGAGCGTACCAACAGAGACTTTGGGCACAGTTGTGCAACAACGTTAACGAAAGCGCTTCGGGAGAGTCAAGGCAGGCATGGACGGATGATGAGAATAAGATACTTGTTTTGGACGACCAGATTAGCATCAAATCTAACCTGAATTAGATTATTATGCAGGAGGTGTGCAGACTTTGCGATGTGCTAGAAAAATCAAAATCACATTGTATATGGCTAAAAGATATATTGGCACCACGGCCGATATTAACATCAGCTTGGTCTTTACGGACTGCTTAACCTGCAGATGGCTGATGCATTACACAAGAACATTTGCACACACCCGGTCTCCAGCAGTACAGTATGTCAGGAAGTTTTTCTAGTAAACCCAAGAAGTCCCGTCTTGCCTTGCGCTCCACCTCACTGCGGTCCATTATCAGGCTTGCTCTCACAAATCCCAAACTCCGCGGCCATCTGTCTCAGGCTGTGTTAAAGTGCGACTGAACTCTTGCTTTATTCTGTGCTACAGGGCCAGTATATATACATGTGAGTTGGGACCTCTGATACTGCTATAAGACCTATGGTACTGTGAGCGTAAGCATGTATACTAAGCATGAGTAATCAGGCGTCGTATTACTACAAGATAATAGAGGGATCATGTGATGATATCCCCATTAGTCCGTACAGGGCAATGATGTAATTGCCCAGTTCTGACACTCCCACTCGACTAGTTATTGTCTAATCTACTGAAGACCAAGCCTAGCATAGACCGGAAGTGCTCGAATTTTGTTGCACCAAGTGGTTTTGTCAATGTGTCGGCGATCATTTTGTCTGTACTAACGTAGACCATATCCACTCGTTTATCTTCCACGTATTCATGTATGAAGTGATATCGAATGTTGATGTGCTTGAGCCTTCAGTCGTGAGCAGAGTTGACTGCGAGAAAGATTCCTCCTTGGTTGTCTGCTATCAGAGGTGGTGGTGCAGTAGGAAAGTAACCTAACTCTTTTTGGAGTGACGTTAGCCAGGCTAACTCAGAGCATGCCTCCGAGAGTGCCATGTATTCGGCTTCCATCGAGGATCTTGCCACCGTCTTCTGCATTTGAGATGCTCATGTGACTGCTCCATCAGCCATCAAGAAAACGAAACCGGTTGTTGATTGCCGGTTGTCCCGATTTTCGCCCCAGTCTGCGTCAGAATACCCTATCAAACCTGACTGATTTGAGCCAGAGTACTGGATACGATACTCGGTGGTATGACGGAGATACCAGAAGATGTGCTTCACAGCTTCCACGTGCTGTGACGTAGGGTTTTGCATGTACTGTGAGAGTCTTGTGACTTCCCAGGCAATGTGAGGTCGTGAACTGATCATCAAATAGATGAGACTACCAATCATGGACTGATAGTGATGGCGGAGTGCGTCGGTAGCGGTATATGTTTCCGCAGCCTTCTCGAGATGTATGCCTTCAGGCAGCGGTGTGCGGCAAAGTTTTGAGTTGTGCATCTGGAACCGAGATAGGATTCCTTCGGTATACGACTGTTGGTCGATTTCCAGACACCTGTTGTTTCTATCACGAGTAATCCGCATTCCAAGGAATGTACTAGCGGCTCCAAGATCGTGCATTTGGAATTTCTCTGCAAGAACTTTCTTTACTCGTTGGATCTCTGGTAAACTTGGACCCATTGGTAGAAGATCGTTGACGTAAACGATGAGGTAAACTTCGACTTTGTCGTGATGATAAACATAAACACCAGCGTCTGAGCGCGTGCGCTTGAATCCATTTTCGAGTAGCGTAGTATGTAGCTTCTCGTTCCAGGTGCGCGAGGCTTGGCATAAGCCATAGATAGCCTTTTTTAATCGACACACCATCTTTTCTTGTCCTTTCTTCACAAAGCCTTCTGGTTGTTCCATGTAAATCTCCTCGTTGAGCTCGCCATACAGGAAGGCCGTTTTGATATCCATTGCCTCAATTTCCCAATCTTTGAGTGCTGCATGTGCGAGTAAGAAGCGTATAGCCTCATAGCATGCGACGGGAGAGAAGGTTTCCTGAAAATCTATCTCCTCTATCTGTGTGAATCCTTTGGCTACAAGACCTGCCTTATAGCGGCCGTCGGGCTTGATCACATAAACCCATTTGCATTTTACGATTCTCCGGTTGTTCAGTCTGTTGACCAGAATCCATGTGGAATTCTCCTCCTGAGATTTGAGTTCCTCCTTCATCACGATCTCCCACTGTTTCGCATCTGGACAAGACATTGCCTCACGATACGTAGTGGGGTCAGGCTGGTGGGCATGACATATTCATTGGAATATATTCCGACGGAGTTGATCGTCGATGTCCATTGGAGAGACTTCACGTTGTTCACGTGCTTCTTGTTCTTCTCGTTGATCACGTTGGATGTCTCGTTCCTGTTGACGCCATGCTTCTGTGGGCGGGACGTCACCATAGCTGTTATCGGGAATATGGCATTGGCCTGCATTCTTGCGCTGTGGTCTGGCCGGGTGTGGCACAGGTTGTGGTTCGAGATTCCATCGTTGCCTAATATCAGGAGCTGGTGGAGCTGCCTGACGAGATGGACCAGCTTGTCCGCTCTGATGAGGACAATAATGTTCTCTCTGAGATGGAGGTGATCCAGGAGGTGGACCGGGAGCGAATGGTATCTCCGGATGTTTGTATGGTTCCGGAGTTGGGCTTCGATATTGTTCATAACGATCGGCTGGATTGTCATTTACTTCATCATCATCCTGTTGTTGCTGTTCGTTTTGCCGTGGTTGTGGATGTGCATTGTCTGGGGAATGATCATCAGGTGTGAAGTCATCCGGATTTGTTAGGTCCGGGTTCAGCAGGTCAGGTTGGACAGGTGGAATTGAATCTTGAGACATTCCAGGCTCACGAGGCCTTTCGTCTCGCTTGGAAAAAGAAGACTCATTGAAGGTGACGTCGCGTGACACAACAATAGTCCAGGCAGTTTGATCCCAGAATCGGTAACCCTTTGTACCAATTTCGTACCCGACGAAGATCGTGACTTTGGCTTTTGGCTGTAGTTTATTGATCCTCACATCCTTATGTGTGTGGACATAGGCTTTGCAGCCCCATACTCGAAAGTACGATACGTCCGGAACAGTGCCATTCCATTTCGTGATAGGCGGCTTCCATTGATGACGGCGCAAAGGTTGTCGATTGTAGATGTGTACTGCAGTCTCTGATGCTAGATTCCAAAAACCAGACGTCATGCCAGCGTGATGTCACATAGCTTCTGCCTTATTCTGAATGGTCTGTTGCCAGCGTTCTGCTCTGCCGTTCTGTTGTGGTGTTTGCGCCACTGAGAGTTGACGCTCTATTCCTCGTTCTGTCAGGAAATTGTTGAATTTGTAGTCTAAAAACTCCCCCCCATGGTCCGAACGTATAGTCTTGAGCTTGCGCTCGGCCTGTGTTTCTGCCCAAGCGACGAATTGCTTGAAGGCAGAGAAGGCATCAGACTTCTGTTTCAGATACCAGACTAAACCAAATGAGGAATAGTCATCGAGGGTGGTAAGGGCAAAGTTGTACCCATCGAGTGATAACGACAGATATTCGACAAGATCCATGTGAATTAAGTTGAGGGGATGATCTGCACGACTTTCAGACGCAGGAAATGCATCGCGACGAGACTTCCCGAATTTGCACCCATCACAGGGAGTATCCCTGGTTGGAGCGGAGATCTTATCCAGGACGCCTTTGACATTGCCAGGCAGTTGAACAACTGATTTCTTTCCGGTGTGTCCGAAGCGACAGTGCCACAAAGTGTATGGATCGTCAGATTTGACCGACATCAATGTTCCTGGCTTAATCTCACTGGTCCTGGTGAGGACTTCAGCTTCTAGCCAATATAAACCTGACAACTTTTCATATTCACCCTCCATTAAAACTGTCCAC